AAAAAGAAAAACATTCGCTTTAGTAAGATAAGATAAAATCAATTTAAAGGCAGACAAGCCGACTCAAGGCTAAAGCAGAAAAACAAAATTATTTAACATAATAACCACATCCTAATACCAAATAAGAAAGTTAGTTTCTTGTGTATGTTTATTTGATGCGCTTTCGAACCTTAATTGCTCATCCGATCATTATAAGAGAGAAACATTAAAAACATAGATACCTTTCTAGTTAACTAAATAACTTAAAGATGAGCGAAGACAGCAGCGGACAAAAGCTAAACCTAAAATATCTAACGATTGTATTGAAATTTCTTACGTTTAATTCAATTGGTTTATATGAATAAATAGTGATAATAGTAGAATAGATAGTGACGCAACACCTTTTTCGACGTTCATCGACAAACATTACAAATATTGAAGGACCACTTTACTTACGTAATTTAGTTAAATTTATCTATTTTACGTTGTATGTAACGTATAAATGTTGTATACATATCATATTATATGTAGTTATTGGTATAAGGCTATAACTATGTTTTACAGGTTAAATTTCAAATGATTAAAAAAAAGCCGACAAGTACGACTCGGACTCGCAGACCCAGGGTTCCGTACAAACAACCTATAATTATTGTACCTCTTGATTATATACTTTAAATAAAGACTATATTTTTTATGATTTAATTACTAATGTGTGAATTTCAGTTTTTTTCCTGTACTTGCAGTATCAGACGATGTTACTTACTAAATTTAAAAATTTTAGGTCACTTTTTCACGTTAACTTAGAACTGTGTTTTTTTCACAGCTTCAAGGGACTGTAGACTTGAGAATAACGATTTAATTTCAACTGGATACCTACAGGCGTTCCCGAAATAAAGGGTCTTGACAGACAGACAGACATAGTGATGGTATTAGGGTTCTGATTTTCCTTTTGAGATACGGCACCCTAAAAATTAGACTTGCTCAAAAATAACCGCGGTTTTGAAAATATTTTTATGTGACATTCATTAATTAAGAGTTCAATGTTCGTTGTTTTCACTGTGTTTGAGGTTACTGGAATCCCAAACCTAGTTTGGGAGGGCGGCAACGCACTTGTATCAGTGCTCTTAAGTGTCAGGTGTACTCGAGCAGATAGGCACTTACTACCAGGTGACCTGTCTGCCTTTTTTGCCATAAAACAAGTAATAATTTAAAAATCGAAAACCAGACTACGAGAGGACAATTTAAAAGTAATGCACTAAAAATATAGTCATGATTTACCATTTTAAAATCCTCATGATGAGACCTTTAATTTAATACCCATATTGCAGTACCTAAAAAAAAATTTTTTTTTACCTACTTTAAACTATAGCGTCTCACAGTCGTCCGTTGGTTTTTTTTTCGCGTCACCTATCTAAGAACACTTGGCTTACCAAGACGAATCTAAAGATATATTAATTAAATAAATCGGTGCAGCGGTTTGGAAGATATGAGGTAATAAAGAATATTACATGTATACATACACACAAGATTCGCGCGAAAAACATAACCCTTCTTGGCAGTCGGGTAACAAAGTAATACAAACTATTTCAAGGTTTGAATCACTAGTGAACTGAGTGTGGTGAAAAACCACAACCTTTCTGTCCTATATTTGACACACCGCTTTTGCTTGCACATTCCTTACCCGAGTTTCGCCAACCTCTCCTACACGACTAGTTTTTACCGTATCTATTGAATTCCATTTAAGTGGAACTCTAATATAAACTGCTCGTTAACCTCGTGATAACTGAATTTTAATCCATAAAAAATATTACTAACATTTTAAGGAAATGTGTATCTGTGTCAGTAATGTTGTATGCCATAATTAGATTTATACCAATAAACTGCCAAACCAGCTGCTGTTTGAGCGTTCAGCTTGCAAACTGCCAACAAGTTGCGTGTGATTCAAATACCACAGTGAAAAATATTTCTTAATTGTCCGTAAGTGGCATGTCCCCTGGAAACTTCAATAAAAATTAGTGCCCGAACTATACAGATTTGCTTATAATGGTTTTACAGATATCATGTGCAGTGATTTGTGTTATTGTGTAGAGTAACCTCCGTCCAATTTTGGTATCTTTATTGGACTTTATACTCTAACGTAAATGCTAAGAGAAATCTCAAATCGTTCCTAAATCAGGATATTAAATTCTGCTATAGACTGCCAAGAGGCGTTGAGGCTCTATAATAGAAACCATTTTCTTTATTATATGTATGACAATTTAAAAAAAGAAAATTTTAATTTTAATTAACGGGCATACTAACATTTTTCGGTTGCTAGTTGACCTTTAAAAAAAGAAAAACCAAAAAAAAATCTTAAGTCCCTTTTCCTAAAGTCGAAGTTAAATATTAATATCTTTGAACATTCAGTCGCCATATACTTTTTTTAAATCAGGTGCACATATTTTATGTCAGAGCAAACGCAACACTAAGATTTTATAATTAACTTTATTACCGACTTCAAACGTCACGGTGAATATAAAAACTGTATTCTTCATTCCTTGATTTTGCAAACTTCGGGGTGGTATTCTTTCGTCAAATTTTAGTGGGCTAAAACGGGAAGTATAGCCTCCCATATAAAAGATAAGTTAATCAATCGATTTATAAATGACGCAGTTCTGAGATAATAACCATAAAATAAGAATACATTAAAATTGAGATCCATTATTTAAGAATATGTTCAACTAAACTCCTTTTAAATATAAAACCTAGTCATAGGCCGTGGCCAACTTTTGGACATGTGCAATAGAAATAGTTAAAATACTTAAGTAAACAATAGGTTAATTATATAACATTTCACAATTATTTTATAATTATATTAACAATATATGTAGTAATAATATTGCAACATACACGCAGTTGGAACTGTACTGGTCAGGATTAAAGCGATGTTCCAAATAGGCGCGTCTACTTGATTACAGAATAGTAACTATTTAACTAATACATTTTGAAACGAATTCCGTTCACCTCTTACTAAACCCGTATGTGTGTTGAATCAACGTCCAGTTCTTGCCACATCGCTAGACTTTAAACTTAAACAAGTACCAATAACTTTAAACTAATACATAGATTTACTGAACTTAAATTAAAGAGCACAATTATAAGTTTCACTCACGTTAAAATTTGTTACTTTTGTATGTTGATTTATCCTAATTTCATATAGTATCAGAATACAAGAAGATCATACATAAGTCAAACCAAACAAAGCCTTTATTCTATTGTTCAAATACTGGACTCTTGGGACTATTGGATTACATAGGTCTCAGGAATTAATCAAGAAAAACTTCACGTTAATTTTAATTATAAATATTCTGAAGGGATCCTCAACCGTGGGATAGCCATACTTCGGGACATATGAGCCGGCTCGACTGAACTGATTCCACGGCCTCACAGAAAACCGGTGTTAAGTAATTCTTTTGTTGCTTTCCATTAAATGACCGATAACTTATGTATTATTCAAACTGAGATAACTTAATATTATAATGCAAAAATGAATTTATTTTTTACGCTTTAAAAGACAAAGCTTTTCAACTGATAATTGTGTAATTTTGGAATATCAAAATAACTTTACTGTGAGCGAAGCCACGAGTAATTGAGTTAGATTTAAGCGAAAAGTCTGTGGTCAGTTCCTCGTTAAGCCGGTTCAACATAAAATTTCAGGTACTTTTTCACTTACAAATTATTACTTTAAAACTTGGGAAAAGAAGTTAATGTTTATTTTGTTTGTTAAGTGGTTATATTGTTGAATTGCATTTATATTTTCCTCTAAATAATTAACGACAAAAGTAAATCTTATTTTGAATAGTTACCGTCATGAAAAACAATATTATGAGTTCAAACATGTTCTTAGTAATAATAATATTAATAATAAAAAAATATGATAACTGTCTGTCTGTAATAAAAATTTATGAACAAAAAGTATGAGGAAAAAGTTATGAAGCGTGATTAAAAAGGAATAAGATTTTTATGTGAGCCAATATGGACCCTTAACAGATATTTTAACGAGCTTGTCATTAATTTGATTTGATATTCTTGATTAGTTCAGTCCAAAGGAATTGAAATTAGCCTTTGTATTAAAAGCAAATATCAACGCTTTATACTAATTGAATGTTAGTGACAGACAAATCCAGATAGACATATGAATATTCATGTGCATAAATTATTGCACTGAGCGGGAAGCGAACCCACAACCTTGAACATTGCAGTCGTACTCATTACCGCTACGTTACAGAGGTCGTGGAAACACAACTTTGTGGATTTAGTATGATATTACTACAAGTATATAAGATGCCCCTAATTTAAAAGCCTTTTATCGTTATATAAAATTATAGGAGGAATATTTAACGTGTTAGGTTATTAAGTATCTATGTATGTGATATGTTGTAACTTAGAAGGTACAAGGACGCTCTGTTTGAATGCTGCGTAAACGCACGTAAATCAGATTATTAGCTTTTTTAAAGGGTTATTAATATTAATAGTTTATTTTTAGATTTTGAAATTTTACTTTTTCAGTGTTTAATTTATAATAGTATCTAATATGTCTAACAATTTTATCTTAGTTCTTTCCTTCCTCCTCCCTAATTTCTAGACATCGTGAAATCTTTAAAAAAAAACATTTCTTTAATGAAAACTATCTACTATCTCTAACTACGTTTGTTCTTTTAATATGAAGAACATTGTGAAACTTACTTGTATACCTATATTCGCTAATTATTACAAATTCAATCATATATCACTTTATGTATTAGGTACAATGACCCTTGATCTTTACAGTTACTTCCATATAAATATATTATCATTGTAATAAATATGCCAATAAGATCAGATTATGTAAAAGGAAACAAATTGTATGACACGAAAACTTCGAATTATTTATTACTTATTACTATGTTTAATTATAGTTCGCACTACATAATAAACAACTATATTTTCTGATTCAGTAAATAACATGTAATTAATTAACTGAAATTTTATTTCGTTTCCAGAACGATAGCGCTAGCGCTGTTATGCGCGTGGACACAGGCAATATCGCCGGTAGGAGACACCAACGAATGCGCGCTGTACCTCACTGGGCCTGGCCGCACGTCCGCCTACGACTATAGCATTAATCTCCTTAAAGGAAACTTGTAAGTATTTTGAACACTATTTGATGACATCTTAGCATTGATAAGGCATCATTTATGTGTCCTAATTGGGCCGCCTAATCTTAAAACGTTCGAAAATTAGTTTAATTAGTTAGTACTTACACTTCTACATCATCCATTCTAACGTCCTTTAGCGTATTATGTTTCGGTAGATACTGAGAGACGCCAGTCCTCAAATTATTCCAGCAAAAGTTAGTCCGCCCCTGTTACAATTTCTTTGCAAAAAAATGAATAAAGATACCTAATTGTTAAGAAGTCTGGGTATTAAAAATATGACACAGCCATAACCAATTTGGTAGTCTATATTTCCCTCGAGAAAATATCTCTGTTCCTCCAATTCTTTTTCCCAAACTAGGTTGGGGTCGGCTTTAAGTCTACTATGATACGACTGAACTTCGATCTTTACGCGATGCCCCTGCCCTCCTCGGTCCTACTCAACCCAAGTACTAGACGATATCGAAATTCGCTAGAAAGACTGTTGTCGAACTATTTAGGACTCTAACTAAACTTTTGCCGCAAATGTTCGTATGTTCGTGCTCTCCGAGAGGATATCTGTCTTTTCATCAATTGAAAACGGCAATGATTTTCACTTTTAGTAGTAATAGTCACTTATATATAATCAAACAAAAACATAAACTCAACAGTTGTTGACCTTTGTAATGTTACACCTTGATGTTCTGTGTGATGAATGTGACAATGAAGTATTATAGTCTCACGATCAGTGCACTAATGCGATACTGTCTGACCGCTTTGCTTTCACCACACCTATAACTAAGCACATGAAATGAGTTTAAAAATAACCTGAGGCTTCGCTTCTTATTTCGTAATTTAAACTTTGAAAATGACGAACTTCCATACAACCGTTCAGTCCTTATTTTTCCCCGTTAGGGGTGAAGTTTTCAAAAATCTTTTCTTAGTGTGTGATTTCTTAGCTGATGTTTTTTATGTTGTACCTAACAACATAAAAACATCAGCTGCCAGAATTACAAGTTTGTAGCCCCAATGGTTTAGGGTCTGCTTTAAAGAACCAGTCACTCAGGGCAAGAAATTTTGTATGTGTAAGTCAGATAACAAGGCCCCTTTTTTGTCTTCGTCTCTGTCTTTAAAAAAGACAACTCCCACATTAGAAATATATCCTGTCTGTGCCTGTGCGGAAATCCCCTCGGATACTAAAAACCGGTGGTTATGTCGGACATGAACTGAACAAAAACTGCACGCCATCTCGGGTAGCAGTAGCCGGAGAACCAGGAGAACCTTGGAATGAAATCCCTTTAACGCCGACGGACCCCTGGCCATCTACGGCCTGTAGATGACTCTGGCGGCTGTGGGAACCACGGTGTTCCCATTCTACAAACTAAAGCCCTTTAGTTTGTAGAATGGCTCTCCACAGCGCCCTGATTCTGCTAGAGTGAGAGATGGCCTCACCTGTCAATGCCCTTGTTGTGGTAACATGATGCTATAAATTTACTTCTTCAAATTGGTGGGTTGATAATTACAGGTACGTTTAACACCGAAGAGTTGATTATAATTACACTTTCCCAATAAATCTATTAACATTAAAGCGTTATTAACTAGTTCCATAATCATGAGTTACAAGCAACAGTTTGGCAATTTTCGTGCAAGCTTGTTCGTACGTACTTTCCAAAGACATTAATCAAATCACATCTTGTAACAATATTCGATAATGTAGATTTAAAACCTAAATACTCTATTAGATACGTTTTCTAGTTTCCCTAATTGTAATACTATTTGCAATCTAAAACTTTCTAAGTACCACGTTTGAAATATAAACGTTTGAAATGCCAAAAAACGATGCCAAAAGCCGACCTATTGATCTAGAGGTTAGTGACCCTGACTGCTAATCCAGAGGTCATGGATTCAATTCTGAACCTGGAAAATAATTATGTGATAAGAGCGATCATTTGTGCTGTATCCGGGTGTAGTTTATCTAAAATATGTATATATTTAGAAATATATAAGCATGTTTATCAGTACTCTAAATAACATCGTGCAGGCTCTGCTTGGGGGAAAATAAAATTATTCAAAGTTATTCAATAGATCAAAGAGATGATGCAAAATATCAACATGCCTATTAGATTCCACTCATCTCACGAACTATGCCTTGGAGAAACCGTCACGCTAGCTTGCCATGTTAGAAGGGTAGAGTACTAGAAATTCGTAGTAGGTAACCATCGACCCAAAAAAATGTCCGAGAGAATAGACTAAACTTTCTAACACCTACATTTGAATCGTTGAAAAAACAGTAAACAGTAATCGTTGAAAAAATAGTACACAAAATTATTGGTACCCTTTAAATTAAATTGTATTTTAATATAGCTTATTATATGAGATATTGTGTTTAACATCAGTATCATCTTGTTTTACGATACGTAACTTAACCTAACTATTAACATATGTATGTTTACATGGACAGATATTACACGTGTTTCAAGCAAAAAATATGTTGATAGGTGATCGAGTAGATTAACACATTACAAAGTAAAGCAATCCTATTCTTGTCAGTCTATGGATGGGTGACCATTCTTAGCACATTGAGAAACGATAAGCCATCGGTTATTGTTGCCATACAAACATCTTACTTGGCAATCGTTAAGCGTAGTTGGAGCCCTAAAAAAAATCTGACAACAGTTTATCTACAGAACTTCGTTATGGCATAATACTTTGGTTGTGGAGGTCTGGTGGCAGACGCTTCACGTGAAAAATCTAAATTCAGCTGTGTCGCAGTAGACTCAACACAGACCCTAATGTTATTTCTAAAAAGGCTAGGCGAATAATTGTACAATACTCTCTAAATTAAATACTAACATCACTAACAAATTCATTAAACATTTCATTGAAGCACAGATTACCTGTGTGAGCCTATCAACCAGTGACACATGTGATGCGCAAATCACTGACTAATTGACTGAGCGTCTGAAATAAAATAAAATAAATTAAATCTTTCTTCACAAAGTTTAAATAAAAGGATAATAACTCCAAACTGGCAAATCACACAGTCGAAAATTATTCTTTTGACATATCCGTTCATATGTAACAAACTTGCAGTGATCACTACAACGCGTGAGAATTTATCCGTATCGTAAATAAAATGTATTCGGTTATCTCTCAACTATCTTAAGTCGTTTATTAATGCAAACAACGTATGTCTTATGTATCATACGTTGTTAAATATTCATGTGTAAAAAAATATGACTTAAATGCGTATTTATATACGTTTTTTAATAAACTTTAATTGTTATTTTATCTTTGTAAGTCAGTCAGTCGTTGGAATGAGTCAACAGAGACTAGTCATGCACTATGTGTACAACAGATTACTATAGCTCGGTTTTTCTCGTACTATCTGCTTTTTTTTACTTCACTATTTAGTAAGCCTTAAAAATGGTAATAAGAAGTATTAAATGTAAAAACCACATACTTTAATGTGTTTTTTATAATATTTTTTCTAATATATTTCGAGACTCCACTGTATAAAATAACCATTTTTATTCTAAGCTAAATTTTATTTCATTCGTTGTATAAATAAACTAGCTGTCAATAATACTTCTCCTTAATGTTCTCAAATATTATAATAATTTTATCAAAATGTCAAGTGTAATCAAATGTTTTTTTTTCTAAAATATTTTTTCCACATTTACACACAAATGTTATTATCATATTTATAAAAACATCTTTACTAGTCTGTGCCAAATAAGATTTTTGTTTAACAAGTAACACTTTGTAATGTACAGTGCTAAAGAAATCTAGAAGGTAAATTCATCGAATGTGTGTTATGAGAACCCATCACGGCAGTAAGCCGCAAACTTCTTTCTGTAAAACTAGGTTTATGCGACGTTTCGAATCCTAAAAGTTTCATAATCCTGATATTACAAGTATGAGTTTGTTTATTCGTTTTCATACCTAAAGTAATTAACTGATCAACGTAAAATTTTGCAAGTGCATTTTTAGGAGTTCTACACTAAAGGGCGTAGAGCACCTTTCCTTCCACAAAAAAGAAAACCATCCCGAAAGGTAGATAAAAAAGCTTTCACACGAGCATGACTACAGTAAAAACTAGTACTTTAATAAACCGACACAGTTTACAAGGTATTATACAACTTTCTATATCAGAAAGTAAAGCAGAAGTTCCACAATAATATATTTTTTCACTCTGTTCCAGTATACCGTTCACTAGTTGACCTCTATCACGTAACACGTCATAAGATAGGACCATAATGCTTTCTCATCTCCGAGTTAGCTAACAGATCGGTTACATTCACTTTCAAAATCCTTTCGCTTAATTTGTACCTTGGGTACGATTACCGCGTGGAACAATATATCTTTATTCGTAACTCGGCTTATCTTGATGCTATGGGTCGACGGACAACGCTCTTGGACTCCTCACCTTTTAAAGTAATCGTTCGTGATATCTATACTATATTATAATAAAGTTTAAGAGTTTTGTTTGTTGTGAAGATTAGCTCTGGAACTATGAGCTAGATTTGAACTTGACTTTTTGTATTTTTAGGGTGTTTATTGGGGCATTATAGGTTATGTAAAATCATACTATGATCCGAAAGAGCAAGGTAGTGACCACAAATACAGGTTCCGTAGCATAGTAGTTTTTCTTGCATATTTAATAACACAAAAGTTTGCTACTTCTGTTAATTTCATTGTTAAGGAAACCGTTAAGATAAAAAATAATAATAGATGAAAATGCTTCATCGCCAAACAAATAAATTTAAAATAATACAACATGAACATTATTACGCCTTGCTGCTTACACACAGCGTGCATCCCAGACTCAGAACAGTTAGTAGTGAATCGTAGAAATAGTTTTTATTTCTGAGAATTGTCATTTAAATCATCCGCATAGAACCAAACTTAAATAATAATTCATCTTTTCTGAACATAAAGCCTTTCACAAAAAATGTCCCACGCTTTCATTGAATGACTCTCCAGGAAAGTGATGACTGTCAGGGTCAGATTCGTTAAAGAACCACGATTTTAAATAAATTCATACAAGAGTTACGGTAGTTAATGAATATTGATTAACACCATAAAGTAGAATTGTTAAAAAATCAGAACCACATCACTACAAACCGCGGTCATTGAACTTTAAAATAACAGTAAAAAGTACAAACTACAACAAAATCATCAAGCAAATATTTGTCGTGTAAATTATCACAAATGCACTAACTATTGAAACAAATATGTTTACTGTATGTAGCTATATATACTTTTGTCACCGACAGTACAGTCATCAAGTAAATCCGCATAACGGTGCAACCCGTTCAAGGTAAACTTCGCTCCCATCACATCGTTTGTTAAACACTCACTCACGTTTGTCTCACGAAGATCATCGAGTTATATGTTCATAACGGTATTCTATCATTAATTCTAATAATTATTTATCAAAGCTTTGGAATATAAGTGCTGTATAGAATGATGTTATTGACGTCGTAAACTTTTCCTGTTATTGATTTACTACGTCAATTGTACTCTTTGCTTTGGCTTTTATTCTGCTGAAATTTCTTATAAGGATGCTAAGTAATGACGATTAATTTAGTTTTCAAAGATCTTTTAAAAGCGGTCGATCGGTTAAAGTTTTTAAAACCTATTATATCTATATATATCAAAAACAGTCTACTTACTTAATAAAAATATTTTTCAGCAAATAAGGGCTTCTTACAATGCATTATTAGGCTACCCATTGTACGTGAGTGAAGTTCAGGGAAACACAAAAACCCCCTTGCGATAAAAACAAACAGCCGATACTAGGGATGTTACGATGCTCAACTCTTCCGATTGACTTCATCCGTCCGACTCCAACTCCTGTTTCTGACTCAGGTTTCAGTTACCTCGTAATTAGATCCCTTGATAATTTAGAACTTTGTTTGGTTTAAATGTTTGGCCGCGGCTATGGAGGTGGGTACAACACATGACAAAGTCGCCGTACGGTATAACACTGCTAATAGAAATTTAAACGATGTTGCCTAGTCTTAACTTTCGTGTCGTCTAACCCTGGCCTTAATGTTTTGTATGTATAGCTAATACAAAGTGATTACTATAAATGTTCACAAATGCTAAGTTCAAACAAGAAAAGAGGCTATGAAAACAAAACACAAGTCATTTTAAACCACCAAGAAACAGTTCAATCATCGTATAAACATTTTCGCATAGTAATTCAATACGTCTAAACAAAGGTTTGTGCTAGGGTTGCCTGATACGATATATCGGAACATCGACAGAACACTATTTAAAACATGTTTTAGCCGACAGTTGGATTATACGGTTTGATACTCCGTACTAATCCTAATCCTACAATCCTATATCCTATTATATTTTATATCGATAAAAATTCATGCGATATGAAAAGGTGGTAATGTCTTGTGTTAACGGTTTTCATACGTTTAAGATATGGTATATCGATAAACTTATAGACTTTATCAGTATCCCTAGTGGGTACAATCGTGGGAGGTGCAGTCTGTTTATCTAAACTGTTTCTTATTCGTGACAATGGGATGTTACGTAACCAAAGTGGATAAGTTGTAAACACAGTTACACATATGAACACAAAAACTGCAGTCCAGTTTGCATATTTTTGCAATAATTTATTTGCATAAATCGAAGTATTTTCATGTTTTATAATTCATAATTTATTTATTTACTGATCAATGGTCTACCTTAACGGTATGCAAAAATTGGTCAAAAATAATTATCAATTGATTTAGAAAAAAAAATTACATTTGTCAATAAACATATCAAATAAAAATGTCAGTATAAATTTCAAAATGTCAAAATGTTACAATTATACGTTAAGTTACAAATAAATGTATTTAATTAAACAACAATAATAAGATCATTCCAACTAGCAATAATGCAAATATAATCTTATTTTCCTGAGAGAAAGTCACTTATTGCATAGTAATATTTCTTTACTAAAAAGTCATGAAAGCGTTTCTTAAATAGATTAATATTTAACTTTTTAAATTCATTAGGTATCCTGTTATATATGACTGGCGCCATGCCATAAAGCTGTATTTGCTTTATGTATGCGAAGCCTATCGCGTGTATATGTCCTTCTACTTCGTGTAACAGTGTCTGCGAAATTTGATTCAAGATTTTTTTAACTGACAAATTTTAATTAAAGCTGAAAATTAACTGATAAAGCTAGTATTTCACAAGGAAGTGAGCTGACATGAATGAAACGATGTCTATTTAATACCAAAGATATTGATGGAATGTACGCATTTGTCAGAAAAGATGGTATAAAAAGTTAAAAAACAAGAGCATCGAAATTGACATGGGAATTTATAACACTTTGTTTAAAATTATTCATTACTAACAAGAGAAACATTTCCCAAAGAAATCCCTATTTCGCTTCTTTTTCCTATTCGAGACGAAACTTGCATTTGCAAGCTATATTACGAAGTGAAAGCATAATATTACTAAATTAAAAGCTTAGGCCCTGTACCTATTTTAAGCTGGAACATACCTAGGCAGTTAAGTACTACTACCGTTAAACTTGTGGTAATTTTTTTCCGATTTTAGTTCATGATTTCTCTTAGTACGTTACTTATTTTTATTATTACTTTCATATTAAACACATAAAGTTTAATTTAATACATCGCGATGAATATATACATATCCTAGAAAATGCACCTTTAAAATATCTTTAGTAACCGGTGGTAATATTTAAATTGAAATTGACCAATTCAGTTAAAATACAATGAAAGTTATTTCTTGAGAAATCCAGCACAAGTCTAGAGTTATTTTATTTTTATCGTTTATTTATGTAAAACTAAACAGTCACATGACTTGGAAAACCGAAAGACATAATAAAATATAATAGTTACGATATTATACATGTTATGATAATAAATCGTTAAGTATAATTGATGTCATTCATACATTTAAATAAATACAATAAAAGTATTGTGATATATGTTTCACATTGTGAAATATAGAAATATAGATAAAAGTAACAAATCGTCATAAAAAGAAGTTGCAAAAGTAAAAGTGAATAAAAATACACCTATTCATAAATCAGTATAACTATTTGAGGATTACCGATTTTTTGTTCCGTAAGAGAAACGAACCCCTTTCTTTTCTTTCTTTTTTTCGGTGGCATGTCGGACTCGAACCGACTAAAACCGCACGCCGTCTCGGGTACTAATAGCCGGGGAACCAGGTATACCCTAGAAAGGAAGTCCCTGGTGCATCAAGAAACGAACCCCTAACATATCACGGGGCACGAGCTCAGCATTAAGGCGACCACTTTCAGCATTTCCACCATTTATGTAATGAAGTTTAATTTATGGAATGTTTTAGGAATTTCTTGATTTAGAAGAAGAAGTATCGAGACTGAGAATAATACTTTAGCACAGAGAAAACCGAATCTTAGATAAACTCCATTTACAATGTGTGCTAACTACAATTTTAGAGCATTAAAACTTTTTTCCTCACTTTTGTTTAGAACTTCCCACAAGTCGAACTTACGTAAGAGACTATTTATCTCTTATCGAGAAACATAATGAATTTCATATCAAACGTACCATCACTTACATTACCAAATGTTAGAATCACGCGAAAACACATAAAAAGCATGTTGAATAACAACGATTACCATCATGTTAAGTAACTGATGGCCTCAGACATCAGCGACTATTTGATTTAGGTTATGAGGCCAATTGCGATCAGTATTTTTTTATTAGGTAAACTATCACTAATTTCGGCATACCTATCTTTGATTTACTAAATAAAAGAAACACTAATTTCAAATTTATTCTATTATACCTACATATAATTGGATAAATTGATTTTCGTGTTTTTACTTAGTTACTACTTAGTTAAAAACCTCGGTTTGGGACGTAGTGGTTAAAATGGGCGCACTTGCTACCAGTCGAATAGCTAAAATATAAACATGGCAAGACATTATTAATACAAGAATGCAAAGTTTTTTATTGATATAAAGATTTAAAGATACGTACGAATTTTTTTGTTGTTATATAAATAATAAAACTTCTAATTTTGCGAATATTTTATCGTTTTACAGTAGTAGTCGTTGTACTACGAGTATAGTATTTATTTTTTATCAGTTAATTAATAAAATTTGAAATTTCATTAAAACATTTTTCTACATTACTATTGAAAATTATGATCAGTCCGATCACAAATTGTAGTTTATTTCTTGTTAGTAAATTTCTGTCGCTCTCCCATAAGTCCCTAAACGGTGCAGTCTTCTAGTGCACTATCATTACCGCAGTTATCATCATTGTATCATTTGGGAATACGATTTCATTCCACTTCATGCAATTTGTTAAAGTATTACTATACAAAAAAAAATGACGACGAGTAAACTACACAATTTATCTTGACACAAAATAAAATAAAACTTACATAAATGAACAACTTGTAAAAATAAATAATAAACATAATAAACTTGTAAAAAATGTATATTGTGTATCTAACATGAACATTAACACTTATACATGTTTAATAGAAGTTTATGAAATACTCGTATTTACTGCTTTTATTTAACTATTTTATTAATTATTGTATTTCTTATTGTTTTAGTGGATACGAAGGCCAGAGCAATTGTATCACCTATGAAGCAATTAATCAAGCTTATCTCGAGGCAAGAAACAGAATCCGTAAGTATTTTGTGTTAACGAATTGCTTTATTGCAAGTGAAATCCTATTTGTATTCTTCAGTCAATTTAGGTTTTGGTTATTTGCGTAAAAGAACTTTGGGTACTAACATTATGCAGAGCACATTACCGATAACTGCTCAGAAATAAAAGTATTATTTGTAACAACTTCTTTTCTTTATTTTTGAACGATTACTATCAGATGGTTAAACAACCACGTTATGATGATCTACCTATAAGGGTTACTTTTACCAGCATCAGTCGAGGGTCGAGTACATGTCTGTTACCTGTACGAACATATATTATACAGAGTGTAAGGTACATCACATCGTAACGAATACTGAAATAGTGTGTTCAGACCATCATTACGAGTATAAAATCATATATATATATATAAAATAAAATAAAATACTTAATAGGAATGTTACAAATGTATCACATTACTGTATTATCAAATGGGCGAAGCGGAAGAAATTTCATCTCGTTATATTGTTATTCCTTATAATGCATGCACTATATTACATAACATTAAACCGGTTCACACAATGCGCCATCATTCCATATGATTGTTAGTAAAAGAAAGTTTTCTAATAAACGACAGAAATCTTTCTACAGTTGTGACTAAAATATTTAATTTAGTTGATTTCGTTCTAAACAGTTACATTTCAGTTGTACAAATTAAACATTCGAAATACCATAAATATCATGCGTACCGCCGAAAAAATCATGTATGTAAAACATTCAGTATTTTATTGGTTAAATTGCTTCGAAAGTTTTTGTTGCATAACATAATATTTTTTTAAGAACCCGACTTAAGAACTTAAAAACAAAAAGACTTTTTATTTTAAGAACAAAACTTTAATAACATTGCTCCATGGAACTCTTGGCTTTTACGTTAAATACATTGACCGGCCGTCGGAATTAATTAGTCGACAGACTCACTTTGCATGTGGCACCCCCATTTAGGTATTTACTTCTTGCTAGCTTAATCTTAGAAATAAAACAATAGTGATTGATGAAAAAAATGTTTTCCACAGTGGTGTCACAACCAAAAGGAGACTGGAAGGCGGAAGACTTTGCTAGTGTCGGCGAGCTAATTCTCGATATCTCCACTAATATAGCTCGAAGGTGAGTCTCTTTATGATTCTAATACTTAAAGTATTTAGGTACAAACTTTCTACTACCAAAATGTCAACAAAGGTAAACTAGTTTGGTTTTCTTATCGTTATGAGATTGTCAAAGAATAAAATTACCTTCAAACACTATGCATATAGGCATTCGCGTCACTATCAATCAACGGCAGTTTACAAGATGTGACATTAATGTAAACTTTTGTAACCATTAATTACTTATATGATTATCTTTTCAAGTGAACTTTCGTTTGCCATTCACCTACTGAACTACTTACCTTTCAGTGATGGTATGATCCGTACATGGTTCTTTAATTGGCAACAATGCGCGCGAATGTACAAGGCTAATCTTCTTTGAAACTTACTTTTTGTTTATTCTATATATCCAAGGCCACTTACAGTGCGGAATGTATACTATTGTGATGAGTTGAATCGTGGCAAGGAAAGATATATTATTTAAAGACAAACGACCCTCGATCTGTGAAAAGTCTATGTTACTGGTAGCCACAGATTACGAATGATCTAAAAAATTTAATTGCTTTTAAATTTTTCAACGGGTCTGCTTTACGACCTTAATTATTACGGCACCTCCCTGTGTTAATTATTATTATTAATATAGTACATGTTAGCTTTGAGACGCATAAACCAAGTACCAACCAACTAAATATGTTGACAAACAAAATCTTCGTAATGTTGGGTTTTAGGACATAACCATTTTAGGCGAACGATGAATTTAGCTGTAAAATGATAATTTAAACACGAGCCAAAAGCTTCTAGCTTGTGTTTTAAATAGTTAAAGTAAATAACGCAATTGAAGAAACAAGGTAAGGCATAGCATTGTGTTGTTGAAATTACTGTGATTATAATTATCGTATTGCCTGGAAAAAATAAAATTTTGTGTTAATTCTTAAAATTTAAGTTAAATTATATTGAAGTTTATTAATATATTTCAAGTTATTTTATACTAATATACTACAAGTAACTTCAAGTATAGGCTACAATTTTGCAAAGTAATGACCATACTTAAGCTTGAAAAAGCGCCTGAATTATGAACAGCTGATGGAGTTGCTTCGTATAACGTGTAAGCGAAATATGTATGTATGTTGATGTCTATCCCGCACATAGTTCTCCAAGGCTTGCATCTTATAGAGCCTTACATTACTTTTTGCTTAATTTACAGGTCTAGCCAAAATCAAAGTCAGGAATTACGACATACTTTACGAGGACTAAACGGTTAAGACCTAGTCCTTGATCTTACCCGCGTTGATACGCCTACAAAGCGCACTGACCTTCATAGTGAACGGGAGTGGCAAATGTCTTCTTGGCTCATTAGCGCCCACAAGCGGTAACCACAGTTGTCAAATGATTATCAATTTAATAAATTAGAGGTGTGATGACCTAATAAAATGATAATTTAAAAAGTATTTCCTGAATCACAATAGTCTACATTTTCCAGACCATTAGGTAATTCAATCCGTTTTTATGGTACTAAAAGAAAGATACTTAGACCTACTTGACCAAATTAATCGGTCTGTATCATTGCTATGTAATTTATTTATTTACACTGCTCTCCTGAAGTTGCCTACCAGATATCGTTGATAACAGACTCGGGGGTCCGAAATTTATTACTAAAAGGGTCCGAAATCCCATATCCGATTTAATCAAATCGGATATGGGATTTCGGACCCTTTTAGTAATAAAGAATGTTATTTTCTAGCATTATTTGGGCGATATTTAAAACTTCACTATTACTGACTATGAAGTATAATTGCTACAATTAATCAGTGTATTTAAAAGATGTGAACATAACATAAAGGTAACAACAAAATTAAAACTCAATATTGAAATGCAATATTCCAAGAACTGATGTTAGTTTGGAACAGTACTAAACCAAATGAGAATTCTAGTTACCACATAAGCCATAGTTTATACATGCTATATAATAATGCAATCGTTAACATCGACCATAATTCAAAATTTGTAGGGGCGGTATAATTATAACGTACTTTAAACGGACGGATTTCCAAATTGTATCTACAAAAAAAATACTTTCCCGTTATATTTGAAAGTTTTATTGAATTATTAAAAAATAATATATTCGATTTCCTATCGCAAATATTCGCACAGGACCTAAACATAAATAATATCAATGTGTGTATATGAGTATGTATAAGTATATGTATGTACTGAACTGTGTATATTTTCATTAATTACATTATATGTAATCTCTGTACATCTTCCTTACAATATTTCTACACCACTCGAAAATTGAATGGAAGAGAATGCCAAACGATGTACAAAAGTGTGTAGAGCTTAAAATAAGGCTTTATCTAAGTGAACACGGTTCCAAATTTAATGTGAATGTTAATATCAATATTAAATGCTGTGACTAGGAATTATAATCATTGATATAACGGACCTCATTCTGTCCTCTAATTACACCATAACTATTGTTTTACACTATGGTAAATTAAAACACGTATGTATGTAATAAATATAGAAATCCTAGAATATTGTTGAAACTCACAAAGTGTTTACTACCTTTTATTTTCGAAATCCTATTTGAAGATGTTTTAGGCTTCAACTGGCCGTCTTATCTGAGGCTAGGCAGAGCCCGTATTATGGTAACCAGGCTGCTGATAAACATACTTATACAATATACCTACATTAATAAATAAATACATACTATATTATATAAATTATACCCACACACCGAACTATTTTTTAATTGTATTATACAATTTGTAAACTGTATAAAACAGGACATTTTAAACAATTAATAAAAACTTGCAAATTAAATAGAGATTCTCTGAATAATTTAGTATCTAGCTCATTTGGAAAGATTTTAATTGTTTTATTGCGTTTGTTAATTACATTCAGACAGTACTTGTTTTGTAGTTACAAAATGTATGATGATTCCAACACAAGGCTATATAAAATAGACGTAGAAAGATGTTATCTTTCTAAATTGAATGTAAGAAGTGTAGTATTTTTATTAAGAAACTAGCCATATTTGCATAAGTTTTCCATTGTTATTTATCTATAATATGTATGTATTTATAAATATATGAGTATTTTTATCTGGAAATTAATGTTCCCTATTGACAGTAATAGGCTTGCCTCCTATTACCTGAGTGGTTCTGAAATTATAGTCGCAAAATGTGGGCCTATGTGTACCCCTTCGGAGGCAAAGAAGCGCCTGCGTGTGTGTGTATGTGTGTGTGCGCGAGTGTCTGTGTGTGTTTGTATATGTATATGTATGTCAAGGTACTAAGGTCTAAATGCCTAACAGTTTTACTTGTTTTGCAAACTTTATTATATTCTTACACATTATTATGCCAGTTAGCAATGCTTGTAATTATAAAATATAATATGATTAATTTTACAATTATATATAATATTATTAAATTATATAAAAAAATGTTAATAACAAAAACATTGTCTATGGCCAGATGCAATTAATTTAGATTTTCGCAAAGTTATGTAATCTTTAAACTAATTGAGACTTAAATTACAATGTACAGTTATCATTGCGTATCATCTCGAAGGTCAATGCGTAATGAATTTGATTTGGTGTCTGTCTGTCGACATGATTGACACATATAGGTCAATAAATAATACCCACATTGTTTAAAATGTAACTCGTCATACGGCTTCTGAGTAGTCGTGCATTTAATTGCTAACTAAGAATATTATCTATATGTGTGTATAATATAGCAATATTTATATATGTTTGTAATTATGGTGAAAGTGATAACACACACACAACTAGTACTTTCACTGTTGAGATTTCCTTAATGAAATATTATTTTCCCTCTAACTACGATATATTATAATTTGGTACTGCCACATGAAACAACATCCCTGCTACTGTAAGTAACATGACTCCAGCTCACTTCTGTTATAACAAATGCCTCGTCTGAGACTCCAATGAAATGTCGCCTTACACTTACTACGTACATATATAGGATGCCGTATGTTGTGATCGCCGATACGACTTATTACAAATAAGTTTTTTTTAAACCTGATCGACCCTGTCAATTAATTTAATACTGTGTGAATTGACATGGTCGGTTAGCTGCACAATCTTCGTGCCAACCATCGTATTAGAACCAATGGCCTAGAGCATATTGTTCAATATGAAATTCAATTAACAACTTGTACATGGATGCCTTGAACCACATATGAATGTATCTAACCTTTATCATTTAAGCAAGATATGCATAGCTTAATAAGATATCGGTAACCAAGAAGTATTTTTAAATTGATTAGAAGAAGAGGTTCAATTTATCCGTAGAGCTTTTTTTATCTTGCTAGGCAGTGTCAGTCGGATGTGGAAGTATTTCACTTTGTTAGATTTTTGATTTTTTTCCTAATAATTCCACGTACTCGTAATAATACTCTCTTCTATCATAGGTACAAATATGGATCGGTGACCATTCTTAACATATTGAAACCCTGTCGTGCCTCGGGGAGCACGGTAAGCGACCGACCTTCACGGTTGCTATACGACCATCCGTGGCTATCGTTACGGGTAGTTGGTGCCCCTAAAAAGTCCGACAACAGTCTTTCTAAAGAACTTCGATATCGCCTAGTACTTGGGTTGCGGAGGTCTGATGGGTGTAAAATCGAAGTTCAACCGTATCGTAGTAGTCTTAAAGTCGACCCCAACATAGTTTGGGAAATAGGCTCGGAGGAATACATAATTCGGTGTACAGTGGCAAATTATGATGATTATACACAGGTTCCCAGACTGAGTCAGTCTCGTATTCTGGGAATATAGGTTCTCTTTATGCTCACCTGCCTAATAGTACATTAATAGGTCTAGGTATTTATGTCTAAAGTTGCTGTATTGCCATATTTTGATCTCCACACAACTCTCCAGACAAAACCTTTCACACTATCACTTTCTCTGTAGCTACTTATTACGAGATACTATCTATTCTAGACCAGACTAAATATATCGCTAAGCTCTTATACCAATAAACAAGTTCATTGAGACATACATATACCTACCTGTGGCTCTATAGTCCTGCTGTTTAAAAATTGAGAATTTGAAATCAATCATGTGCGAATGTGTACTATGCATAATTTTAGTGGCCAAATTTATAAATACACACACACACACAATAAACACACTAAGCAGAATCTTCTTTAAACGAATATTTTTAAGGCATAAAAAATATTTAGGTAAATTATTGTTAGGCCGAATGTTTATATGTCCGAATTTAAGATGGCATACTTTTAAGATGGCATTTTTAATTACAAGAAATAATTCAGCATAATTTCGTATAGCATAACGTTTATTTAGAGCGATTATAATTTGGTACAATTTCATTTGGAATAATTTTATTAGGCATAACGCCATAAAATATCATTTTTAACCTTAAATTAAAAGATTATCTTAAAAAGCCCGCGTAGGCGCGGAGGGGCGAGGTAGCCCACGAGCTGAGGAGGAGGTGCTTTCGCGTACCGCCGTAGATCCGCGCGCTGGAGTCGTGACAGATATGCTGCATGCTGCATTCTTGCTGGATTGGAATGGAAATGGACATGGAAAAAATACAAGATGATGGATAAATAGTCTTTCAATTATTATAGGTATGAAATGTATGCCAAAAGATGATTCTCACTGTAAACTTCCTGGGATATGATAGTTCTAACTTTTAATGACCATCGATGCTCAAAGACGATTCTGACTACTTCTTGCACTTTCGGCGATATGATGGTTCTACTTTTTAATTATTATGGATATGAAGTTTATGCCTAAAGATGATTATGACTTACAAAATTATGAGTTTTGCGTATATGATAATTGAGTGTCAGCCAAACGATTTTCTACGAAATGAAGTTATACAAAACAATATTATGAAAAAGTTTTGCTATAAAGGGTAGACCCAAACATTACAACATCAAATTTTGATCTTGACAATGTTTAATCTGAGGCCTTCAAACAAACGAAGCCATTATATGATTGCACAGTTGTATATGATAACAAACAACATTAACGTTTGGTCTCTAACGTTCATGACATTTGGTACCAAACGTATCCTTCCTTGCATCGCCATCGACATTTGACGTCGTGTTGAGTTTGCAAAATAAATGATGTATATTATGTCATAAACAGAATAGCGGAAATCAGGTGATCTCATTGCATGTAAAAACTCCTAAATAATCGGTTAATTGGTGTACAAGTCTGATTTGCAGATATAAATCATTGACAAACTGTTTGGTGCAATAATCCTTGACATTTATTGTATCCGTTACCGAATTGCAGGTAATAAAAATTTGTATCATGTGATTCTAGTGCGCTAGTAAACAATGCCTATAGCTGCTTTATATTATGACCGTTGCAAATCACAATCAATATTCCTGTTACTTTTTATGTTACTGTTACTTTATATTGCAAAAAACTATTACATGTCTAATTTTTATTTGCAATAGGAAATAAGAAATCATTTAAATATTTTCAAAATTAATTGACAAACGAAGTGCTGTTATGACTTAATAGCAGTACTTAGGTGTGTAAATTTATGTTGATGTTTAGTGCTCTTTTATAATTTAAAAAATAAAAAAAATAAAATTGATTAAAAGAAATGTTATAAGGTTATTTGTTAGGTATGTATGGGGCCGCGGGCCGCCAGAAACTTACGTCTTGTGTTGTAAGTTTTATATTATATGTATAACTTGTAAAATTAGTAAAAATAATAATACTGTTAAAAATAGTCTTTATGTAAGTCTTAACTTGCTTCACCAGATACGGACTGACTTACGAAGAGATCGAGAAAGGCCTGCCCCTCATCGACACATCCCGAACATTAATTCGAGAAGTATGCCCTCCAGTCTTCTCTCATGTGGAATGCAGGGCTGGCAAATACAGGCGGCTGGATGGACTGTGCAATAACCTTCAACACCCTACATGGGGTGCGACCATGGCTCCTTTCCAGAGGTAAGTTAAAAAAGGGACTCTTTTTTTATTGACAATTTGGAAAAAGCTTTTGTCTTCAATCACATTATTATGGAAATTATGGAAAGTGATAATGAAGACGAATATGAGATACACCTATTCAAGAGAAACCTATTCGCTCAATTGTCCAAAATGGGCTTTAAAATTAGGTAGTTCATTCCAGACTTTGGTGACTCGACTCAAGGATGAAGTTTTGGAGTCAGATAATCTGGTTGCAATGATATTGCCCCTAAATAACATTAAAAAGAGAAAAAGAAGTATATTTAGTAAATATACTTCTTTTTCACTTTTTACCTGTATGTATTTAATTCTACGTACATGACAAGGTGAAAGTCTGCTAGCTAAAATTAAAAGACTAATTGAAACATAATAAAGTAAATGTAATCACATTTGTTTATCTCTTTGCAGATTATTAGGTCCTCTTTTCTCCGACGGTATCAACGCCCCGCGTATTGCTCATCACGGTCGAGACTTGCCGCTCTCTCGAGTAGTATCTCGTACCATGCATCCTGATGAAGGCTTCCATGATCACGCCGGCACTGTGATGGTTATTGCTTGGGGACAATTCATGGACCACGATTATACGCTTACTGGTACACCACTTGGTAGGTTCAAAATTTTAACTAAAAATTCTAAAACATTTGCTTATAGAACATTACTGTTTGGTGTTTTCTTTTTAATGAAGGGGTATATTGTAAAGAGCCATCTTCATTGCCTTTTGCATTCAGTGCCTTTTCCGGACCCAACTAATTCGAATACAATTGAAGTTCAGCAGCTCCTAGGCTGCTACGTATTCGACTCTTGGCCAAACTGCTGTCATATAAGTTTAAAAATATTTCTGTTACGATTACTTACCATTATCTAACTCCAAATTCTTAAAATCACACATTTACGACTTAAGCCGTAATAAAAGCCACATTTATTAAATTTATCAACTCACGCATCAGAATATAAAATCTTTAGACACATTTGCCTGCGTGTTTTTTTCATCAAAAATTTCTTTATCTTTATCAAAAAAAGTGGATCATGATTTCGTCATCATCATCTATCTATCATTTTTCCAATTCAAACATTTTTCCACCAAAATCCTTTGCAATGTCAAAACCTTGCATTGCAAAGTTTACATACGGCACAAAGGATATCAAAATGGGGTAGGTAGACCAGATAGGATGTGGGAGCTAGGGCATCCCTACTGCAAGTCTCGTATCGGCAACGGGACTTCAATAGCTCGAAGCAGCCAGATTAATATATACAATTTTTCGGACATCAGACACACAACAAACTAGACATTATATATTTCACATAGAATGTGTATGTCGCTTATGTGTATGTTTTTTGATTGGAGATGCTACTAGGACAGACGTCACATCGATTGCTATAATGAACTGTAACAACTTTTTATTTTTTTGTCACAAATAATGTGTCTTAACAGATCCCAAAAGCCGCAATGATCCTGAAGAGTGCTGCAACCGTCCACCTCACCTAAAGCATCCGTACTGTAACGAGATCCGCATCCCTGATGATGATTACTTCTACCGCTTGTTCGGAGTTAAGTGCATCGACTTCGTGAGAGGATTCCCATCGCCAAGACCCGGCTGCCGACTGGGTAGGAAAGATTTGAAATATTGAAATAGCTTACGGTTTATAAGATATTAACGCTTATTATCATAGGCAAAGAAATTATTCCCATAAAAGAATTACTTGCACATTGTGTACCTCCTACGTCCATATACTCATATAATATAATATAATAATAATAATATATTCTACCACATACACACAACGCCATCTAGTCCCAAACTAAGCAGAGCTTGTACTATGGGTACTAGACAACTGATATAAATACATATATACTTTTTTTTTTGTAAATACATACATATTATACATAAAAACACCCAGACCAAATCAAACATCAAATGTTCATGCACACAAATGTTTGACTTGAGCGGGAATCGAACCCGCGACCTTTGGAATAGCAGTCCGTTACACAAACCACTACGCCATCCAGTCGTCAAAATATGGTCCGAAATTATGTAATTCAACTGATTTTAACGTTTTTTTAGAATGCTAACTTCTGCTGGAGTTTTATTCTATAAGCTTAAAAATAAAAAATAAAGCAGACGGACAGACAGAAGCATAAGAGCACAGATTTGAACGGTAAAGCATAGTACCTTAAAATATACAACAACATATTCATAAGTTGTTCATTTTATGAATTTTATTGTCCCCAAACCCAATGCTTTCTTTTTTGACCAACATCAACTGCGGCGTGATACAATAAATATTTAACAACTTGTTAAATATTTATTATTGTTATGTAATTATTGTTGTTAATAACAAGCAAAACTATCAAAAGCAGCATCACAGTACAAAACAGCTAATATATTTCTACGATTGAGCAAGTAGCTTGGTCTCATTGCGGTCGGTAATCGTAATACGATATTTTATATTGACACATAAAACGCATACTGAATTTACCAAAATCAGTCTATTCTGGAACACGTAGAAAACCACATGATGTGATCATTTTAAACAATAAATGACGAGATTCCCCTTTCTTGTTAGGATTTTATAAACAAACTAAAAACATTTTTTACATCATATACTGCTCTCTGCTCGGAATAATGTAAAGCGTATGATATTCAATGTATAAATAGAAGGAGAATATTGTTTGTAGTTTGTTGAAACTTACTAGGTAACTCTCCACTAATTACATTTTTGTACTAATTGGAAAAGTCATAAGATGTACATTTTTAAGAGCTCTTGATGTCCCTATGGATACAACTTCACTGACAGTTTAGTTGTATATTAAACTTGAACTAAAACAAACTCTAAAGTTTACTAAGAATGTGAAAATGGATGTACTTTTTACAGAATAGGTAATAAAAACTAATAAGATTCTTAGATCCATTCTAAAAATCCTACCTCATGAGAAAAAGCTAAGACTACCTACGTAAATAATATAGAAGCAAAAATAAGCTGACTTCTTTGCACATCCCAAAAAAGTCTTCAAAACCTTTCTATTAGTAAATGAACTCATTTTTTACGATATGACACTCAACATAATATTTATATGTTAAATATAACAAAATCCATTGCTTAATACTATTCATAAAAAGACTACAAAGGCCTTAGCCAACAACCAGTGGCAAAGCTTAACTTTCGTTTCCATACTTAATAATATAAGTGGATTACAAAAAGGCTGCATATAAATGTTGTTATTAACAAAACATGAACAGCCCAGACGCTACAGTAGTTGGTTTAACACACTGGATGACCTCAGTGACCCGCGATGGTTTTTATTATTAGACCTCAGAGCAGTCTCGGTGCGTGGCAGTCATTTCCTACGCCGACAAGGAAAGTGTGAGCGTACGCGTTGCTTCTGTTTTCGAATTGCGTAGTATGTTATAGTGCGGAATATCTGAGGGTGTGTTATATCGTAATAGTACACGTTTTCTTCTTGTCCGCAGCTTTCAAATAAGACGACTCTTTGTATGTTCAAACTTCATAGTTAGAAATTAAGTAATATCAGCCAGCCTACAGTAATGTAATAATGTACACAGCTCTTAAGAACATTTGCCCATTTGCCAACACAACTTTTCTCTTGAAAAGAATCTAAAATAGGAGTAAAGAGAAGTGTATTAATAAAATTTAAATTTTCTTTTCCAGCATTTCATTTCATCATTTTTCAATGCCTGATTAATGTACACACTTATGCATAATTACAGATTTCTAGTACTGACAGTCTGTAAGCTAAACCATATAAGAGGTTTCTTATAAGAGGAACAAAACCCTAGAAACGACCAAAAAATCTCTTCTCGTAATTATACATAATACTTATATAGAAGATATCATTAAAGTAGATGGCATAGATACGAATAAAGTTTGATAGAACTCGTTTATTATAAAACGTTTAACATACAAAATCGGTAATCAAAATTACCGACAATAATAATAATTTAATTACAGTTATAATGTTTTGAGGCCTCGTCTTCCTTATCTGGCAAAGCGAGCTTTTACACGTTGCATGATCCAAAATTAAAAGGTCAACGAGCAGAATGGTGACGATCACTAGCATTAACGAAAAAAACTTATCAATGAAATTTAATAATTAATAATAATATTAGTACAGCATATTTGAAACATTAATAAATATTCTGTGTGGAAGACTGGAATCTACACTAAGAGACCTGTATTACAGATTACCAGCCTGAAAATATAGTCGGAGCAGACAAAGAATAAGTTTCTGCATAATTCATTGGCGAGACTTTTGTGTGTGTATGTGTGTGTGTGTGTCTGTGCGTAACTTGAAATACCTTTAAATACCTTATAATAACCTTGAAATAAATAATAGTGATTAAGCCTATTGCCATCAACCGGGATCCAATGACAATAAGATCTAAATCATATACAAAATGTAACCAAGATTTTTTTTGGGTTTTTATGGTTCAATTGGGAGTGTATTAAAAATAAAGGTAGATAAAAAGGGCAAACAATGATATGAAAGTGGTAGGTATTTATACGGATGTATTAGGAAATGTGAGCAGAAGCTCGACCAAGTCTGGGTCGCATTCCTGGACCTCAAATCGACTTTTCTTATTTTTTTAATGTATTTATTTTCTTGTCACATATGCGTACCCTTTTTTTTGTTTTTCCCGTGCGGAAATCCCCTCGGATACCAACTGTCGGTGGCATGTCGGACTCAAACTGACTAAAACCGCACGCCGTCTCCCGTACTAATAGCCGGGGAACCAGGTATACCCTAGAAAGGAAGTCCCTGGTGCCCCGACATACCTCGGGTTATCTACAGACGAGTAGACGACCCCCAGTGTGGGAACCCCATGTTCCCTGTGCTCCCGTGAGCACAGGGAACATGGGGAGACTCGTGCTGAGATATACCTTTTTATAGATTCGATTAAATTCGGTTCGGTTAAAGATCTCGGTCATGCATGCTACTACAGGATCGTCATTCATGAATTAAAATCAATAATAATCCTTTGTTAAATTGTATCGATGAAACGATATTAACAAAAAAATATTGTTTTGTTTCAGGTTCAAGAGTTCCATTTAACACTTTAACAGGTTCCATTGATGGTAACACCGTATACGGAGTGACAGAAAAATTTGCCCGGTAACATTTTATTATTTACTAGCTTATGTTTGCTCATTTTAATAAATTCATCAGCCAATGTTTTAATAATAAATTGCAGATAGAATTTTTGTAGGTATATAAACAATGTGCCCGTATTATTCTAAGCTAATCTGAAGAAGTCTTCAATTTTAATAAAATACTAAATATTGGCTAAAGTAAACATTTTCTTTAGAAAACGGTAGATATCGTCATCTTGGCTTGTTTGAACGAAGTTGCTTATCGCGCGTTACACGCTCTGAGTGGATGGGAGCGACACCGAACAATGTGTAACAAGACCTTTTCCCGACACTTCTTATTATAGTTACAGCCGTGTATGAACTATATACACCGCCGCACATAGAAAGTCTCGACAGCTCTTTTCTTTTTTTTAATAAAAAAAATTGCTACTTATCTTTTGCTTCATTTCATTAGCAAATTAACTTCTTTTTGTTTATATAAAAAAGAAGTAGACCAAAATATTTGTCTAAACTTCGTTTCTATCGGGTGTCCCACGACACCACACCGCTTTTTTTCTATTCAAACTCAATTCATGGTTATTGAATCCAGACATACCACTTTAAACTTAACGGTCTTTAATAGATTACGATATTTTAGACGGGCACAGAGTTTTATAAAATAACTATTGCCCACTCTAGGTTAACTTAGTTAAGCCCAAAAATCCGCCTTAGTTTCCTTACGAATTAAAAAAATTTATATTATTTAACAATTTTCTCAGTTACATAAAACTAAAATTACAAATAATTGTAATACGTTTCATAAAAAACAGAAAGCTGCGTACCGGTTTCGGTGGTCTACTACGAATGAACCCTATATTCAAAGAATACGGTCTCAAGGACTTGTTACCACTTAAACTTGACATCCCAGAAGAAGGCTGCACTAGACCTAATGATAATATGTACTGCTTTGAGGCTGGTAAGTATCCTTTGAAACGAATACAATAACTATAATAACTTTAATTACTTACACATAAGAACCATTCAGATTCAATATCCTCTAACATAGATTCGTATTAGATAGATGGTAATTATTAACAATAAGGACAAGAATATATTTACACAGATTATTTTAATATTTTTAGGTGAAATCCGTGTAAATGAACAACTCGTTTTGACTGTCATGCATACTCTCATGGCTCGTGAGCATAACCGTGTTGCTAACGCTCTTGCCGAAGTCAATCCTCACTGGGACGATGAGACTCTGTACCAAGAAGCAAGACGTATCAACATTGCCGAGATTCAACATATTACTTACAATGAGTTCTTACCAATCCTACTCGGGAAAGACGTTATGGAGAAATTCGGTTTGGTACTTGAGAAAAAGGTAACAATAACTTTAAATTTACTTGAAATATAATACGGTCCATTTAAATCAGAGTCAAAAGAGTATCTACATTCTGTTAAAATATGTAAGAAATTATGAATATAGGATAGTAGGCCAAAACCTCCTTTCTAAAGAGAGGCCTATATCCAGCAGCGGACTATGAAAGGCTGTTGATGAGATGATGTAAATCATTTACTTGCCATTTAATATTTTATTTTAAAATCAAAATATATAAAGTAAAACTTGAAAATAGGATTGAAATATAGTCTTATTTCATACTCTGCATAAGGAATGCTAAACATTTCATTTTAATCGTAGTTAACTATCCTGTGGTAATCTCGTACCACTTTTGATGTAAAAGAGATAATTTATTATTAAGATACTACTTAGAATGTTCGAGAATTAAAAATGTTTTATGTAACTGTAACGAGTTTATCGAACGTGACAAATAACGAAATCTATGGATTGGTTAACTTATCCGCTAGACAACTAATTGGTGGTCTTAATTTAAGCGATTCTTTTCAGGGTTATTGGGATGGCTATGATACAGAAGTTAACCCTGATGTTATTGACGCCTTTGCTGCTGCTGCCTACAGATTCGGTCATTCATTATTACCTACTGCGGTGGAAAGATGGTCCAAAGCACACAAATTCATTGGTATAATATATTTTAAACATCTAATATAAAATTATTAAAAATTATTTATTAATACAAATTTGAAATTAATTTTCATTTCATATTTTTTCCAGCCTCTAAGAGACTATCGGATCTTATTCGTAGACCATTCGACTTGTACAGAGCTGGTGTACTTGACGAATACGTCATGGGTCTCATGAACCAGGTAGCTCAAGCTATGGACGACTCTATTACACAAGAAGTCACTAATCATCTATTCAAGAAAGTCGGTTCTCGCTTCGGGATGGACTTAGTATCGTTCAACATGCAAAGAGGTCGTGAATTCGGTCTCCCTGGTTATATGGAATTTAGAAAGTTCTGTGGTCTTCCTCATGCTGATACCTTCCAGGATCTCTTCGGATCTATGCCTAATAAGACTGTGCTGAAATACGAAACCATTTTCGATCATCCTATTGATGTAGATCTTTGGTCGGGTGGTGTGTCTGAGCGGCCTCTACCAGGGTCCATGTTAGGACCTACTTTTGCTTGTATCATCGCCACCCAATTCTCGTACTCAAGACGTGGTGATCGTTTCTGGTAAATGATTACAAATTTTATAGACTGATGATAGCAGTAAATAAAGTACTTTTGTTATAACAATTATTTTTATTTTATTTTTCAGGTTCGAACTGCCTAACCAACCTTCGTCGTTTACACCTGAGCAACTTACTGAAATCAGAAAATCTCGTTTGGCACGTGTGATTTGCGACAACACTGACATTATTGATACTGTTCAGCTTTACCCTATGGTCTTGCCTGATCATGAACTGTAAGTAAAAAACCACACATGTAGTAATTTCTGTAAACCTGTTTGAACTAAAACTTATTATGTTGTTACCCTGTGGGAATACTAAAATCCTTTTTTCTACTTAATCCTATCTTATCTTACTACTAATATAAATGCAAAAGTCTGGATGAAATTTGGTATGACATAGATTATAGTTTGGAATAGCACATAATTATTTCCTAAAAACCGCAGAAGCCGCGAAAAAAAGCCAGTTAAAACATTTTAAGTAGACTGACTATATACTTACATTTCCAGAAATCCTCGTGTACCGTGTAGAAGTGGAATCCTTCCACAAATGGACTTTAGTAAGTGGGCCGAGCCCGCCCCGTTCCATGGACCCGCTAAGCAGTTTGTGAGTAGTTTTACACACAATCCGTATTTGGGCAAGAAATAGTGTCACATGCACAATTAGAGTATTCACGTATTCGTAATGTCTTAGCCAACGGTCACTGTACCATGTTCAAATTCAAGCTAAATACTATTCATTGTTATTACAAATTTGTATGCACACGTTTTTGGTTAGATATTTTAACTGTTTGTTTGTATTTTGGGTAGTATGTTTGTCTATGTAGAGGTCTTTTGTTTAAAAATGCTCTAGATTAGTCATAGTGTACGTAAAATGATGTATGTAGTAAAACAGCGATAGTTTTAGTGAGATAGCTTTTATTAACAAAGAGTTTAAAAGAAACAAAGACATCTTACTAGTTCCAAAAACTGGTGGTATTGGTCGATGTTAACTTACATGTTATACAACAGTAATGAAAAAAATTGCAGCATAAATATGTCTTTATGGATGATAGCTATCTTACCAAAGTAATCGGAGTGTATTTCAAGTCACTCTTAATTTAGACAAAAATAACACTTGGTCATTAATTACGCCTTATAATAGGAAGGACTGTTGAATTCGTCTAATGTAGTTTTATAAAACTTCCATCGAAATAGATAAATATGTTACTAAATGTTCACGTAATCATACAGTCTACAGGTTTTACACGAACATTTAGATAACTTATCTTGAATGACTTGCTGTCAATCTATTTCTATATAATGAAATAGATTTACATTTTAAAGTTTTTAAAAAGTCTTCTTCATAAGAGTGTTATTAAGAGGTCAATACATTTGACAACCTATAGCAATACACACTGTCTACTTTAAAGCTGTCGATATTAATTCTTGTTGGCCAAGTGTAAATCATACATGCTAGCAACATAAGAAAACTATTTATAAATAGAATAAGCCTTTTGTACAAAAATAATTTAGGACTTGGCTTTATTTTAGTAAAAATGCTTTTACCTGCCATATATTTTAAGTTACTGAACTATTTTAAAGGAAAACATAATAATAAGTATTGTATATTTCTGATTATAACAAAATTGAAATTGTAATACATTTAAGATACTTTAATATTATTGTTGCTGTATAATTGACTTAAATCAATCTCCTAACTTTTGTATAAAAATCAATTAGCATCTTACTTCTGCTTTAGATTTTGCTTTTAATATAAAACGACCGAAAAAATAGTGATAAATATCTGTCTTAATGAAGCAGATCAATTTAATGGTACCTAGTTAGCAAAGCATACTATATTATTATTAAAGGGAGAGGCTGAAAATATAAACTATGTAATTCATTCACTTTAATTAACCATTAATTATTTAGCAATAAGTAATGTAGAAACTAGTAGCTGTTTGTAGAAGTAGAAACTCCGTAGATTGGTTACCTGCTTACTTTTATATAATAAAGATAGTACCTTTGTATATTTAACGATGCACAGAATATCCAAAATATTATAGTAATGTACCAAGTGGTAAGTGGTAAGTGGCCCTATAGTAATAAAATTATATCTCCTTCTAGTTCCTTATATTTCATACAGCTCAATAATACGATTATATAGCTGTGAGAAATAAAATGTCGTATACGAAATGCGAATTGCGTCGCGATCTCAGACTACGATTTAATTAGCACTTCATTTATCAATATGGTCAAGTAGCTGTTGGGCAAATCCTTCTGCCCAATATCATGTACGAATTGTCCAAATCGCGAAATGGCAGCATATCCGGATACAAACAGGTTCCGACGGGTATAACTTATTTTACCGGGCCGGCGACACATATTTTATTCATAATTTTAGGCCCTATGAAGGCGGTACAAATGCATTACTAGATTTCTTACCACATACTCGTATATATACATAACGATAAACACTTTGTTAGTTGATAGAATACTGGTGTTAATGTACATTGTTATTTTTATTTATTTTAAACTCTAGTTACAGTATCATTTGTAACACATGGTTTAATTATAGTAGATTGTGTAAATATAAAAAGCGTAATAAAATTTAGTCCATAGTATTAGTTTTATTCAACACCAAAACGCTGATGATGAATAAACTTTATCCCTCTCGTACGGTACGGTAAGTGTGTGCTTTTTATTGACATTTTTCAGTGTTTTAAGGGAAATCTAATTATTCATTTAATTCTCAGATGACCAATGCAACTGTCATTGAAAATAACAACATGAAACACGAAGAATTAAGCAGTGACGTACAAAATTGCAACAGTAAAAAGGTTTGCAACCAAACAGAGGTTTCCAAGCAAATCAAACAGCTCCAAGCGACAAATAATACCGAAAACATTATTACTAACATCACAGGCACTGGTAATAATAGTACCAAAGAAAACCAAAGCGTAAGCATTATTGCTAACCAAAATACATTACTAAAATACGTTTACAAAAATAATGACAAAGTAGAACTATATACTAAAGATAAAGGACACATTAAAAACCGCTTAAAACGTCGAAAACGTTCAACAGAAGATCCATTAAGTCCACTTCCTAGCAAATACCAAAAACCAGCCCTTATTGTTAACTATGAAACTTCTCATGGACCTACTGCTACTGCGAGCTGGTCTCCTCCAATAAATTCAGCTAATGCTATCGAAGACGATGTTCGAGCTGATTTCAAGATCGTAACTCGCCATTATAATACTGATGATAAGAACGAGAAGGAAACAGACAAACAAAGTAATCTGGACTCTAACGAGGCCGCAAAATTGAATGAAAACAGTAATGAAAGCACGGAGAGCCTTGAAAATGTCAAGAAAGAAAACACAAGCAGGGAAAGCGATGAAAGTAGTGAACAACATGATTACAAAAACGATAAAAAGGAATCAGTTTATGACCATAACCATGCTGATAATTACAAAGATGGCTCTAGAAAGAATGGTAATAATGATGTTAGCAATGAAAGTATCGAAAATCGTATAATCAAATCAGATTCTGAAAGTGTAGAAAATAATGAGAGCGGAGAAAGGAGTGACACAAACAATTATGCAAGTAGTGAACAGCCTCTTGATAAAAGAAGCGAAAGTAGCAGTTTCAACCAAAGTCCTTATTCACCTGAGCATTCCGAAGACCGTGAAAGAAAAAATGAAGATTATAACAGTTATAATCCTTCCAAAGAGGAGAGTAGTGAAAACAGTAATGAAAGATACGACCATACCTCTACACCACATAATTCAAAACCTCTTCATGATAAAGATAAAAAAAAAGGAAATTCTAAAAGAATATCTCCAGAATCTTTAAATGTAAATAGTAGGGAACATGATAGATACAGTGAATCTTATACACATCATCATAAAAATAATCAAGAAAATAGCAAACCAAGTCACAGTGGAGATAATCAGGAGTCTTCTATTGAAAACAGCAGCGAGACTAATGTCAAGGAAACAAATTATTCCAAAAATAAAATCGATTTAAAAAGTGATGTGCCTAATCCTGTTCATAATAAACCGGCATTGCCTATACAAGATATTGATTTAGGGGATTTTAGTTATGAAAAAATAAATATTAACCAAGACGGAAACGTGGTGGCTGTCGAGGATAGCTCTAAAGAAAATAATGCTAATTCTGCCATTCAGAAAATTTCTCCTAATATCGATACAAAGACTCCCAATACCTTCCAGTTAGTGAAAAATAATTTATTAGCTAATTATTCTGACAAATTAGTTAAAATAAATGATGGTGAAATAAAACCTGTTGTAGAAATCAATTCAGAAGACAATGATGATTCAAGCGAAAAAATTGAAAAAAGCAGCTTCAATAATTTTGATAGCTTGGAAGCAGATTTAAATAATAAGGATGGTGGAAGTAGCAAAATACTTAATGCACATAAAGAAATAGAAGGAGGAGATGTAAAGCAGCAGTTTGAACGTATTCCATTAAATTATAATCACAACCAGAAGGTTAAAACTGATGATGATACAAATGCTCCTAAAGACGAATACTCTTCTAGTTCGCAAGATCTTCCTAACGAAGAAGATGCTGTTCTAAAATCTGAGGGCACAATCGACGTATTTGCACCTAACGATGAAAAATATGATGAAAATCTTAATTTAAAATTCAGTGATTTACATATAAAATTACCTGAAATAGTGTTACCCGATGATATATTAAGTTTTACAAAATCCCATTCACCCTTTAAGGATGAAAATAACGGAGACAAAAACGAACGCTACCATTATCCTCGATATACAGAGCGACGTAGTAAAAGTAAAAAAAAACAGGATGATGACAGTGAGAATGAAGAGGAAGATGGACCTATCTCTGATTATTATGGATATTATAATGACAAGGGTAAAAAACAAGATTATAGAAAGAAAGCGGACGAAGAGGAACAAAGCGATGAAGAAGAAGATTTGTATGAAAAATTCGTCCGAGAGAGATTTGGTAAACGTGGTACCTTCGAAAAAAGATCCGAAAAATTGGTTGAGCCCCCACTAAATCCAGATCTGAGAAAAACTATTCAGAAAATTCTCAAGAAAACTGCGAGTCTTGATGAACCAGTCAAGGGTAGTGGAGATCCTAACGCTAAATACATGTGGACTCTCGAGTATGGAGAAACCTTGTAGTCAACTACATATTTATTTAGCATATATCATCATATCATTTTAGAAATCGAAGTAGTTACATAAGATGGGCTGATAGTTTGTAAGATTTTCACTTTATTTTATTTCAATTTATGCCAGTCTTAAACACCATTTCCAGATTGTTCTACTAAAAGTTTTTTTAAACTTAAGTTAAAACTAAAAACAAAACAACATTTAAGTTAAAACGATAAGAATTTATGAGCCATTAATACAAACAATATTTATTTTGGGTACAGTTATTCCTGCAAAATGATGTAAATTAAAATAAGCAAGGCAACTGCTAAAAACTTTCCAAATACATCTATGTTAGTATACATAATGTTCCTAGAACGTTTTCTGGTGTAAATATAATGTGTGAATATTTATTAAAATGATTTCTTTTAAGTGTTGTTTTATTTTATTTCAATTTTGTAGTAATTTCCCTAGTTAAAGACTAGTTTAAAATTAATTTCGAAATTATGTGATGAATTACGTGTAATAAGTAGGTACTACTACGTGTTAATAAGCCACTCAAGAATAGGCAGATTACCAGAATATTATTATTATCATAAATTATTTTAATTAAACTCTATATCACAAACTTCAACTTGGTTTAACGACATCCTGACTGTTTTCATGTTACCATCCATTCATAGTCATTTTTCGCTTTTACGTTTATAATCATAATAATAACACAATCATCACAATACACGTCAATAAATTCCATATACCTACCATACCTACACTGAATGGATGGTTAAGTTAACCCGATTAATTAATTGTGTAAAGAAATTTCCACATGGTTTCCCCTAAAAATAAACATTACACCGTGTATTAAAAAACATCAATTTAAAATGATAAAAGCCGGATGGCTAACAACCATCCACTAGCATTAATTATATAGGTATACGTTTATATATGTATAACAATAATGCATCAAATTGTATTTGGTTGATTAATTTAGTCTGTGAGAAGAGATGAAGACCATGCATAAAACCTCATGCTAGGTATTACGCAAAGAAGTAAGTACCGTTACATGCATACAGTAGACATAACTCAACAATGACTCAACGGTGACTATTCTCCTTAGCAAAAATCAAATAAATACATAGGTATTTACTAGATAAAACTGGCTCTAAGAGTTGACAATAAAAAACGTAATATAGCGATCTAGCTTGACTATTATAAAATCACTTGCCTGCCTGATTCATCAATGCAGAGAATGCTAAACCGCTGGGGCAAGAAACTTGAAATTTTGGCAGCTGATCATTTTATTGTTGTAAGCTAAGAAAGGTTCTTTTTTTAAATTAACCCCTAAGGTGGTAAAATAAGAGATGAGTAGTTGTATGGAAGTTTGTCATTTTCAAAGATAGAAACACGAAATAAGAACAACAGAATGAATAGAACAAGTAGAATGTTACGTGGTATCAGTACTGGGTAGCATTTTAGCCAAATAAGTATTATATAGCTTCATAATACTTCATAATGCTTTCGTCTAGCCTAAAATGCTTCATAAGAAGGTGAAACATTTTACTATTCTATCTCAGCAGAAAGCGTCAACACAGCTCATAGATCAATTTACAGATTACGAATTACGCTGTTTTGGCCACGTTGGATTACTTTCGCAGTGTCCATTACATTAAAAAAATGGTGACTTTCTTCATCGAATCAAATCAAAATACATAAAATTACTTACCCACCTTTAGAACTTCACTGACGACATTTACATTACAAAATGTCCGATTCCTGGCAAGGTCCCTCGAACTCAGGTGTAGTCGCTTATTGTTTAAGAGGCGACTTAAGTCAGCCGAGGTCCCAGAGCTTCACTTCTTAGTTTCAACATCTACATTATGCTTTTGTTTTTAATCACATTTTAACATGTCATGATGTTAATATTTATTTTTAAAGTTGGTTTATAAGTATTGTACTGACGTTTTAAATACAAGTCCTACTTCATCATCATCATCATCAACAGCCTTTAATAGTCCACTGCTGGACATAGGCCTCTCCTTAGAAAGGAGGTTTTGGCGTACTATACCACGCTGGCCACGGCCACGGGTTGGTATAGGGTTTGTGTCAAGTTATCCTTCTCTTTGTAGTTTTGTTGTCCCTCAGAGTTTGCTCCCTTAGTCGGCTCTTACGACACCCACGGGATGAAGTCCTACTTAGGATAGTTATTTCTTCACTGCTGTGAAGATTTTAAGACAGTTTGTGTATTTTCAGCGGTCCACTCAAGTAAATGAATACGGTTGCAGTCGTGAAGCTTCCTAAGACGTGGTTCAATTAGTTATAGCCAAGATTACCGGGTCTCGTGTTTATTTAGATGAAAACTGAAATGGTCCTTTCACATAATGATTACTTTGGATGGCTACTATTGCATTTGCTCAATGTGACTTTATGTAAGACTCAGATCCTAAAGTTTGTTTTGGGCTTTTATCTGAAGGCTAGACATAAGAAATGGCGGCAGTCGGGACCACTGTCTTTAAAAAATGAATTGATATGTAAAAGAAATATTTATAAAATAAGACCATTTATCATTTAAAAGATTTTTTAGGTTAGAATGACTAATGAAAAACTGAATCACCAATGGCAAAATGGCACACATATCGTTACCTCATATCAGACTCATATCAAACTACAGCGGTGTTAAAATAAATTAAGTACGACAAGTATCGTACAGTGTTGAAACACTCTGAAACACCAAATAAAAAAGATATACGATAAAAACTATCTCATTTATTAAATATTAAATGTAACAATGTTGCACTTGACTAAGGTTGATCATTAATTTAAAAAATGTAAGTTAAATAGCAGTTTTCTTATATCTTATTCTGTATCATACTTGTTTATATTAGCAATATTTCTTAATTTAAGGCTCGTAAATTATATCGTTGGCAAGTAGTTAAGCAGAAAATTTAAGTTCTTTCTACTCAAACAAGAATTAATCGTTAACGTATTTTTTGACAAAAAAGACCCTTGTGATCTTCGATTTTACTTGAGCATTATTCATTACAGTCGTTTATATAATAAAGTTTGAACCTTTTTTAATGGTAAAGGGTACACGATGAAACAGATCACCTGATGGTACCTAAATGCGTGCATTGCCGATGGAAAGGTGAGGGGGTTGGGCCACCAGCAAACTCACTCAGCAAATGTAACAAAAGAATTGTGACACCGCTTTTGCTGTGAGCCGGCCCATACGTGCCGGAACTTGACCCTCCTACGATTAATACACATAACTTAATACATAAATTGTTATTATTTCATTAAGTACTAATAGAAGAGCAGATACTTTATCAATCACCAAAACTGAAATACCTTTGCCAAACCCCATAGCAAAATTTGCGCCCATATCATAAAACACGGATAATTACCCCGTTCCCTTACATGTGCATAGTCCCCAGAATCTGCGAATAAGTTTGTTCTATTAGTTCCTTGAAATGTGCCCCTGTGTTTCCTTCTGGGTGTAGTACTTTCTCCATCCCTGTCGCAATATAATGTTACTGATTCGCCAAATGTTACATCCAAGCAGTCTCGAGTTTTTAGTTTACTGCTACAATTTTCAGATTTTAAGTTACATTTGGATTTTGGTACAGATACACGTTTTTTTGGCATAGTCACTACACTGAAATCTTCGTCATCTGATACGGTACTAAGCTCTTCTTCAATGCTTAATAGTTTGGTTTTGACATAATCAGCCGTCAACGTAGTATTAGACGTCTCGATTGCGACACGGATGGGAATATATTCTTTGGTAAGCCCTTGAAGTAAAATTGTTGCTAGGAGTTCATCATTTACTTCTTTACCCATGGCTTTTAATTTTTGCGACGCTGACATGACTTCAGCTACATATTCTTTAATACTCTTAAACTGGTCTAACCTTAACCTTAGTAGTTTTTTTAATAATTTACTGCTATTGTTGCCTTCATCGTTTTCAAATACTTTGCGTAGTGCCTCCCAAGCTTGTCGTGTATTTTTTGTATGTCTAAGATAACCGAGGCAATCTTTTTCTACCATTAAACCGATTTTAGCGCGTGCTAATTGATCTTGCTTAATTTCCATCTCATCATCTTCTGGCGTAACCATCGTGTACTTCCAGAGGTCTTCGTGAATTAGGTATAATTCCATCTGAAATTTCCAGTCTTCATAGTTTGTTGCACCTTTCAATTTTTCAAAAGTAAGCAGATTTTGACCGCTGCTGCCACTACTGCTTACCATTCTGAACGTTACTCTACAAGATTTCTTTGGGTGACTGTTATTATGATAGGTCTGGCTTCTCAGTGACCCATAGCATAATTAACATGTTTCTTGACAAGAACTTTAAGATACACACCACATAAAATTTGCTTAGTTTACACTTACGTTAATATAGAGTCACAGGTTCACCATAGTTTTTTCGGTTTCAATGTTTAATATCAGATGGTTACATTAATAACTAAGACATAAAGTAACCGTTCGTCCTTGCTCTTTTGGATAAAGTTCAAAATCATCTGTCTGATTCCGCACTATCAAAAATTTTAATAACATTCCTGACCTCGAAAACTGATGACATCATGCATTAGCCATTTATATATATACTATATATATATACTGTTATGACAGTATCATGCTTTAGTTATTGGACATATCGATTCTCCAATAACTCCAGTTTATTACTATTTAGAAGAAATCCTTTCGCAGATAGTGGCTTTTCTTTTACTGGGGATACTTTCACATGTGACTAATAGTACCGTTCACCGTCTTTTACACAATCCCGAAGTTTTTTGCACACACACTTACTAGTCTACCTTTCAGTCATATTACGATCCACAGTACTAATTTTACACTAAATATAGAACAACATTCAACTTAACATTGTCTTTATTTCTCACTGATACAATACCTAATTTATAAAACTAGTAAATTCATCACCACTCTAAAACGGCTAATCCCATTAACTTATTTCTCAGCAATGCTCAAACAAAACAGTGTCTCTTTGGAATAAGGAAAATAAACATAGAATTTTAAATCTGTGGTTGAGAATGTCGGGGATCTGTGGTTTCGAAATAATATTAAGTCACCAATGATGTTTTACGTAGTTAAAGTCTGCATTAGGAGCTTCTCAAGAACATGATTTACTTTATATTATTACTTTTAAATATTCCTTTAGGGCACGAAATAAATCAACAGCATCACTACACTTATTTTCACATACTTCAATGGCAATGACTGCACCGATGGCGTAGAGGTTTCAGCGGTCGCCACGCTTAAACCACTACGCCTGTTCTTTGTGTCCGTTTTATGTATGTTTGTAGTCCCCCGCGACACAGGATATATTCCTAAAGCCTTAAAAAAAAAAAAATTATATAGAAAGAGTAAGGCCTAAGAGGTAAGAGTAAGGTAAGAGTAACCCTTTCTTTCACTCTAGATGAATTTGGATGACGGACTGCTCCTACCGCTGAAAAGCAATGGTTCGCTATCAATTCACTCTACTCCCTTATCCACTTTCTTCTTCACTTTCGTCAGAATGTTGAACCAAATTTATGGCAGGCATATCAAGATAATCTTATATATATCTTTATGCCATGACATGATCGGCAATGACACAGCTGATCTCGATCGACCCAATTCAACGATTTTCCTGCGAAATATATATTTACCTACGATTCCCATACCATCAAGAAGACGATAAAAGCCTGTAGGTATGTGCTTGTGTAAGTAATACCTAGCTTATTTTTAATTTAGTATTATTTATAATAATAAAGAAACAAACACCTTTAAACAGTGTTTCTATAAAACTACTTCAATGATGTTGATGCAAATATTTTAAAGTTGAAGTTGAAAGTTTAAAATTCGCAGCAATCCGTGAAAAGGCATTAGAAGTGCATGTGCCTTAGTTCGAAATCTCAAAGATGCATTGTTAAAAAATATTGTCATCCCTTTTTTGTAAACAAATAATAACAAAACGTATAATTAATGTGAAAACTGTTTAACTTACTTGTAATAATCTTGGTTAAGCCAACAATAGATAAAGCATGTCAAACCTAAAATGTACAATGGACCATATAAATAAATATTTTTGTATTTTTATTTTGTACCTACGTTGTCCGTTTGAATCTGTATAAAATTGTGCTTATCTATGAAGACCTCTAATTATTTGGCTAAAAGTTGTATAGTTATAGTTATTGTTACTACTTCAATGTTGAAGCTATTGGTTTTTCTTCATAAATAAATTTGGTTTTAATTTTTTTAATTAAAAATAAAAACAACTTTAACAATTTAATTTAAAACTCTTATTACGAATTCCCTGCAACGGCAGGGCTACGTATGTATCCGCAAGGAGCCAACGCCTGAGTGCCACCCTGCGATGGCCAGACCGTGGACACGGCTCTCCACACGCTGGCAGAGTGCCCGGCGTGGGTTGAGACGAGGCGAGACCTCGTGGCGACCATCGGAGTGGGAGTTCTCTCGCTCGATAGCCTGATTGCGGCTATCGTGCGGAGCGAGAGTGCGTGGAACTCTGCCGTCTCCTTCTGCGAGCAAGTTCTCTCTCGAGCTCGCGAAGGAGACGGCGGAGCGGGACCGAGAGAGGTTTAGAACTCTCCCGGCCTGACAGGCCCTGGAACGGGCCAGGTACCGCAGGCGACTCAGGCGCCGGAGGTCGCAGAACGACCTCTGTCCTCCATAAGCGCAGGCCTGGGGGTGACAGGTGAGGTCATCTTTTTTTTTTTTTTAATAGGGACTAATCCCACCCACACTCCCACCCCTGTAACTCCTGTACACCAGGATCCACAGCAGTGACCCACGAACACACCGAGTTATGACAGCTTCGCTAAGTATATGATCTTTAATGTATTAAATGATTGACCCCATGTCACAGTTGATATCCTTGTCAATACACAGAAACTCTTTTTAGACTTTTCATTAACTATTTTAATATGTTCGATAAATGAAAAGTTTCTTTCTAAAACTTATCCTAGACAACACACTGAGGCTTTATTTTTTACAGTAACATTGTCAAATCTAATGCTCGGCGGTGATTTGAGGTTACCTTTTAAAAGTAGCTGGAAGGTTTTGTTGGGTGCAAAAGTTAAGCGATTACGTTCACCCCATTGAGATATCAAGTTTAAACATCTATTGGCTAAACTCTCAAGCGTCGCTCTAGTATCAGATTCCACCAGTAATAAGCCGTCATCAGCATACGCGTTCAGAGTACATCCGGATGGTATTGGTATCACAAGAAAATCAAATAGTCACGGTCAATCAAATAGCACCGATCCCTGAGGACATCCCATTGTAAGCGTCTTAGTTTAGTTGTACCTTGTGAAAAGTACGAAGAGATAAAGGAATAAATATTTTTAAAGCACCCCCGTGATTTTAATTTCAGCAACAGCATGGGCCACCATGCGTTGTCGAAGGCGCCACATATATCTAAGAAAATAGCCAGCACGTATTGAAATTTTGACTCTGTGACAAACTTTCTAACCGATATAACAGCGTCAGTTGTCGATTTACCCAACGTAAATACAAATTGTCTATCATGAAATTTGACTCCACCTGGCAGAAGCCGGGGCACTACAAGACGTTCTAAAAGCTTTCCTAACGATGGGAACAATGTGATTGGTCGGTAGGATTTAGGATCATCCGGTGGCTTGTCGCCACTTTTTGGTATTATACGAATATTACCGCACCGCCATATACGAGGAAATATTCCTTTACCAATGCAACGTTTAAAGACAGTGAAAATCGTGTCATCCTTTTTTTATCATTTTGTTAGATATTTTATCATCGCCCGAAGCCTTGTTTAGCGGCAAGGATCTAATGATACCGAGAAATTCGTCTGAAGATGATAAATCAGACATTGGAGACAGTGGTGGTTCGATGGCCCACTGCCTGATCTGTCGGTGATGATCAGTGTCAATATAATAGTATGCACATGCCTGTGCACTGTGCATACTAATGTGCATAATAATAATAATCGTTATTAATTCATCATCTAGCTTGGGATCAGACGGCCGTGTTTGAAATGCATGAAAATATTATTATTATTAACTGAATCAATCCACACAAAAAAAATTTTTACTCGCAACAGCTTAGCGTATGGTTCATAGTATTAGTGGAAAGAAAATTAACAACTATAAAAAAATATATTTTATTTCAATAACCACTTTCAATAAAAATTTTAAAGAGTTGGAAATGCCAACAAAAACTGTCATTTACATACTTTTTTCTGTTTCTTTGAAAAAATTGATATGAACCAGTTTTATTAACAGAAAGAACGTAATATGAACAACTACTAACTAAACGCAATAGCCATATGAACAACTACTAACTAAACGTATTTGGAAGTCAACCTATTGACTAACTAAACGAAAGCAATCTGTCAAAATCATAACCTAGGCTTTTTTCCCCAGAAATAGACCTGCTATCGTGATTTGAAACACAATAATTAACAAGTTATCAACTTGTTTTGAACCAACTACTAAATTAGACAAATATTTCTCCACTATGGCGGAAGAAATCCAAAAGAAAATGCAGAAGGAACTGGAATTACTAGGTGGTATCCAAAAAGAGTACCGTAAGGGGGTCGCTTTGAAACAACAATTAGATAGTCAGCTAAATGAAAATAAAGCTGTAAAGGAAGAACTAGTGCTGTTGAAGAAAGACGCAGAGGTATACAAGTTAATTGGTCCAGTGTTAGTAAAACAAGATTTAGAAGAGGCTACACAGAATGTCGCAAAACGTATGGAGTATATTTGCAAAGAGATTAAAAGAGCAGATGACCACATATCAGCCCTAGAAAACAAGCAAGAAGCCCATCAGGAAAATCTGAATAAGCTGAAGAATGATCTAAATAAACTTAAAATAAAGGCTTGAGAATAGTACAAGCATGTATTGTATATTTTATTTTCATGTGTGTATATTTTAAAGACATTGCATACTCAAAAGTTCAGTTTGCGATTAATAATTAATTTTTCATTATATAACTGTATTTAAGTAAATTTACAATAAAAATAATATTAAAAAGTTTAATAACATACATTGCTTTGTTTCATTATTGGTCTGCCTACTTTTATAGTCTTAAATTAAGAAACTATGCATTACATATGCATACAGTACCTATATCAAATTCCCAATAGCATGTTGTATTTAGAAATGACTGGCCATCTGTATAGGTACAACGCATTTATAGTACACTAATTTTTGCCTACATCTTGCATTATTGTAGATTTTGTTGTTCAGTTTAAATAACCAATTGAAAATATTGTTTTCTTTTCTGTATTCCCTCAACATTACTAAATCTCAATAGTTAACATGTTGATGGAAACTATTGATTCGCTGAGTAATGCTTTGAGGATATTGCCATACATTGCCTATAGGTGTTGTTTCACAGCACTTGGTATGTGTGCAGCACTTGGTACACGATTTATGTGTGAACAAACTTTCTTTGGGTGCATTTTTAATGTTACATTACCACAGTCCAAATAAAAGAAAACACACATGTGTTAGACTCTCTTAGAACAATACACGGTTATTATGTATTTAATAGATATAAAATCATAAATATTGTATTTTAAATTGTCCTTACATATTATAAAATGAAGTACAGTGACACTTAAGTGCAAAGATCCATGTTTTTGTAAAGGAAAACAAACATCGAAAGGCATAATGATTTTATAGAAATAAATCACGTCGTCGAGAGGCATCCGGCCCATCAACATGTTAAGTTGTCAAAGCATGGAAGTCTAATAAATAAACTTATGTTCTCATTAATAGTAATAGGAGTATGTTTCCTATTAAATATAGAAATTGGAATTCTTTTCTAGAAATATTTATCATTTATTCATCAAAATATAAATATGTGAATCTACAGCCACTTGACATTGGAAAACTTAGGAAATTGAGTATTAAATACATATATAAATATGATATAATTATAAAGGTAAATATTTTACTTTAATAATAGTTTATTTTGGTTTCCCAGTTAAGGAACAGCATATTATATTAATACATGCTTATTACCACGATAAATATGCTTTTAATTTACTATAATTATGTATGTACACACTAGGGTCATTCAAATAAATAAAACTAAAAACTTTCAAATACAATCTTTATTTTTGACATCAACCAAAAAATAACACACATGGCACTTTATTTCCTCTATAACAGAAGTTACAAAATATTTGATATATCTTCATCTTTATGTTTCATTAATCTTACATTATAATATATAATATTACATAATTACACCTAAGTATAAATAGAGCTTGCCCTCTGAAAAAGTACCTCTACTAAAAAAATATAGGATGTGAAATAGTTTATATAAAAAATATACCCAAACTATTATGCACAAGCACTACATTAGTTCTTGTGATATGCTTTCATTTATATTCAACCAACAGGTTGAGTAGGACTTGTCTTGATAAGATTCCAGTAAGCAACCGTAAGCAGTTTTGTGTTTGAACGACAGATAATTGTATCATCATCATTGGCATGTCGCAGTCCACTGCTGGACATGGGCCTCTCCTATTGCACGCCACTAATAATTGTATATATTTAATTAATACTAACAGAAATACTTCAGCAACAGTGTCTAATAGAGTAACTGACATTGGTAAATACAACATGTGTACCTCAAAAGTGAGTGAGTTTCTCTATTCACATGATAGTTGCTTATCTGTACTTACTGATCTCTGGTTTAGATATACTTTATAAAAATTTAAAACCAAAAACTCGAAACTTTCAACACTTTAAATACCATAGCTAGTACTGTATAATATTTGAAATTTCTAGGATGTCTACTTATATGTAAAAAAATATTATATGTTTTTTAAGACTTTAGTATAGCGCGATTTCAGTTTTATTTTATCACATTTCATTTTATAAGAGTAGCTTTACCTAATCTTATATGCAGCGTAAGGCACAAAAGTATAGGAATTTAATACAAAATACTTTCTAATACCTAATCGCATTCGACGAATAACGCCACTGATAAATTACTTATTCAAATATTGGTCCCTAAATAATGTCAGGAATGTCATGTCTAAACCTACAGTACATTTAAGGCCTATTTTAGTCTAAATCTTTCTACAATTTGTTCTTTTATTTATCCGAGACTTAAATTGCTCATTCTTAAACATTTATTAAAACATAAACTACACACAAATTATCAAATATTATAACTATGGCATTTTAAACTGCAATAAAATATACTATTTCTCCGTAGTAAATTATCTTTGTAATAAATCTTCTAATCTGTCTACTTTATCCTGCTCTGAACACATGGCACACTGCAAAATGGCATCTCTTGTTTGACAACGAAGCGACCACTTAGTAAACTTTTACCACACATTCGACCAGAACAAATAAAACAGTCTGCATGCCAATGTGTATTGCCCCATGACACTCCTTGTTGCTCTGGTCCAATGACGCCACCACAAGCACGACAACGTTCAGCATAAAACTGATCATAGCACTGTAAACATATTGGAAGGCCAGTCTTGTCATCGGGTACATATTTTTTCCCACCGAGCGGGGCATCGCAGTGATAACAACAGAAATGTTGCACATGGAATGCTCTGCCTTCTGCAGCAGTATAAGGACGAGTGAAAATCAACTCATCGCAACCAGCACAACGTGGAATCTCCAAAACATTTGCCAAATCTCTAGCACAGTATATCTCTCCCTTGTAATAGAAGTAGACAAGGTCAGCGAGCAGCTCACCACATTTGCTGCAAGTAAAGCACTGTGGATGCCAAATAGCTTCTTGGCCAGCCCTTTCAGCTTTAACCGCCACTTCGCCAGCGAACATCGATTTTTCACAACGTTGGCATGGAACACCTTCATTGTATAGTTTCCTGTTGAATTCTATTTCATCAGGACTTAGAGTTAAGTCTGATAGCTGATTAATAATCTGATCTGGGTTCTCTGAATAGACCTTTGCTTGCGCCAGAAATTCAAGATTTTCCGTGGGTTGAATATTGTCTACAGGGTGATTATTCCATTCTAAATTAGTTGGCGATGGTGGAATAGCACCAGGATAAGTATTATAGTTTGGCATTGGTGGCGGCGGGAGGTCGTCTTCAGATTGACTTCGAAGATACTCCCTCAAAGGTGTTGTCTGCTGTGGTTCAACCTGATTGATTGGTTTTGTGACCGTAGAGTATTGTGGATTAATTTTCGTTGAACGTAGAGTGCCACTATGCTCTGGAGTTACTGGCTCATGTTTCCAGCTCCATATTTCTCCATTTGGGGCAAATATTGTCCCCTTCTGTATTCTACTATCCAACAACTTTGCAGTATTCATTACATTATTATTGCTAGCCGACCACAAGTCTGGCATGATTTGAGCTCCAAGAGATTTACTGGAGAATTCATTTGTTTCTTCTTTGAACTGAGGATTGTTGTTATATTCCTCACGGAAGAGTTTAATGGGTTGTAAGTATACATCATTGCTGACAGGTATGTTCAGATCATCTAAATTTTTGAACAATTTATCGTAAACTGGGCCATGTTCAACAGCACTCTTGATGCGATCTGATTCAATACGCATAATATGGAGTTTATCTTTTACTATGCGAGATAGTATAGGACTTGATTTGTAATCTGGAAGGTTCGCAGCACTGCTGACAACATTTCCTTGCGAATCCAAAACAAGTATTTTGTCAGAAGCGTTTTTGGGCACAATGTTGTATTTGACTCCTCTAGACACGTTAGATATTTTGAGAGGTAGAGCGTAAGATTTGGGTGCAGAATGGATCTTGCTGTTCTCGATAGAGATGACCTCACCGTTCTGAAGTGGTCCAACTCTGACGACGTTACCCATACCCACGACATGGTCTTTGATGCGCGTTATGTATTCCTAGAAAACAGATAAATATCTATATTTAAAATACAGAATGTAATGAAATAAATTTGTAAGTGATAGTACTGTAGTTGTTATCACAACCGGTTTCCTAAATATGACGTCATTTTGGAGTATTGATACTGCAGTACTCATGACAGCCCTACGGTTCGAGTCGATAACATGATTTGTAATTTTTACATGAATAGGCACAGTGAAAACATTTCAGTACCTTTTTTCTTTAGTTTGTCAATCGATTTTCTTCATACATTAGTTGTTTATTAGAGGATTTTATCGTTAAAAAATATATAATAAACAGACGTTTTATTAATATCAACAATTACATTAAAAGGGTCTAATTTCGATCAAGGTCAAGAACGCATAGTACTCGTATGGGTAATTGTAGGTAGGCGTTGGAATAAAGGATACCCAATTAGCAGACTAGGTTACTATTCTATACATGTGGAGTTTTACAGTATTTTCTATATCCTCTATTACTAAATAACTAGGTACACTAGGTACTAGGATGTGGGGCTCACACCACATATATACATGCATACATACATACATACATTCACACTTATTACCTATACCCATAATATTTATATTTAATATATTAAGCATACACAGACGTACTAACACGCGTGCAATAGGCGGGGCTTACGCCTCCTACCACAACGGCGACGCGCGGGCGCACCGGCCCTTGTATCCCGCGGCAGTCAGCTTATCGCTCCCGCTATGCTACCCTGTGTCGCTCGCTATCTTGACGCTCTGTGGCATCTACCGCGCACTGTATTAATTGTTATAATTTTTTCTTATACTTTGTTTCCGAGCTTTGAACTGTTTATAGTGTTTCTTCCATCTTCTTATTATATTGCTTGACTTTACCCTTCTGTTCTTTGTGCTTGTTTTACTTAACTGTGTGATTCGTGAAATAAAAACATTTGTGACCTGTACTGGACCTTTTCTTGGACTTGTGGTATGTGAACATTTTTACTTTTACCTAACACACTACAACTGGTGACCCCGGTTAGGAACACTAAAATGAGTGATAGCAGTGATTCCCTAACTACCGCCGAAACGGTGGAAGAGAACGTTACAGTGCGAGTGCCGAGAAAAATGCGTGTTGTCACCGGCAGTCACGACACCTCATCAGACCAACGCAAAGTCACCCTTAAGGTAGCAAAATTTTCGGTTGAAGACCCGGAACTTTGGTTTGCGCTTTTAGAAAGTCAATTCGATAGCCTTGATATTACCGAGGACCGTGTAAAATTTAGCTGCGTGACTACCAGGCTCGATATACAGCACGCGAAGACTGTAAAGGATATCATATTAAACCCGCCGGCTAAAAACCGATATGATAGGATTAAGACAGAGCTTCTCCGTCGTCTGTCGGCTTCACAGGAGATGAAGGTGAAGCAGTTGCTTACACAGGAGAAACTGGGTGATCGTAAGCCATCTCAATTCCTACGACACCTTCGGGATTTAGCAGGAGCGTCCGCTGCTGAGGACATTGTAAGGCAGATCTGGAGCAGTCAGCTACCCATCGGAGTTCAGACTGTACTAGCCTCTCAGCCCTCGCACTCCTTGGAACAGCTAGCTGACCTGGCAGACCGCATTCAGGAGTTAACTTCGTCACCTGAGGTGGCGTCGACATCTACGGCGGTCCCGGCAAGTAGCAACTCATCAAGCGAGATTGCCGAACTCCGGAAAATGGTGGAACATCTCGCAGTGAAAATTGATGAGCAGTCACGCCGATTTAACAGATCCGACCGATCCCGGCCTAAAGGTAGACGATCGCCTCCGCACCCGAGGTCCAGATCCAACTCCAGCTATCGGAAGTACCCTGTCTGCTTTTACCACTCCAGGTTCGGATCAAAAGCCCACCGGTGCTTGAAACCTTGCGACTTCAACAAGTCGGGAAAAGCCACGGGCAGTCGCTAATGGCGACTGACGATTGCCCAGCTGCTACCGGTCGCCTCTTCGTCCCTGACAGCAGTACAAAGAAACTGTTCCTGGTGGATACTGGCAGTGACCTGTGCGTCTATCCTCGTTCTGCACTTCGTGAACGACGGCCTAAAACAGGTTTCCAGTTGTGTGCGGCAAACGGTACATCTATAGACACATACGGCTACGTCGAACTTAATTTAAATTTAGGTCTTAGACGTTATTTTCCCTGGCGCTTTACAGTAGCTAATGTGACTAAACCAATAATCGGTGTAGATTTTTTCTGTCATTACAATTTAATAGTCGATTGTCGTAATCAACGTTTAATTGATAACACAACCACATTGTCTTCAAACGCTGTAATCGCTAAAACCAATATTTGTTCTGTCAAGGTTTTATCAGGCGACACACGGTATCACGAGCTTCTAGGTAAGTTTCCCGAAATTACTCGCCCTTCAGGCACACCTTGGTCTCCCAAGCATGACACAGTCCACCACATTCGCACAACACCCGGCCCTCCCGTTCACTGCACGCCTCGCAGACTCGCCCCCGATAAACTGAACATTGCCCGAAAAGAGTTCGAGCTCATGCTGGCTAACGGAACAGCTCGTCCTTCCGAGAGTTCTTGGGCTTCACCACTGCACCTGGCTCCGAAACGGGACAACGGCTGGAGACCTTGTGGGGATTATAGGATGTTGAATGCACGTACTGTACCGGATCGTTACCCAATCAGGCACATTCAAGACTTTGCCCATAGTATGGCTGGTTGCAAAGTCTTCAGCACAATAGACCTGGTCAAGGCTTACAATCAGATCAAGGTCAGTGAGCCTGATATCCCGAAGACCGCAATCACCACTCCTTTCGGTTTGTATGAGTTCCCTTACATGACTTTTGGTCTTAGGAATGCTGGTCAAACCTTTCAAAGGTTTGTCGACGAAATGACGAGAGGCCTGGATTTCGTATATTGTTACTTGGATGATTATTGCGTATTTTCGGAGTCACCAAGGGCTCATGAAGATCACTTGCAGCAGCTTTTCCAGCGTATGAAGGATTACGGTGTCCTCATTAACACCTCTAAATGCGTCTTCAGAGTTTCGGAAGTCACCTTTTTAGGGTACCGGATCTCCGAGGCTGGAACGAAACCCCTAATGTCAAAGGTACAAGCTGTGAGCGACTTCCCTGTCCCGCAGACGGTCAGGCAGTTAAGGCGTTTTCTGGGCATGCTTAACTTTTATCGTAGGTTCATACCCAATGCTGCTCAGATCCAGGCTCCGCTGAACTCCTTACTTACCGGATCAGTGAAGGCATCTCACCCGGTCGATATTTCTGGCAGTGCACTAATAGCTTTTAACCAGTGCAAAACGAGTCTCGCGAACGCCGCATTACTGGCTCACCCAGACTGTCACGCGAAACTCGCACTGGTAACAGACGCATCGGACCTGGCAATGGGTGCAGTCCTTCAACAGCTGAAAGCTGGCGAATGGCAACCACTCGCGTTCTTTTCGCGGAAATTTAGCCCTTCCCAACAAAAATACTCTCCCTATGACCGCGAACTTCTGGCCATATATGAGAGCATAAAGTACTTTCGGCACATGCTAGAGGCCCGGCACTTCATCGTGTTCACGGACCACAAACCACTTACTTTCGCTTTCTGTGAACGTAAAGCCAACTGCTCACCTCGCCAGTTCCGTCATTTGGACTATATTTCACAGTTCACGACAGACATCCGACACATTTCGGGCAAAGACAATGTGGTCGCCGATACACTGTCGCGGGTCGATGAACTGCAAACACCAATTGAATTGGAACAACTAGCAGCATCACAGGCTTCGGACGAGGAGTTGTTAAAATTTTTAGGTGAAGAATTCTCTCTACGTCTACAAAAAATCACGATCCCCGGCAGAAATTTTAAATTATATTGCGATACAAGCACTCACACGCCAAGACCTTTTGTGACCAAATCATTTAGGAAACAGCTTTTCGACAGCCTCCACAGTTTAAGCCATCCAGGCGCTAAAGCTACCACTAAGCTGATAGCTGAGCGCTTCGTTTGGCCTGGAATACGTAAGGACTGCCGGGAGTGGTCGCGAAAATGTCTGGAGTGCCAACGCGTCAAGGTAAACCGCCACGTGTCAGCACCATTGGGGACGTTCGATTTACCCCGTGCTCGCTTCGCTTTTATTCACGTGGACATCGTCGGCCCCTTACCAATATCTCAAGGGTACCGGTACTGCCTCACCGTCGTGGACCGTTTTACCCGTTGGCCGGAAGTCACCCCAATGACCGACATAACAGCTGAAACAGTCGGGAAAGCTTTAATATCGTGGATATCCAGGTTTGGATGTCCTACCGATATAGTAACTGACCGCGGTCGGCAGTTCGAATCCACACTTTTTCAGTTCCTTGGAAAAGTGATCGGATTTAAACATCGCCGCACAACAGCGTACAGGCCAGCTTGCAACGGGCTCGTGGAACGGCTTCACAGGCAACTTAAGGCAGCCATAATGTACCACGCTGACCACAATTGGGTGGACACCTTGCCCTTAGTGCTATTGGGCATAAGAGCAGCATTCAAAGAGGATCTGAACTCTTCTTCAGCAGAACTCGTGTATGGAGAACCGTTACGCCTGCCTGGAGAGTTCTTCTTGACGCCTACTCCTTGTACAACTGATCTGTCAGACTTTACCGCTCGCCTAAGACACCTAACCGCTAAAATCCGTCCATCACCAGCAGCTCGCCACTGTAAAAATAAAATTTTTATTTACAAAGATTTGGCATCGTCGAGTCACATTTTTCTAAGAGATGACTCCGTAAGAGGTTCCTTACAGCCTCAGTATACCGGTCCTTATCAAGTGCTTGACAGGGGGGACAAGACTTTCAAGATACTGGTCAAAGGCAAGAGCGTAACGGTTTCAATAGACCGACTTAAGCCGGCTTACATACTTAAGGACCCCTGCCCTGACCCCTTGACTGAAACCACTCCTACTTCTATCTCTAACCCCATCCCTATTCCTACCCCTATCGCTCATCCTAACCCCCGTCAGGATATTCCTGTCGATAAATTACCCAGAACTACCCGTTCTGGTCGCAAGGTTCGATTCCCGGATTACTTTCGACCGCAGTGACGGTCTCTGGGGGGGAGTGATGTGGGGCTCACACCACATATATACATGCATACATACATACATACATTCACACTTATTACCTATACCCATAATATTTATATTTAATATATTAAGCATACACAGACGTACTAACACGCGTGCAATAGGCGGGGCTTACGCCTCCTACCACAACGGCGACGCGCGGGCGCACCGGCCCTTGTATCCCGCGGCAGTCAGCTTATCGCTCCCGCTATGCTACCCTGTGTCGCTCGCTATCTTGACGCTCTGTGGCATCTACCGCGCACTGTATTAATTGTTATAATTTTTTCTTATACTTTGTTTCCGAGCTTTGAACTGTTTATAGTGTTTCTTCCATCTTCTTATTATATTGCTTGACTTTACCCTTCTGTTCTTTGTGCTTGTTTTACTTAACTGTGTGATTCGTGAAATAAAAACATTTGTGACCTGTACTGGACCTTTTCTTGGACTTGTGGTATGTGAACATTTTTACTTTTACCTAACACACTACAAGTATAGTCCGATGCAAATTTAATGGCGGCTAGTTGCACATACAGGTGTGCGCAGGTACCAACAGTCAAGTCGACTCGAGTGTACGTAGACAAGAATATGCGCGCATGTGCAAGGTACGGATGTACACACACACTAAAAGGCATGCGTGTCGTGAACTGTCGTGTGTCGCTCTGCCCCTGCGCTTAATTACGTCCCGCTGCTGTCTATTAATGTGTACTGCACATCGAAACGCTCGATGTTCCAAGCCGCCATCAAGTTTGCATCGGACTGTACTATATGTGTATTAATTTTAAACTACAAATAACAAACTACAAAATGTTACAATTTAAAGTCCTATCCGTTTAATTACGGTGATAGTGCAAGCATTCAAAATGGGACAAACGTAACTTTAAATCTAACAAGTTATAATGCGTAATACACTACAACTACTCTACACTACAAGAGTTACACTTAGTTAAGATAAATAGTGTGTACTCACGGTATGTTCCGATTTCTCGAAGTCTGTCGCGTGTTGTCTGACGGCAGGAGCGACATCATGCGGTGGCAACTGCGTCCTCAGTTGTGCTCGTCTCTTCCTCGCCGCCTCAGACCCAGAAACCGGCGCCAAAGGCCCGAGACATGACATGTAGTCCGATACCTACAACAGAATAATAAAAGAGAATTTGATATTTTTTTCTCCTTTACAAAGTTCAGTGTAAATTCTTAATCCAGAATGAAGAACCAAACATGTAAGTCTATTGCAAATAACTCAAGTATACCCTAGGAAGGAAGCCCCCGAGAAAAATATAATATCCTACCTATATGTAGTTATTTATAGTTAGGTAAGTAAACTTATAATACTAGGCTGGTAAATTTTCAAACACAAGATAAAATTTATCAATCTCATGTCATCATAATGGTTTATAAGAATAAAATCAGAGTCGTATTTTCTGTAAACGTTATGCGCTTCTAACTGATAGTAGGTATGTCACTTGTATATCCGTATATATTATCATAGAAAATCGTTATTCTGGCAACGCTCACTACTTCGGTTATTTTTTCCCGAGAGCGTGCTTTTTTTACAATTCGTAAAAAGACTTGTCTTGCAGTTATTAATCAATCAATCAATCAATCAATCTATTATTTATTTATTTTTTTAGCCTGTTGGTCTAGTGTAGTGATGTGCTGGATATCCGTATCCGTATCCGCGGATATCCAAGGGAGAAGAGAGATCCGTATCCGTGACTTTTTTGGCGGATCTTTCAATACATATTACATAGATCAAATTCTATATAGGTGATTTTGTATTCACTGTAAAACTCTTAGGTATGTGTTTGTAACACTATAAACAGCAACTTTTTTTCTGGCCAAGGTCAAAATGAAAAAAAATTGGTCCTCCATTCAAATGACCAATCAAATGTTGTTAGTTTGTATAGAGAAACGATTTTTTTTCTTTCGTTTTCGGTGTTAGTCCAGAAGAAAAGTTGTTGTTTATAATGTTACTAATATGCACTTCTGATGTTTTCAGTAAATTTAAAATAACCCTGAATAATGGTTGTTAGGTAGCTATGTAAAACTATTGAATTCTGTTCAGATTACTTTTTATTTCTTAAAACAAATATTTGGCACCTTTGTATTGCAATCATTTATCGTACTATACTAAATCAACTAGGCAGGTCGTAGGTACTGAAAGAGCTATCTTTATAATGAGATAAATCAAACATCTTTGTGTTAGCTTATTAAAATAATGAAATATTTAAATATCAACGGCAAAGCGTCAAGTGGCGACAACTATCAAGGTCACGGACTCCGATTGAGTAAGAAACTTAAGATCCGTATCCGTATCCGTGGATCTTGACACCAAATATCCATATTCGGATCCGTATCCGCGGATATACTTTGTTAACGATCCGGCACATCACTAGTCTAGTGGTTAGTGACCCTGAGTGCTAAGCCGGAGGTCGTGGGTTCGATTCCCACCCAAGACAAATAATTGTGTGATGAGCACGATTATTTGTTCTATGTCTGGGTGTAATCTATCTATATTATGTATGTATTTAGAAATATATAAGTATGTTTATCAGCAGTCTGATTACCATAGTACAGGCTCTGCCTAGTTTGGGATCAGACGGCCTTGTGTGTGAGATGTGTGAAATTATTATTATTATTATTATATTATTATATAAATGAATTGAGTAATATCTGATTAGAAATACCTTTAAAGGAAAAAATCTATAGTAGTAACAGTACAAGACGGAAAATCCCAATACCATTTATTGTTTGACAACCTGGTCTTAGAAGCCAAGAAGCTACAATCTTAAATGCATAAACAAGATAGGAGGGTTAAATAGTGATCTTATCAGCCGATGTACTAACATTATGATTAATGTATATTGAGATTAAATGACAGATAAACAAGCTACAATTTAATATCAGCTAACAAGAAGAAACGCTAGAACAAGAACAGGGTATTTGACAAATCATTGTTTTTTTTAAATCTCAAATGGTTTATTATAGCATCATAAACTTGCATTTTAATGAGTTCTTTATTATTTGAAGTGCTGATTTCAAATTCTTAAATTAGGTAGGAATATTAAAAAATCGCAAATTATGTGTTTTTTTTTATTATTCTCCTAATAGCGTATATTTCAAGAAGGCTTCGGCTATCAGCTTTATAAAAATTATATAAAAAAAAAAATATTTTTCATCGTTGTTAGAAAAATAGTATTATAAAAAAACATGTACCATACACTACATCGACTGTAACCGCGCAATTGACGTCACTACACTCTTAACCAAGCGAACATTTTCAATCACGTGCACAAGCGAACATTTTCAATCACGTGCACTAACATTTAAATGTTGTGTTCTATAAATCGGTTTCACAGTTAATCGGTTTAGCTAACAGATATTTTATCTATATCTTTTCTCTATATCTATCATAGATAACACTATGGTGATTATTGGATATTAAATGTGTGTTTAGTCTATGGTAAACTAATGTATACCCTGTGCTCACTTCAGTGGTAGATGGACAGTAGTCTGTGGTTCGTTCTCGAAAAAGTACTGTATCGCGGCGGACATGCTTAGGGCTTTTCTTATTGCTAATTAACTACCATCTTACTTTACTATGGGACTTTTACTTATATTCCAATAGTGATTCACTGCAACTACAGTTGAGAAGTAGGTTGACCACTTACACAATAAAACACTATCCAAATCGAAAAAATCATGTTCATAAAACCAGGATTTTGCCAAAGGAGGATAAATTAAATATTAGAAAAATACAACCCCAGGAGACAAAAAAATGATAATTCACACTTTATCAGAAATAAATGTAGATATACACTGATAAATAAAATTGATTTCATACATATTATCTATTTAATCTAGTGTGTAAGCATATTATCTATGATGTTTTTCATTCAAGTTATAAAGGTTAATGTCACTTACCAACTCAGTAGAAGCATTTGGCGGCACCCAGTCAAGTTTGACTGGCTTGTCTGTTACTCCACGAATTTTGATCAGCGGTACTGAAATACGCATTTATTTCAATCATATATGTATATTTTTAATCATTTTAATGATATATTATATATATTACACCAAACGTTCAGATATATAATGAACTAGCTATTGCCCGCGGCTTCGCTTATTTTATATTTTTTCATATTTCATTTTTGTAAATGACAAACTTCCATACAACCGTTCATCCCTTATTTTACCTTCTTAGGGGGTGCAATTTCCTACAATATAGAAAGCTTCAGCTCCAAAAATTTGAAGTGTTTTACCTCCCGCGGTTTAGGCTTTGAATTGATGAATCATTCAGTCAAGGCAAGTAATTTTATATGTAAAGATAATCATCATAAGTCATTAAGAAGGTGCACTAAACTTTAACAGAAAGAAATTTCAACATTAGTGTACTGTGCAGAGAAAGATTTATAAAGAAATACATAGGTACATACTTAATTGAATTTGGCATAAAGCCAAAGAGTTTGTTTGGTTGGTTGAACATGCTTATCTCAGGAAGTACTGGTTCGATTTCTAAAATTCTTTTAGTGTTGGGCCAATTGGCCATTTATCGAGAAAGGCTTTATAACATCACGCTACGACCAATAGAAGCCGAGCATCAATGAAAAATTTCAACCTTTCGAGAGACACAGACAAAGTTGCGCGCGTAAGCTATTTTAACTATATACAGATGTGGCAATGGTTTATGTAATGCCTAGTTGACATTCGTGCCGAGTCTTGGCAAACATCCACAAGCTCCAAGCCTATACCATTGGATGCCATTTATACGCTTGCGAGTGTGTCAGTGTCTCCCGGACAGGCAAAAATAGCAAACGTGGACATACGTCTCTAGCTCTACTGCTAAACCAGTAAAACATTGAGACTTACGCAAGCCGATCCAAACACCCCGTTTACATGCTTGTGTTTGTGGACACTTGTTGAGGGTGTAAACGACCTACAATAACCTCACCAACGTTCAGAGTTGAGTTGGATTTTTGATGATAGGGTGTTTACATCTTTTTATATGTATAAGCACATTGGCAATATATTAGTCAGGAGGGTCTATTTCCACGTGATATATATATATATATATATATATATATATATACCTTTTTTACCACAGGTACACAACCTTTTTTAAATCTACTTATGAATCATACTTTCCATGATAGATGAGTTGCCAGCTGATATTTCAGTGCCATTCTTTTCCGCGTAATCATAAGAGGAGTTGCTTTTATATGGTTCATATACTATCTATCTATCTACACTTTTATACTATAATAATAATAATAATAAAGCCATTTATTCCCAAAATAACATTGCAAAATAAAACTTAAAATACATAGAATCATTATTTAACTTTACATGCATAATTTTAGCAACAACGATTAATATCAACATTTATTCACTATTCATTAATATTGAGTATCATTATTTATTTATTTACATGTATATTGATTTGTCTATTCATAACTATTAATATGTGCTTACAAATCGACATTCAGTATGATATCATATTAGTATTAATTTATTATATAATATATATAATAATTAGTATGATATCAGTATTAATTTATGTTCATTTATTTGTGTATTTAATATAAATTTATCTAGATTAAATTTTAAACAATATAATTTAATATTATAAACAATCAAATTATTCACCATAAACAATCAAATCAACAAAGTTCGTTAATGAGTTAATTAAAAAATTGGATTTCGTATAGATACATATAATAATTTTCAATTAAAATAATGTCATTACTGACTTGTTTCTATTTTGGGTACCCAAATTTGAGCAAAGGCCTCCTCCATATATCACAAACTATGGACCTAACATTAAGCGTACAAATATTAGGATATGGAGGGTTGCAGTCTTTATCCCCCGCGGTGACTAGCCGTATTGGGAGATCGAGAGGGGCCGTATTTGATTGCTATTCATTTTTTTGGAGTTCTGGTTGTTCATCGGAAGAACGTTCATTGTTGAAAATCAGTTTCTTTTTGTGTTGAACGTAGTTTTTCATTGTGGTTGTCTTACTTTTCTTTACAGGTTGTTTTATGTTGTCTTTGTGTTTTTTAATATAGTTTTCTTTTGTTTCAGGTGACTCAGACATAGTTCTCTTGTTTTTTGAAAAACAAGTTTCTTTATTGGTCGGAAGTACAATGAGCTTATCGTATCTTATGAAAGCCTTTTTGCCGGATTCTATTTCTTTTTTCAATTGTATTTGTAATTCTCTACGTTTGTTCAGCACTTCTTTAGGGTAATCTTGTTTTATGTAGTAAGGTGAATTTTTCAAACAGTAAAAACTTTGTTCTATTTTTATTTTAAGTCCCATTGTCGCAAACGTAATTGATACAGGTCTTATATTTTCACCTTTTTTTCCAAATCTTCTGACAGCTTCAATCCCATTTTCATAATTCAAGTGAAAGTATTTCCGTATTATATCTCATATTTTTCTTTCTAGGTCGTGATACGAGTTTTCGTTTTCTTCCACCCCGAAAATAACCAGATTTTTACGTCTAATATATCTTTCTAAATGATTAATATATGAAGAATGTTCTTCCAGTTTCTTTTCTACATGGTCATTCTTAATTTCCAGGCTCCTAAATTTTTCATTTATATTGTTGTTAATTGTAGTTTTTATTTCTTCTTTCATTTCAAGCATGTCCTGTTTTTGTTGTATCATTTCTTTTTTGATGTTTTCTAACATTAATTTTATTTCTTCCATAATAGTACTTTGTTTTGCTCTTTTTAATGCAAAAATTGTTGACAGTGCTTTTTTTGGTTTTCTTCCGGAGCAACGATTCAACTAGGAATCAATACTGTGTGTGATCAGTTTTACTCCGAATACCTGGTTGTGTTGCTTTAAATTGTCAATAGATGGCGCTAATGGTCCCAGATTTGTTTGTATAATTAACACTAAAATCAACACTAAACAGGACATAGGCCTGGAGAAATGCCCCCCGAGATCCCAGCAGGAGTCCAAGAGAAGAACCACAGATAATTAACACATACCTAACGCGGCAATACAGTACTCGAACAATTGCACTTCAGAGGGTAGCATTGAAAACGTTTATTAGGTGATATCACACGCTGTTTTCTGTTTTTTCAGCCCTGTTTGTACAAAGCTTTTATTTTATTTAATTATAACCACACCATAAATTTGAAATATTCATTAATCACGACGACAGTTAATTTGCTTTGACTTGACACATAGGTACAGGTGATTGATATTTTATATTTGTTAATATCTCTTAGTTCACTCAATTTTCGCTGGAACCTCGATATGTTCCATGTGGCACTTAGTTCAATAACACACTTTTTTGCACTTTTTATTGTTTTTAGTTGAAAGTGAATTTTTAATTTGAATTTAAACACGGACTCGATGTTAACAGTGGCACTGTGGCGCCCTCCCTCTATACTATAAGCCATGGCAAATTGCTAATATAATATATATAATAATTTCTCACAAATATATTTGAGAATATATAAAATACTGTACTGAAGTTTCCTATCAATGTGTATTTTACACTTACTGTAATATTAAAAAAAATAAAAAATATATATGTTAAGTAATGGATGTCTATGTTGAATATGTTCATTTGGAATGAACTATCTGGTTCGGCACCACAAATTCTAACAAAACCTATAATCTCGGGCGCCAGGTGCCGGCTTAAATGAACATAGACAACTAATAACAAATACAATAATTACCTGGAGTAACTCGGTCAGCGCTTAGACTTTTAATCTAGGGTGGGGGCAGCTATTAAATAAAGAGATGTTATAAGATTAAGAGGCAGTTTATTTATCCCGTAGTGTCTGTAGAGTACATGGAATATAATAGGTCTAATTACACTTCCCTTCGCGGCACTGTTTTTAAACAGTAATATAGTGCTGAATTATTTTATTACGACTATTGGTGAGTAAATTTATTTTCTTTCTAAAAGTGGGTAGGAGGTATCCTTTGTTTATATTGATTTTTCTCTGCGTGTTGTTTATTTTTAAACCTGTTCCTTTTGAAATTGTTGTTTGGTGTGTCTTTGTTTGGCTATGTCGGTCGTTAGCGAGTTGCCGGACCCCGGCGGTACAAGTGAATTTCTAACACCAACCGGGAAAAGGACATTTATCGAAATGTCACCTACGGATTTCTCGCCGAAAGACAGTAGCCGTAGGCGCGTTATTAATTCGGACTTAAGTGGAAATGTTTCGTCTTCTACCGGTCGTGATAACTGTGGGGAGTACAACTACTGTGACTTAGTATCACAGGCCACTGATTATTTAGCAAAAATTAATGAATTAGTTAATGATCAGGGATCTCGGATGAATGTAGGTAATAAAACGGCGATTATGGATATTACTCAACGAATTACCGGTATCGTATCTTTGTTAGCAATGAAATCCTCTAGCAACGAAACGAAGTTAGCGTATTTTGAGCGACAAATGGAGGGTATCGCCACTCAAAAAACGAGTTTAACGTACGCGGACAAACTTAAGCTTCGATTACCACCTAAATCTGCTCCGTGCCCGGTACCTACTGAAGCGCGCGTTCCTAGGCCTTGTGTTATTGCCTATCCCACTACGGAACGCTTAGCGGACTATGCGACCTCGTCAGCAACAAAACAAGCTCTCATGAAGGCTATTCAACCGAGCGATGAGGGATTTCAAATTGTAGGCGTTAAAAAAACCTCTAAGGCAGGCGTCGTGTTACGTGTAGCTAACGAACGGCAGCTTAAGAAACTGGAATCTGTGGACGCCATTAAATCAGTAGGGTTACGCTTAGAAAAACCGAAAGGCCGTAGGCCCCGTATAATTGTAAAAGACGTACCCGGTTCTATGGAAGATCGTGCCTTCCTAACAGCCTTATACCGTCAGAATATCAAGGACGAATTAAAATTAAGTGAGAACGATTTTATTAAGTCAACCAAAATTGTTAGGCATCGTAAACTAGAAAATGGGCGTCAATGGATAGGCTTAGAATTAGAGGCAGCAGTTCGGAAACATCTAGCCAACACGAAAGATAAACTTTATATAGACTGGGCCACATGTAGATTCATAGACGATATAGAAGTAGTTCGTTGCTTAAATTGTCAGCAATTCGGTCATGTACAAAAGTTTTGCACCATAAAAACCCCTACTTGTGCTAATTGCGCCGCCGCACACGAAACGCGAGCTTGTCCAGATAAAGACACACCAGATTTTAAGCCCATGTGCGCACAGTGTAAGCGGTTTTTTCAATATTCACATCCTATTGATCCTCACTTACATCACTTACGTTACGTCTTGCAGTTCCTCGTGGGACATAAAATTATCATTGGCGCTGATGTCAATGCGTCATCTTCATTATGGTATGGCAAGTTGCGTTCAACCGACACGGTTCGACGTTGTGCGGTTGAAGATTTCATTGTGGAAATGAATCTTATTATTCACAATACCCCCGATGCACCACCAACTTTTTGCAACCCAATGGGTGAGTCTTCTATTGACGTGACGTCTCGATATCCGGATGGCGTGTCCTTCCGGACGCATCCTGTAGTGATCACCGCTTGATCGTGTACGAATTCATACCAAGGGTTGCACAGGATCCACAAAGGGCTCCCTATAATTTTAGATGTAAAACTAAAGGTGCGAACTGGGCTTTGTTTGGTTCACTCTTTGCAACTCATACCAAAGACTTCAGTCGCAGTAGTTTATCAGCTGAGGAAAGCGCAGAAATACTATCAGAAACTTTTACATACTGCGCTGATGTAACTATTGGTCGCGGATCTATCACTAACCTTCGTAGATGTGGAATGATAGATTAGCCGAACTACGTAGAAGCTACCGGAAAGCTCGTAGAAAATTAAACACTATTAAAAAACATAACGTAACAGGAGATTTGTACAACAATGCTCTCATTGCTCTTAGAGTTGCCAGGTCCCATTACAGAGCTGCTGTGGAAAAATCCAAGGGAAACTTAATTCAGAAACTTGTTGATAAACTCGATAGAGAGGGCCCGTGGTCACCTTTGTATCACGAATTTAAGGCAAATAGATCAATCGACCTTGCATACATACAGAACATTAAAATTAATAACAGATATACCATAGGAGTAGAACAAACAGCAGAATATCTTTTAGACTCACTCGTACCTGACGATCGACCGGAAAACGACACTGATCATCACCGACAGATCAGGCAGTGGGCCATCGAACCATCACTGTCTCCAATGTCTGATTTACCATCTTCAGACGAATTTCTCGGTATCATTAGATCCTTGCCGCTAAACAAGGCTTCGGGCGATGATAAAATATCTAACAAAATGATAAAAGAAGCTTGTAAACTTTCGGGTGACACGATTTTCACTGTCTTTAAACGTTGCATTGCTGAAGGAATATTTCCTCGTATATGGCGGTGCGGTAATATTCGTATAATACCAAAAAGTGGCGACAAGCCACCGGATGATCCTAAATCCTACCGACCAATCACATTATTACTATCGTTAGGAAAGCTTTTAGAACGTCTTGTAGTGCCCCGGCTTCTGCCAGGTGGAGTCAAATTTCATGATAGACAATTTTGATTTACGTTGGGTAAATCGACAACTGACGCTGTTATATCGGTTAGAAAGTTTGTCACAGAGTCAAAATTTCAATACGTGCTGGCTATTTTCTTGGATATATCTGGCGCCTTCGACAACGCATGGTGGCCCATGCTGTTGCTGAAATTAAAATCGCGGGGGTGCTTTAAAAATATTTATTCCCTTATCTCTTCGTACTTTTCACAAGGTACACCTAAACTAAGACTTGGTCATCATTCTGTGTCGAAGGCGCTTACAATGGGATGTCCTCAGGGATCGGTGCTAGGTCCATACTTGTGGAATATCGGCTTCGACGATTTTCTTGCGATACCAATACCATCCGGATGTACTCTGAACGCGTATGCTGATGACGGCTTATTACTGGTGGAATCTGATACTAGGGCGGGGCTTGAGAGATTAGCCAATAGATGTTTGAACTTGATATCTCAATGGGGTGAACGTAATCGCTTAACTTTTGCACCCAACAAAACCTTACAGCTACTTTTAAAAGGTAACCTCAAATCACCGCCGAACATTAGATTTGACAATGTTACTGTAAAAAATAAAACTACAGTGTGTTATCTAGGATTAGTTTTAGAAATAAACTTTTCATTTATCGAACATATTAAAATAGTTAATGAAAAGTCTAAAAAGAGTTTCTGTGCATTGACAAGGATATCAACTGCGACATGGGGTCTATCATTTAATACATTAAAGATCATATACGGAGCTACTTATTTAGGTTCTATGTGCTATGGTGCACCTGTATGGGCCGATAGGGCGACCGTAGGCGCTGTCCGTCGCAAACTGTTACAAGGCCAACGACTTGCACTGATATTCTTGTGTAAGGCATATAGGACGGTTGGCACTGAGGCTTTGCCGGTGTTGGCGGGTGTGCTTCCGGTCGATCTCGAGGTGCAGAGACGTGCAGCCATGTACTATTCAAGACAACAAAACATGGAATGCGATTTTTTGGGCGCGCGGGATCGCGGTAAAATTACAAGATTGCTTCAACAGCAGCCCGATGTCTATAATGACCTCATAGACGACGAGACCAATTCTTTCCATCTGTTCGCGCACGGTTGTCGAGGATATGGCTTGAGGTGGATCACTGTGTCGCTCAATTTCTTACGGGTCATGGTAACTTTAAGAGCAAGCTTTATTCATTTAAATTAGTCGAGTCACCATTGTGTCAATGCTCAACACCTAACTCTCACTATGAACAGTCTGCTCATCATATCCTCTGGGAATGTAGTCTTTGGTATAATGAAGGTAATATAATGCTGAATAGCTTGCAGGTGACATCTGGGGCGGTATACTATGGGGATCTTGTGTCAACTAGGGTGAATTTCCGTGCGTTTAGGCGATTCTGCCATACATATTATAGAAATCAAACATAGCTCACGTAGGACCCGTAATATTTGTGGCCGTGGTGCTTCCCTGTTTAAAAGGGTGTATGCCCATTTTACTTCATTTTGTATCCCGCTTTGCTAAGGAGGGAAGTGGATTTACTGTATTTCCAACTCCTCCAATTTTCTTCTGATTAATTTCGTTGCGGGTTCCAAGACAGTTTAATTTCTTCCTGGGACTTCCCGAGTGTCATAACTCGGTGTGTTCGTGGGTCACTGCTGTGGATCCTGGTGTACAGGAGTTACAGTGGTGGGCGTGTGGGTGGGATTAATTACAAATGTAATTCTTATTCTCAAATTAGTTCTGTCATTAATGCAATCCGTTTACCTTGATAATACAAATTAAAAGTAAAATTTCTTTAAAAGTCTCATAAAGACTGTTCAATACATAAAGAAACTAATGGTAGTTATCATAACGGCCCTTAGGCACAGTCCGTTTGGAACTATGGTAAAACTAACTCCTAAAACGCTCACTCTTGTTCTCCACGTGGTTGTCGTCGTAGCGGGGTAAGTAATCCAATCTTCCTGGCTCCTGTCCCAAGTGAATCCAAATAATGGGCTACAGTCAGAGGACTTTTCCTGCCATTAGAGGCACTTAGGAAAGGAAATCCACTCTCCGAAGCAAACTAAATCCCAGGATCAGGCAGGTTGTGAAGTAAAAAATCTAATTGCAACATAAGGAAATTGCAATCTTATAAGAAGAAAAGCCAAAACTAAAAAAGAAACCCTGTTACGGCACAGGGTTCCAAAACGTCTCACAAATAAATAGAGGCATTACTAATAATACCCAAAAAGGCAAAATATTATTTCCATCAAAAAACTCGTTTTCTTAACAAAACTGGCCAACAATAAAAGGTGATTTAACCCTCTGATTATAACAAAAGGAAACGGATTACATTTCCATCTTTCAAAAATCACAAACATGTCTACCATGTTCACTTCGCCCAGGAAAATGAAAAAGCGACAAAAAATGTTGCCAGAGCAGAGTGCAAAAAAAAACTACAATCGCATCATTAATATAGTCGATTAAAATAGACTAAAAAAATCTCGACTGTGATGCCATCTCTAGGAGCTTACTGAAACGTCAGAAAATCCAACTGTCAAAACAAACAACAAAACAACAACACGTCGATAATTAACTTTTCTGTAATGGTGCGAAATGCACCGTTACAATACAAATATTCGTAAAAAACCCATACTAATATTATAAATGCGAAAGTGTATCTGTCTGTCTATCTGTTACTTTTTCACACTTAAATTGGTGAACCGTTTTAGATGAAATTTGGTATAGGGATATTCCGAGTCCCGGGAAAGGACATAGGATAGTTCCTATCCCTTTTAAGGGGTGAAAAGGGAGGTAGAACTTTGTATGGGGAATCAATAACCACTGAACTAATTTAGATGAAACTTGGTATGGAGATACTTTGAGACTTGAGGAAAGATATAGGCTACTTAACTGATTACGATAACCAACATTTACACGGGCGGCGCCTCGGGCAAAAGCTAGTAAATTATAATTTTAGATGATGAACACTGGGAGATGTTTTATCATCACTTCCAGTTACAAAGATAAGAACAACAATAAACATACTCACATGTACCCTTTTTAGGTTTTGCAGTGCCAAGTAATTCAAACTGCGCCCATCCAGATAAATCATCATCTTGAACATCATGGACGTCTTTGCTGCAGTGACAGGAGCGGCACACTTTCCTCCAAAAATGTAAATCTAATCCAGGACATGATGGGCCTGGAGAAGAACGAAATTAGGAATATAAACAAAGGAACTTATAATATGTGAATATTATATTGCACTCCCTAATTATTTTTTTAATTGTATGGCATTCAATGCAACTCGGTAAGTCTACAAAAATGAAATAAAAGCATTTGCATTATGATGAGTAAACAATATTTATATGAGTAATAATATTTATTATAGCATTACTGTGATCAATGAGTCAATCAGGAAAATTACTATTATCTAAATTAGTAACAAGATTCTGAGAAGGAGTCCAGGAATCATGTTTAAAATGCAGTAAATTAATATATATTTATAAATATCAATAATATACAAATAATTTATATTTATTTCATACAAAATATAGTGAGTCAGTGCCATTACTCATTTGATAAATAAATGAACAAAAATGTTCTAAAAAGTAATAAAATATTAAGGTAGACTTTTTACTGGTCACCTCAGATTTAATATAAAAAACGATGCAAGTAGTTTTTTTATGTAAATATTTTACATGAAAACTTTATGGGTTCTTTTTGTAAATATTATAGGGCCAACAAGTAAAAATGCAAAAGGCAAACATGTTTGCACGCATATTTTTGAAAAACACTTCAATATCTTATTGTTTACAACTTAATCTAAATAGTAATTTATGTTAACAAAATAAAATTTACATCTGGTTGGTTAAAAAAAAACAAAAACATTAATAAAATATAATTACTATGAAGTAAAAGTTTGTGAGAAAAGGAAACAAACAATGAGAACAAATTACCTATACATTTGATAACATCTTCATTGTTTTGAAATGACGTCATACATAAAACTTCGGTGAGAAACTTGATTGCAAAATACTTATGCCAAATTCACTACTTTTAGCTGTTTATAAATATTCTAAAACTTTCTAGCTCGAGTGAGAATGATATTGAATGATTTAGGTAAGGTAAGGTAGATAAGGTAAGAAAAATAAAAATACAGCGCTAAACTTACCGCAAGAATTGCAAGGGGCCCCGGCGCCGCTATCATGACCAAGTCGGGCTTTACTTAATTTTTCTCTTTGACTTTCGAGTTTTGATAGCCAAGCCGGCGCTTCCGGAGTCTCTACACATGACCCACTCATCTTCTAAAAGAAACATTTAATTTTATTAATTGGTTTACGGTATTATCCACATAAATACATCACAATAACTTTGTTAAAATCGTTGATACTTTTACCTACCTTTTTATCGTGCAAGGAAGACATGGTGCTCTTTTTTATTTAATATCAATTACATGAATCTCAGTTTATGCGCGTTAAAAAGAAAAAAGAACTCAGAAACTCAGAACCCGATAACGTACTGTGCGCTGTGAAAACTACTGATAAAAATGACACAAGTGGCATCCGCATCAGTTAACGAATCTTGATCATGATCTTTTGAACAAATCTGTTTTCCTAAGTTTTTATGAATTCACAAATCATTAAACGCAGTAAAAAATATGTATTTTTTAAATTAATATTTTTTTTAAACTAGTTTTAATTATTGGACCGCTATGATGTAATTATTAAAAAACATTGACTGGATTGGATAATCTTCAAAAACTTTAGTAAAATTATATTGTTTATAATGTATTATACTGCATGGGATAGATTATTGCATGCCACACCTCACAACTAACTTCGTTGGTTTTAGTAATTTTACAATCTAACCAAAATAGCATAAATAGGCATCATCCGTACTTCCAATGATATTGTGTCACTTTACATATAAATGAACGCACCCACTCCATCCGTCACTTCAGTTATGTTTTTAATCTGTATTCCTTCCGTAATGTCCCCATCCATCTTTCAATGCGTTTCCTATTCCAATTCGATATAAAATTTCGGGAAAATTGTTGTCTCTTCTATAAATAGTTTACCAACATTCCAATACTTCTGGATTATTAAAGCGTCTGTAATTCAAAAGCAGTGATAAAACTTTTTTTACGGTAATAAAAACTGATTGTTTTCAACATACGTTAAGGTTCCACAATGAGTCATAGGTTTGTCTTTATTTATCAATATTATTCTGTTTTATAGATGTCGTCAGGAAGGCCAATCAAATGCGTGGTTGTTGGCGATGGCACTGTTGGAAAAACTTGTATGTTAATATCATACACCACAGACAGTTTTCCGGGTGAATATGTGCCCACAGTGTAAGTTGTGTTCATTCAAGTCTACTGCTGGGAGATTTTGTGGTATTTTGGAAACAATATGACTGTAATTGAAATGTTTTTATTATATTATAGATTTGACAATTATTCTGCACCTATGGTGGTGGATGGAGTAGCGGTGTCTCTAGGTCTATGGGATACTGCAGGGCAAGAAGATTACGATAGGCTTAGACCTTTAAGTTATCCACAAACAGATGTCTTCCTTATATGCTTCAGTGTAACAAGGTAAGCTAATTTTTGTGTTTGCTTTTGAAAGTTTAGAATAGATAATAAAGAAATAAATAAAACCTTAGAAGAATGTATTAAATCTAGACAGTTGTAACAGATAAAGTCAGACTGATAGAGTCAAAGACAGTCTGAGAAGTTAGAAAAGTAAGGAGATGTAAAGGTATTTTTAGATTTCAAATGTTTGAATATTGTAGTATAGATAAGTATTAGAACTTTAAAGTAATAAAGAAACATGCTTTAGAACTTAATGAATAAAATTGTTATTAATTTCTTTGCAGTCCTTCGTCTTATGAAAATGTAACTTCAAAGTGGTATCCTGAAATAAAGCATCATTGCCCAGATGCTCCTATAATATTGGTTGGTAAGTAATATTTCATATTTAACTTTACCATGAAAATCATTGAAATAAATCATAATCATTTAACTATATGCTTTATTTGATGCTTATTACAATATTGTAACCTGATCCGTTGTATTGACTAGTGATTGCTAGAAGAAAATAAAGAATTATTAAAATTCTTCATTTTCATCTAACAATCACCAACTACTAACTGCTCATAAATTAGCATAGATTAGTTTTTGCTACAGTCTTTCAAAGCAGTCACAGTCTTTATAGTATAACATAGACTGTTGGTCTAGTGGTTAGTGACCCTGACTGTTAAGCTGTAGGTTGTGGATTTGATTTTACCCATGACAAATAATTGTATGATGAACACACTTATTTGTTCTGTAACTAGGTGTAATTTATCTATAATATGTATGTATTTAGAAATATAAAAGTATGTCTATCAGCAGTCTGGTTACCATAGCACAGACTCTGCCTAGTTTGGGATCAGAAACTTTACAGTTAAGAGATAAGTGAGGACACTCAATCCCTTCGATCTTGCTTATGCACTGTGATATTACATCTAATATAACTTGTACTAAAAATAGACAGTTCTAGTAGTTTTTGGATATCTATTTCCAACAAGGTATCTTACAAGTTTTTTTTTAAATGTGGTGCTATCTTCTTTCTGCCTACAAGGCACTACTACTGGACTTTTTACAAGAGTCCTACAATACATTGTTGTTATGTAATTGTAACTGTGTATGCCTAGACAAGTCACAGAATATAAAAGCTTTTCTAATTTTTTTTGATATTTATCATTACATATTTTCTGTGAAACATAATATGGTTATAAGTTATGTCTTATTCTGCTATATAAGCAATAATGCTGGTTTCATTAAAAACTGTTTAGTATGTCCCATCCATCATCACAATTTTTTAAAACTATTAAACTTCTATTTCAACAATGGTAATCTGATCAGATTTGATGTTAACTTATTCCTAATGTACTTGTACAGATTTAGGTAAGCTAAGGTATTTATAACTTTCATTTTACAGGTACAAAAATTGACTTGAGGGATGACCGTGAAACGCTCAGTTTACTTTCTGAACAAGGCATGTCTCCATTAAAAAGAGAACAAGGACAGAAACTGGCCAACAAAATTAGAGCTGTGAAATATATGGAATGTTCGGCACTCACTCAGCGTGGGCTCAAACAGGTGAGATTATTTTTTTTGGAGACTGATTTGGCAAGTTTCCAAGTTTCTTAAACTTATTTATGATGTTTATATGACAGATATGTAAACTATCAAAATAGGGTACTTTTTTTATCAAATCAAATCTTACAAATGAATCCTGAGTAGTATGATTAACTGTTAGTAGACAGAGGGTCCTCTAGTGGATATCCAAGACAGGACCGGCTGTTTACTAACATTTGGATACCTGATTGATGATTACTCCTAACAACTGTTCACTTGATATTTGTTATTACTGAGTGCCCTAAAATGAGTTCATGAACAATAATGCCTGATCAGGACAGACTGTTTCACGGACTGATTGATCAAAGCACATCAGCAACCACTGGGTCTAGTAGCATGAATTTTTTTGCACAAATGTTACTTAGATTATGTAGGTGTGCACTGAGAAAGGATTTTTTAAAATTCTACCTTAGGGGTAGAATTTTTAAAAATCCTTTCTCAGTACGTTCGTCCTTACAGCGTACAAAATGGGGGTTGGAAATTAATATGAAACTTCGTTATATTTTTGTGGTAGCGTATCCTCTACGTACATATTATTAAAATTATATGTGTATTTATTCACCTCATATTAGGTCTTGTTAGATGAACACCAAAAAATATATTTTTTTTAATTACAAAAGTCAGGTGCGTATAAAGTTTCGTAAATCTGCTCATAGTAATTAATTCAACAAAAAATAAATGTTTATATAAAACCTTGAGAAATTTTACATTAGTCTAGGAGGTAACAAAACACTAGTTGTCTATTTTTCTTTTAGTTTATTTTTTTAATATTTTGACTGCCTCAGTGGTGCAATGGTAGCGTGTGCGACTGCTGTGCTGATATCTCGGGTTCGATTCCCGGATTGAACCAAATGTTTGAATGATCTACAAATATCTTGTTTCGGAGTTTGGATGTTTTCTCTATATAATGATGTGTTTACAAAACAAAAGTATATAAGTATTCCATCAGTCAATCTAGCTTTCATAGTACAAACTATGCTTAGTTTGAAACTAGATTCTTCACATACTGTTGCCTTCGTTCGTGTTCGCGTTTTTGTCTCGGACGCTTAGATCTTTCAAACAAAAGAACGGATTTTAATGCGGTTTTCACCAAGAGAGAGTGACTCATGAGGCGGGTTTATATCTATAACACATGCATATAATAGTAGAGGAAATCGGAGAATTAAAAAAAATTGTTATATGAAGTCGTAAAACGTATGTTTTTTGCACTTACATTGCAAACGCTGGGTAAACCTTAATAGTTAAAATAAAATAATTTACTACGGAATTGTATATCTTAAAAAGATCAACAAACAATACACTAATTTAAAAAAAGAAATGGAAAAAAAAATAAGCACGCTTTTTATAGGAAACTAAACTAAAAAATAGAAAATAAATTTAATCAATTTGGAAAAAAAGCGTTGGGTGCCTGTTGTCAAAAGTAAAAAGCACCCCACACTTTTTTTCAAATTGATTAATATTAATTTATATATTTAAAAAAAAAAAAATAGTGTATTGTCATCTGTCCTCGATATATCTACAAAGTTTGAACGAATTCTGACCGTTTACAGCCAGTTAAAATCACGCCCAAAGGAGTCGGTTACAAACAAACATGCAAGTGAAGCTAATATGAAGCGTGTAAAAAGTTAGCGATGGTATATGTCTATCTCCTAAGTATAACAGATAGTAACCATTTTTATCTTTTACATATTACAACAAATAATGGGTAATTTACGAAGCTATTTTAAACAATACAGTATTATTCCTTATCCAAATAAATAGGATAGATACGTTGATCATTGAAGTGAATATCTTAATAGATATCAGAGATTTGCGGAGGCAAAGCGGCACTCGCCCCGTCGGGCCGTACGTCTGTCCCGGGTGGCAGCGGCCGGCAGAAATGGAGCGGCCCGGAGTAATTAAACTATTATGCGATATTTAAGTCGCATAATGGTTTAATTACTCCACACTGACACCACGTTAGTAGTATCTACATTGCACCCATGCGAAACCGGGGCGAATAGCTAGTAAGTAATGATGTTAATTAGGCTAGTTTATTAATTGTATATTTGTTAACAGGTTTTTGACGAAGCTGTGCGTGCAGTATTAAGACCTGAACCTCAGAAGAGACATCAGAGGAAGTGTTTAATTATGTAAATAAGAAAATCCATGACAAGATTGACCCTTATACATGCAGGAATCTCTTGACGACAGTAATAATGTGTTTCTATACCAATATGTACTTCCAGCATCACATACAATTCTACAATAAACATGTTGAACAAAATTACATTCATTGTATGCCGACAAGTGCCATATATACATTCTTCATACTGCATAGAACATAGTTTTGCATATTATACAAACTTAATCAGGAGCATCACACAAATAATTTTAGTTATATTTTCTGCTTATATTTAAGCAATTGAAAATGCCAAAGATTTTATAAATAGATGTAAGACTCAATATATAATTTAGTATGTTTTAGTAAAACCTCGAATGGTTAGAAACAAATTGTTACTGTTATGTAAATGACTATAGTGTTATTTTTGTATATGCAACTGGACCTCAATATTGGATGTTTAAAATAATATATTCTTATGCAACTTGCGAATAACGACTGACTGTAGATGCTAGTTTCTAACATACTCAATTTAATATCCAATTAGTTGCAGGTTTCTAACATTTATTATCCAGTGAAGGACATATTTGTTAAGCGATATTTTATTTAGATATATATATATATATATACACATAATGATTATCTATGCTTATAACTTATAGGGTTTGTGCTTTATTTCATTTAGTAAAGTGATATTGATTGAAGTTTGAAAGTCATTTTGTATTATCTATGATAATTCTGATAAACCAACGATTTCTACAGGTAATATTGTTTATTGCATTGTATAGAAACGTAATATGAAGTGACATATATCCGGCAGCTGAAGTGACTGTTGTAAAGCTTTATTGACGATGAAGTTTAGTCTGCATTATTTCACGAATATTTTCGATTCTCTATTTAATTTAGTTATTTTATTTCTAATAAAGTTTGTGATTAGACAAAGTGTGTTTATAGTGATTTATTAGGGTGAAATATTTTTGTATGTGAAAATCTTAGATGTAAGAAATATAATGCATTTAAAAAGTACTAATTTCTCAATAAAGGAGAAGCACAATTTAAAAATAGTGACTCATAATTACGGAAACAAGGCAATATAACATGAGCTCTTTGATAACTATAATGAGTCTGGGTAGAAACCAAGTTTTTTTCGAAAAGGAATGTGTGCATGTTGATATTATGCACCATTGATATTATTTGTAGACTGCTTTGAATTACGTGTAAGCTTCAAAAATAATTCATGTATATACCTATTTATGTAAGAACTAAATGAAACTTGTGTATTATGCACTTCATAAATTATTGAACTTTATTGTGGTTCTTTTAATTTTACAATCCTGACCTGTTCTATATTTATTATACAGTGAAAGATCATTGTTTCAACCTACTATTCCTTGTGATAACGAGGTTTCTAGCACGAATTCATATTTTTGAAACGTATTAACAAGATCTTAACATCTTACTTTAGTTTTCGAATATTTTGAGCAATGTCTCATAATTGCAGAGGATGTGGGCTAAAAGTTAAATTGTCGAAACAGGGCCACTCGAGTGTTGGTGTTATTTATTTATTTAGGTAATTGTTCAAAGTTTATTAAATCTTGAACGTGTATTCTTAGCTAGCACAAAAATTAAAAAAAAAACTTGGCGTATCTCTAAAAATCAAACTGGCAATATATAAATCTTGGTCGACATAACAATTGATTTAAATAATAATAAAGTATTTTAAGACATTTGCTAACAACCTGTTAAATTTCTGCGGGAGAATAATGAAGAAAAGTAAGATGTGAGAAGAAGAAATATCGTGTCACTGACACTGGCATTTTGATAACAAAAAAATAGTCGCTAATTAGTCTTTTACCAGATTTTGACGGTCACTGGTTCATGGTATAAGCGTTTTTAGAGGCCACGCAGGCCACGCATATATCTCAAAAACTAGGGCAACCAGAGATCTGTTTTCTCCCAAATTTAGTCGCTAATAAGTCGAAATCAGTCGGATATCAGTTTTTTTTAAAGGCTTCCTAGCAACTGAAATTACTAGTACTCCCGTTAACCCCTCTAGCTAAGATAAATTGTTTGTGTTAGGAGTGGGTTCACGTCGGTAGTGTACTGGTCAGGATTCGAACCCACGACCTCTTCATCGCAAGTCCAATGCCTTAACCACTAGGCTACCGCCGTTTATGTCGGTTATGATGATAATTATAATGGCTAAGATAGGTAGATTATAATCTTTTATATCTCAAAAACTAAAGCACCTAACGAAGATCTGTTATCACCCAAATTTAGTCGCCAATTAGTCGAAATTATACAGACACATTAGTCACACTACCGTTGCTTGAACTGGTACAGCAATGACACCAGCACTACCACCAAGGCATTGTCGGCCCTCATGTACATACTTCATAAGCTCTGATAAGTAGTAGTGATGTCCATCATGGTTGAGAAGTGGGATAACATTACTATATAAATACTATTCTCTCCTTCAACCAGATATCTTACATAAAACATTAACTACATACTTTCAACTATTACAAGCCGGGCTTCAACCCACATAAAAACTTCCATAAATTGGTTGCCTTCCAGCAAAAAAAATCTTAATTTAATAAAACTTCATACTACTATATAATTAATTTATTTCATTTAACATGTTTACATGTCACTGAAACATTTTTAGAAACAAATACCTAAACAGGGATCAACATTGAAACAAAGATAGGTTTAACCAGAGCGCTTAGCACATACTGCAAAACTCTTATTAATAATAAATATTATGGTTGTATTTGTAAAATGTCATGGAAAAAAGTAATCGTTTCTAATCGTCGCTCAGAAAACAATTTGTGACTAGAAAACTATTTTTATGCATACAAAATGTGGAAATCCATTAATTTTAAAAATAAAAATATAAAAGTTGTAATGTCGTTTAAATGTGTGCTTAAAATGACAGTCAAATTTTTATGAAGTAGATACATGCACCTTGCTCATGAATATAGCCTAAAATAACATCCATTGAACTAATAACTAACATTTATAAACATAGAATATTAAATGCAATTAATAGGAAACTTATGATAAATTAATCAATATTTATGAAACTAGTCAAGTTCTTAATTTCCTTAGATTCAAATGTAGCAAGCATGCCACAAACTCAACTTGCCTCATGAGATCTTGAAATGTTCTTAATCTGAAAATCTATAGAAATAACTTGTCTATAAAACATGAAAATCTAATTTACATGTAAAATACTGATTACAAACTTTTCTAAAATGATTAATTTGTTTACGAAATCTACTAAACAGATTGAAAAAATAATTTCATAATACAATTTAACAATATGATTAGATATTGTCCCAAACAAACAATTTATCTGCAAATGGTTTTAAACAAACATTTTAATTGATTCTTAATTAACTGGTATCCTATAATGCTAAGCTCCATAAATTGCACATCCCTCCTAATTTGGATGATACATCATAATAATGTAACATTGGGTAATTAGATTCTTTTATTTTAATAATGATTAATATGTTCACATTTATTTTACTGTTAAAAATCTGTTAATGCCTTACAAAACACTGATAATAATTATTGTGCATTTACATTATATACAGCATTATACAATAAAACAATGATAATTTTAACTACTAACACTAATAAGAAGTATTTTTGTATTTTTTATATTTTTGTCATACAGATAGAACAGTTACTTAAATCTTAAACATCTATGTCATAAAAACATTGAATAGGATAAATATCTAATAAAAAGGACACAAAAAGATGTAAAATCAAGATAGACAAAACCTGATATATAGTAAAATCCTTAGAATGAAAAATTATTTATAGCATACAACACAGTATTGGCTATAGTTTTTGTATGCTTAAACTTTTTTTTATATTTCACAACAGATTTTTTGAGTATACATCTGACAAAGCTTACACTTTTAAAGCATCTACCAAACTTATGTGGCATCACTGCTTGGTAAAAAGTCATCTTCCTGATATCACATAGCCCTGTATGGACCCTGAGACTTTAAGTATTGAATAACTAATGATGGTCCAGCTGACACAACTTCTGGTGGAATTGCTGTCAGGGGGCAATTCTCAATGCTCATTATTTGCAGACTGACACATAATGCCAGCTCAAAGGGTAAGTTACATAAGTTAGGATTATCATTTAAATACAGTGACTCTAAGTTTTCTAATGTACCTATTTCTTCTGGTAAATATTGTAAATTATTTTCACCAACACTTAGGAATGTAAGATTTGTCAGATGTCCAATTGAACGAGGGAGTGATGTCAACTGGTTAGACTGAACTATCAGTTTCTGAAGTTCATGTAAAAACCCAATTTCATTGGGCAACACTTCTAACTTGTTTTCCTCCAAATCCAAAACTCTTAATTTTCTCAGACTTCCAATGCTTGGTGGAACACGCTTCAAACAATTGTTTGATAATATTAAGATTTCTAAATTTTGTAAGCATTGAATGTCATCGGGTAATTTACCTAATTGGTTTGTTCCTAAGTTGAGCTCTACCATATTTACCCATGTTCCAATATCTAGTGGTAGTGATGTTAGCAAGTTCTCCTTCATGTTAAGTTTAGTCAAATTCTTAGCCCTTGAGAATATACCATACGGAATCTTGTCAATTTGGTTATGTTCCAAATTGATAGAAAACACATTAGTGAACTGTGCTGGTCCTCCAGATGGGTAACTTTGAAATGAATTGCGAGAAATTGTGATGCTTGTTAACTCATTTAAACTGGCCAAAAGCCCATCTGGAAGCTGAGATATTGAATTCCCTTCAACGTTAAATTCATCCATGTGTTTACAGTTGCTCAGTGTAGATGGGATAGCAGTCAGCCTGTTGTATCTGAGACCAAGACGGTTAATAGCATGAAGATTACCAATAGTCTCTGGTATATCAAGAAGTTCATTGTGCTGCAGGTCTAATGTTGATAAATTAACACAATTACCTATTTCCTTTGGTAAGTGTTCTAGATGATTGTGGGAGACATCAAATGTCACTAGATTGACCAAATTACCAATTCCAGATGATAGCTCTTTTATTTTATTTTCCCTCAGGCTTAGCATTGTCAAGTTAGTAAGATTAGCTATTCCATCTCCTACCACTCTGATTCTATTGAATCTTAAGAACAGTGTTGTCAAAGATGTCAATTTGTACACCACATCTGGTATATCACTAAGTTTATTATGTCGTAGGTCTAATACTTTAAGACATCTCAGGTGGGCCAGGGAGTCTGGTAAGCTTGTTAGTGAATTCTCATTCAATGCTAAAGTTTGCAAATTTGCCAGACATCCAAATTCTGCAGGCAAAGCCACAAGCTTATTTCCATACAAATAAAATTCAACCAAGTGAGTTAAATCCCTGACATTTGGTGGAAGAGATGTAATAGAAGACTTGCTGAGATCCAATCGTTTAAGTCCTTCATCGCGACACCTGATGAACTCCTTTATTACATCTAGATCTGCTTGAATGGGTTTATTTTTCTTCGCAGTCGGTTTAGGTTTGTTTGACTCCGGATGTTTCACTGTCACGACTTTAGGTCGAGCACCCTCGGTGTTAGTCAGCGACGCAGTCGATAACTTCTTTTCCCTCATGCTGTGATATTTTTCTCTTGGACTTACGGTACCAATGGAATCTAATGCTTCAGAATTATCTCTCGAATTATCGAGATTCATTCCGTAATATTCAAGTCACGGACACACTACGTGACAAAATTAACCTCCTTGCCGATTATTTATTAAAACAAACTTGACATGGTTTTGTCATCTCATCGCATTAGAAACAAATCAATACCTATTTTAGAATGGTATAAAATGAACGACTTCCTGAATTCTTCTACACTTATGAAAAAGACTAAATATTTGTATACAGCGTTGATTACACACTCATCTATAAAATCTTGAATTAATATTTTTACCAAAATATGTAGTACACATACACCCAAAAGTAATGATTTTTACGAAAACAGATTCTGCATCTAACGAAAATGGAGCAGAATCCAATTCAGTTTTTTTTCAGAATTGATGCTCTTGACAGCATCGGCTAGCTCACTAACGGCTGAAACGATAAAAATTTATTCGACTAAAGATGGCTAAACAAAACGGTATAAAATTGATGGATGGAAGGAAAATTCTAAATAATTTTAATATTGTAAATGATAATTGAGTTATTTCTTTTTTGCACGTGTAAGGCTAAATCATTTTTAATTATCATCATCATCATCACCAATCTTCTAATAATTAATCTTCAAAATAAATCTTAAAAAAAATCAATCTTCTAGTAATACTCTACCCTTTTCCTAATTTTATTTGTAAAAATCAGATATCCAGTGCCAAAGCACCTTCTTCCTTCCTCTTCATAGTCTTCGTCTTCTTTTGTACCCTAGACCTTCCATATTTAACACTTTTCTTGCCATATTTTCTCCATCTTCCCTCAGAGTTCCTCGTATATATTCATTCCTGACCTCATCCATCCTAGTCACACCCATCTCAGCTACGTTCGTATTCGCATTTCAGCTACGTTCAGGCGTCTCTCATCCGTTTTCTTAATGGGTCAACTATCAGAATCATACAGGATGGCAGGTCTGATAAGAATCAAACAGGACGTCAGATCTGATGAGAGATTTATAAATTTGTTCTTTTAGTTTAAGGGGAAACTAGGGTCACGAATTAATCCCGTTACCTGCTGGAACTTCATCGATTCCGTACAAATCAATCTATCTCGCCATTACATTGCAAGAGGGACCCGAGGTATTTGTAAATTGGAGCAGACTGTTATCGCTATCGCATCCAACGAGGACAGTGCCTTGACCGAAACGGTTTGGTTCGGTGATCAATAGATTTAAGCAGCAGCGTTAGTTGGGGCGTTTGGGTAGAGCAAGTTGTGTGGTTTCCTAAAATCTAAATGGGAAACCTATTTCTAACGAACAATACCTCTCATACACAACACTATTAAAATTCAAAATGTGTTAAGTGCCCCAGCATACGTATTTCTAAGTGTTCTCCTTTGAAAGAACCTGAAATACGAATAGAATTGCCAACTGAGTTAAATTCTCAGAGTCTTTAAAGTTCAGGTTTAGACTTAACTAGTACCATCATTGAAAATTAAGCGTCTCCACCACGTTGATGGCTTTTATTGTTTTTTTTTCTGTTGTCTGTACGTCGTAATCTGTACGTCTACCTCCTTCAGGTGTTTTAGCTCTTGACTCAATGTCCCTTAAAATTTTCACCAGAATTAATTATTCCTTGTACATAAGATGTAGCAATTCATGAAAGCTCAATTTAAAAATAAAAGTAAAATCAATTCCAAGTTTTTGTATAATGTTAGAGATTGGTGCACGAACTTTGTGTATGTTGAACGTTTTTATAATATGAAATGGATGGATGGAGATGGCACATCTAGTAAATTAAATGAAAGTATTTTTACTCAACTAATAATATATCTATTAAAAAAAAGACTAAAGCACACTAGTTTTTGATAAATATTTACAGATAAAAATCTAAGAAAATCTGAACAAAAACAAAAGATTAGAACTTCGATTATTCGTAAAGCGGCAGCACTTAAAAGCGTCCTTCGACTCGAGCGAGAGGGGACAGTGGAACAATCTAGTTTAAAATGTCTTGTCTTTTATAAAAAAAAAAAAAAAAAAAAAAAAAAAAAAAAAAAAAAAAAAAAAAGTATTGTGTTAATAATTTGACATGTCAGATTCTGTGGTCAGATTGGCTGGCTTGACACATAGTATAGTATATAGTTATCTGTGGCTTGACAATAAGAAAGAAGTTAGAACGTTTGATTGACGGCTTAGGTTAAAAATTAGCCTAGATTGATATTATTTCATAAAAAAGCAAGCAAAACTATCAACAATGGATAAAAGCAAGGAAAAAGAAGAACAAAGTATCATGGATAAATCCATGAGATCTGTCTTTGGTAAGTTAGAAACTTTCTTCATAATTACCATGAAGGCCGGTAACAGTTAACTAATAAGTTGTAAATATTTTAGTTGGTAATATACCGTACGAAGCTACAGAAGAAAAACTAAAAGATATATTCAGTGAAGTGGGACCCGTCTTGTCTTTTAAGCTTGTTTTCGATCGAGAAACTGGCAAACCTAAGGGTTATGGATTTTGCGAATATAAAGATCAAGAAACAGCCCTTAGTGCTATGCGAAACCTTAACGGCTATGAAATTGGTGGACGATCACTTAGAGTCGATAATGCTTGTACAGAGAAGTCAAGAATGGAAATGCAGGCCTTGATGCAAGGACCACAGGTAAACATTCTTGTTTTTGTTTATTATTATTGTTTAGACCTTAGTAACTGATGCCTAGAATACATATAGTTACATATATACAAAAAACATGTATAACAATATATGTGTACCCATGGATGAAAAGCAGCTCTAATACTGCCTAAGTAGAATTCAGAGTAGCCTATTCCGAAATACTGCCCACTGTCAATTTCAACAATATAATTATATAAATTAATTATAAGACCATAATAAATTTGTGTTTAAAAGACTATCCTCTTCATAATAGAAACACATTTGCAATTCCATGAGATGAGTTTTCACTTTCAACCTTTTACAGTATGATTGTCCTGATAGTCTAGTAGTTTATGATCTAGACTTCTAAGCCAGTTGTTATTGTTGAGGGTTCAATTCCCACTGATTTGATAACTGATCTCAATACTTAAGTCCAATGCTCGACTAACACCTGCTATTACTACAGTGTTCTTAATCACACATCCCGAATACCCAGATGTATTTTGTGTGTTTCAATTCCAGATAGAGAATCCTTATGGAGAGCCTTGTGAGCCAGAGAAGGCTCCCGAGGCAATCAGCAAAGCTGTTGCAACTCTTCCACCGGAGCAGATGTTTGAGTTGATGAAACAAATGAAACTTTGTATACAGGTAAATGGTTGAGCCTTAAGCATATGACAACTGCACTTAAGCTATTTTATAAAATATCTTTATTATTTTAAATAACGTATTTATTACTTATTCATTTAATATATAAATATATTTAAAAAATTAATGCAATTGTAATGTATGCAAAAATTATTTTCTTTTGCAGAATAACCCAAATGAAGCTAGGAACATGCTTTTACAAAATCCACAACTGGCTTATGCATTACTGCAAGCCCAAGTCATAATGAGGATTGTGGATCCAGCCACAGCTGTGGTAAGTATCTATTTAGCATTAAGGACCTTTCTGACCAAAAACCGGTTTGCTAGTCATATGCAGATATGACTAGCAAACCGGAATTTGGTCATATTAGAAATCTACAGTAGGGTTCGCCATCGACTGATATGTTCATATTTGTCTTGATCCATCAAACCTGACTGTTCTTGTTTATCAGTAAAAAAGTACCTAGGTGAATTGCTTGACTAAAACCTGTGAAGAAGTTAAGACAATAATACATAATTACAAATAAAGAACACTAATTAGGAAGTCTAACACACATGCACAGTCAAACAAACACATATTGCTATGTTTAATTTACTTTATTTTCATTGTAAAGATAATAAAATATCTCATTCACTTATGAAGATATTTTTAAAGGAAGAGATATACCCTCTGTAAATATAAAAAAAAAACATTCTTGTATTTTGTATAAAAGTGAAAAGTAATGTAAAAATAGCTTCTTTAAACTACAGAAGTACAATATATATTTTGACCTGTCACACAGTACTCTAGTACAATGACAGTTAAAGTTATATTCGTCAAAGAAATGAAACAATCTCTCAAAACAGTCGAAATTCTACCATCAGTATATAAATAAAATAAGACATTCACTGCCTCTGTGTGCAGTGGTAACGTAAGTGACAGCTGTTCTGAGGTCTTGGGTTCCTGGGTCAGACCAAGTGTTTGTATGCTCTGTAAATATTTGTTTCGGAGTTTGGGTGTTTTTTATGTACAATATGTATTACAAAGAATAAAATTATTTTATTAGTCAATCTAGCTTTCATAGTTCCAGCTCTGCTTAGTTTAATACTAGATGGCGTTGTGTGTTATAAGTTCTCACTTGAAAATATTATCCAAAAAATATTATATATATATAAAATATTTTAGAATTATGGAAACATTTTCAAATTAGAATATAAACATTAAATTGTATAAAATTATCTTCATATTGTCTAAAAATATATAAATCTCATGTATAACTAACACTATAATCTTCCACAGACTATGTTGCATCCAAGCAACCCAGTGCCACCAGTGATGCAACCCGGAGACAAAATTCCACCACAAAACCCATACATTCAGAACAATGCCCCACCACGTAAGATATTTTCTCACTATCACTGTATAAAATAATAGCTATAATAAACTGTTAGTCTGTAGATTGTATAATAATACTTAGCTTAGCCTTAAATAACATTACTTATTGAGAATGCTTTTAAGACATTCTAATTCAATTATTTCTCATTCTCCGTAAGCAAAATAAGTACATTTTTTTCATAAAGGTATTAAAAAGCTTTTACTTCACAATATCATAGTTACACTCACAATATTTTTTGCTTACATGATTATATTAGTTAAAAATTGTTAGAAAAAGACATCCTTCATTAGAGAAAGACTTTTTTTTTATATTTAATTTCAAATATTAAGTATAGAAATAAGAGATTTGATTGTATTTACTGTAAGCTTGTATTTTATGAATAATAGAAACATAACAGTAATACCACGTAGGAAATAAGGAGTTTCGGGATATAAATGCTTTATTATTATTCAAAATGACATTTCAGCTCCACAGCAAACAATGCCGCCAGCACTGCTAAGTACCCCTGTGCCGCCGCCTGCTCAGTACGCACGTAAGTGACAAATATCTTTTATACTTTTATATACTGATTACAGCGGCGTGCACAGGATTATGACACTAGGTATGCGGAGTAGTCGGTCACAAAAACTTTTTCTTTTATAAATTTTTAGCATAGCCACAGCCACGCGACTGATCTCTAAGTCGGAAACCATGCCAACAGAACAAGTCTTAGATGTACTACTATTCATGTACATCTTCAACGGGAACGCAGACAAAACAGCGATAGATCGTCGCAGCGGAAGAAATTCTAATAAGTAAAATAATAAGTTAAAATATTATAACTACTCACCTGATCATCTTCTATTTTCTGATTTTTACATATTCAAGGTTCCGGTTACACACATTTTCCACACGTACCTCACAATCAAATAACATTTTTTTTAAATCAACGGAACTCAGTAATTAACTGTTAAATGTACACACTTTCAAATGTTAAAATGAAAAATAAAACTATAATTATAATGGCGCAAACAAATTAGTAAACAATGAAAAAAAAAAAAAATGGCCGCGAAACACACGAAACATATCTGCTATTTAAACGAACACTTCCGATTACTCCCGAACTAACTTCGGTAGCCTGCGGCTGGAGGCGGGGTAATAAAATAAATGGGTGTGTGCGTTTGCGAACTGTGCACGGACACCAAAATTACTACACACATGCGAACAAATGTCCTGCGGGACGCGACGGCATGAGTTGGTTGGTTAATTGCAGCGCCGCTTGCTTTTCGGTAAACGCCTGGCAAACATAATGTTTGTGTGGTGCTATTTTTAAATAGTATGCGTTTTTAAGTTATTATATTTTGTTTTTTCATTTATTTACTATTAATTAAAGTCATCTAAAACGTACGAACGTTTTATTAAAATGTCTGTGAATAGCAAGTAAAGCACTGCATTTCTGCCTACAAGGAGCGCACGCCCCTGACTGATTACATATAAAAATAAATTTAGGTATTCAATGTACTTATCTATAAAGGTGTTTTTCATGTCTTAAAATGCCGATCATTCGTTTTAAATGTGTCATAATCAGTGTACTCTAGAAACCACCCGAGAATATAATACATTTGTGAGGAGGCAGCAACAAGGGGCTTATTAACTGGCTGCTAAATAATGTTCTAGCGCGGCCAGCGATGGTGGACGTGGACTTGCGCGGAGCACGCGCATCGGGCGGCCCGCCGCCGCTGTTGGACCAGGACATGCGCAGCCTGCCGCCCGTACCTCCGCACCCGGTGCCGCCGCCGCAGCATCACGCCTCAGACAGGTCTGTTATATCAAATCTATACTATCTTACTTAATTGTTCATGCCTAGAAACTTTAAAGGAACTCGACTGAGAAATTAACGATGCACGACAGAGACGAATTGGATATGTAGGAAAAGTTACAGGAAATTCCCTTAAAACTGTAATTCTACTAGGAAATGAAATGCAGTCGATTAAAAAATTTGCTCAATCGATAGTATAGATTGATGTCGATTAAAAAACTCATCCCTATACAAAAATATATGTACAGTCTTTATGATTTACATTTGCTCAATAATACTTATTTCAATAAAAAAATTACCTACTGAAATTAATGTAGTAGTATTAATGTCATAAAGCTGATTGCCAATATAAAATAAACTTAGTTAATTATAAATATATTTATAGCCATTAGTCATTATTTTATTGTAATGTCAATTTACAATTTTTCTTCAAGTACTGCTCCTCCCACGGAGACCATACCTACACCAGAAGTGTAAGTTCTCTTCAGACAATCTAGTCATTTCACTTTCCACTATGTTTTATCCTTGCTTGCATTTTTTTAATTTACGCTCTTTTAAAAAAAATCAATTATTTATATTATTAGTCATTATTTGGTCCTTTTTTAACATAGTACCTGTATCACCTGTGTGAAAATGAAATCTAGCTAGATCGATTAATTGCCCCGAGACCCCCTTCATCCGAGATTCAGATTATATATTTATATACAAGAAGTACTTAGATTTAGAATAATATACCTTCTGAAGACTAAAGATAACCAAAGATACTAATACACTTAAAACATTCAAACAATACTGAATAATAGTCTCTGAGTTAAATGAACTCTCTCTCTTGATATTTCGTAACAATATATTTTACTTTTGTCTCCTTTGCATACATCTATTTCAGCTAATCATATATTTGAGTGATTAATCAGTTCATTGAAGTAAAAAGCTGTTAAATAATTTTATAAATCTTAAGTACTACAACATTAGAAGTTCAAAAGACGTTTCCAATACGGTTCGACAGGCCTTTGAACTATTAATTCCCTTAACAAACATTGCAAACATAAAAAAATAGAAAGCATCAACCAAGTCAATCAAGCGATACGGTCGCCTGCTGCAGAAGCACGTGACACGACCAGACGCGCGCCGGTCCATGTACGCGGACCCTTATTCGTTACATTACTTCTTTTTATTTATATATAGAAAAATATATTATCTTTACACAAAATAAAATGAAGTCGCTACATCCGTTCCGGGCGTCAGTGGCCGGCAGGAGCAAAGCGTTCCTATAATTTGCATCTAAAGATATCTTGTAGTATAGTATAACATAATATTAGTATAAATAATTAATCGAAGTTATATCCGTGATGATAAGTTATTTAGAGATATCATCAACACAGTGTTTTTACTAAAAGCAGGTAACATATACTAAGGCATGTCCATTCCCCTCGTAGCATCGCCTTAGAGCTGTCTATATATACAAATTGAATATCTTGCTACAATGATATCACCAAATTATATCACCAAAAAGCTTTCCTTTACCTTATCACCTTCTTTTTTAAATATCAACTTTTATCGTTTTATTTCATATGTTTGCAATTGCCTTTATTTCATTTGGTTAAATTTTACAGTATATTAAAACAAAATAAAACAATTTATTTATTATATTATATGATATCTAGCAGTTAATATAATGAAGATGATATTATGTTAATCTATTTTTATAAATAACAGTGGCTTCCCTCGTGACCCTCGGCTAGCGGGTATGCAGCCTCAGACGTTTAACTCAGACCCTCGCGTCAGACCAAGCGATCCTCGCGGTCAACCCAAACCACCACAGCGTAAGTTTTTTTTCTTTTTTTAAATATATCGCAAATAGGTACTGTTCTACTTCTGGACCAGTTTTGTAATTATTAAAATCTTTTTCCTTAGTATAAATTATTGTTATAGTACGCGGCTCTTCCTTTTTGTTCTTTACATTTGCCAGAATTTAAGACGTTCCTTCCTTAATGACAACTAAGCTACTTGTTGTAACTACTAGAAATTGGGGCCATCCAAACAACACAATCGGTACACAGTCCATAGAAATCAGTAACGTAAGACTATAAACAACTACCCTACATAAGCTACTCACTAACACTACTGTTTGGTAATTAATTATGTTAGGTAAATTATAGATATTAACAACTTCGTACGACTGACTCATGTGCTCATACATAAGTTAGTAATATAGGTCGTCGTACGTCTATTATAATACAAAACGTTGACATAATATGATATTCGTTGTAATTTTATTAGCAGTATTTTAAGTTGGTCCCATATCTAAAAGTAATTCCCACTTAGCACTGGTCAGACTGCATTGAAAAAACTGGAGCTATATTTAACGTTTTGTTTTCAGAACAAATGCCGCCCGGCATGCCAAGCGCAGCTCAGGCTAGAACCATTCAGGGTATTCCTTCTGGTGCTTCGGATCAAGAGAAGGCAAGTATTTTTTTAAATATTATGAATCACAAATGCACAGTTCGACTGTGGCCACTAGAAACTGACTCTTCAATTGTATAATAATATTCAGCACATATTCATTACTTAAAATCCCTTTCAATCATCATCACCTTCGAGCGTCCTTTCAGAAATTCATTTGGCATCGGCGCAGTGACGTTTCCTCTTTCATTCTTCTCTATCATTTATACTGGTGACTGATAGGAAAGACTGGAAGAGGAAACGTACGGACTCTCACTGTTTACCTTATTTCTAGCCATATCTTTTACGCAGTCCATCTATGGTGATCTTCTACTCTTGTATTCAACAACTTCCTTACATAAAACTCTTCATCACATTTTCTTCATTTATCGTTTTCTTACTTATGTTTCACAGGCCGCACTGATAATGCAAGTGCTGCAGCTATCTGATGAACAGATCGCGTTACTGCCACCGGAACAGCGAGCCAGCATTCTGATGCTCAAGGAACAAATCGCGAAGAGCACTCAACAACGTTAAAATAAAGTTTTGAGAAATAAACCAGTGGTTTAATTTTTTTGAAACGTGTTATACTTACTAGAAACTTATTAAAAAAACATATTATACAAAGTAGATTCGAACAATTTCACAAAATTTCCTAATTAATATACTGTAGGTCAATTCTTGACGATTTGCAAAATATGAACGATTTAGTAGTTTAAGAACAGGAACGTCACTTTACATTTTTGCCTGGCAAAAAAAAAATCAATCACATTACTTATCTACAAACTTATTATTATATGTTCATTTATGGTACTCTTTACTGAAATGAAAGCAAAAAAATAAAGAAAAGGAGACGTCGAGGAAAACGTCGACTGTGTAATCAGATCATTATATTGCGTAATATAGCTTGAATTCATGTTATATCTTTATTGTTGTAAGATAATGTGATTGAATAAATATTTCGTTAACCCTTTGACCGCCAAAGCGTAAATGCATATACGTGTCCCTCTTGCCAAGCCATAAATTCATCTGAAATACCTACAAATATCAAAAGGGATTCCTAGATCCTATCGATTACCACATTGCGAAAGTTACCGCATTCGATTGAAAAACGTAACAGCGCACAGTGTGTGCAGTTATTTGTTGGGCCTAGTCGTAATAAAGAATGCCAGAAATATCGATACTATATGTGTGTATATAAAGTTTATAAGTATTCTGTCAATCTGGCTTTCATAGTACAAGGTCTGCTTCGTTTGAAACTAGAAGGCGTTGTGTGCCTGATGTCCGAAAATATTATTATACGTTAACTTTCTCTAAAAGGTTACTTCAACTGACTTTAAGAAAATCGTAATTTAAAGATGACTGAAATAAGAATTTCAATGTAAGTCGTCTTCATCAGATAAAGTTCAAATTTAATCTGACGACAAAAAAAGGTTTCATAGTTTTCAGTCAAACTTAATGGTAACTGACCGTGGTTAACAGTGTCCGTAGAAGGTTACAAAAGTGCATAGTTTTGCGATTTAATGTTTGCATAAATGCAAAAATCTTTACGATACTCCCATAGTTTATGTCATAAAGGTAGTACCGTAGGCATAGCAGCGATGCACTTGCAAAGAAATAGACAGATAATTAAACAAGCAATTTATAAAATTATAGCAACCAAATAAACTAAAAAAGTCTTTTTTTAAATGAATACGTTTATGCATGTTCTCCGGCTTTTTCATTTCTTCTTGTGTATATTTATATATTTTTTATACAGCTACAAAAAGTAAATCCCACATCTTTTGAAGAATAATAAGTTTTTGAGATGGGTAATGCCAGGTAATGCTGCCTTCCATAATTTGCAATGAAAAGCTTAGGTGAATACCTACAAATATCTCACCATTAAGCATTCTAAATTGAAAAAGTATATAAGATAAAAAGTGCTTTGTGATTTCCATGAACTTTTCTCGATTTTTTTAAATGACCTACTCGAAACGTTTCTGAATTTTAAATGAAATAGATATTATATTGATAACATTGAATTAAAAGATATAAGTACCTAATTTTTATATAAATATATCCCTTCTGTACGTGTATATAACACTAAACTTATCCTGCCTGGACACCACTGCGCTGGACTGATTTTGATGAAATTTTTGATGTCATCATCATCATCATCATCATCAACAGCCTTTAATAGTCCACTGCTGGACATAGGCCTCCCCTTAGAAAGGAGGTTTTGGCCTACTATTTTTGATGTAACACATTTATTTACCTACAGTCATTACAGCAGACCATTGAAAAGATTTATCGTGTTAAACTCTTAATAATAATTAATTTTTAATTGCATTTATATTAGTTAAAGACATTGTAAACTTCTATTTTTATCTATATTTATCAAATTTATGGTTGAAATAAGTCACCTTATCACGTACGTGATGCGATTGTAATATTTATTTATTAATGAATTGATTTGGACGGAACTAACAATTATATTATTGAGTAAGTATCGTGTGTTCGTAGTGTTTACACTGGGTACGTACATATCTTTCCATTAGGTAAGTATGTGTTTTTGTTTTATATAATGTGTTTATTGTTAACTTTATATGTGGGAAACTTATTAAAAAGAATAGAAAGTAATTTCAATGTTTTTGAGCAAAATAAGAAAACAATTCACATCTTACCTATAAGGTACTCGTAAATTTTGAAGAGAGTACATTCAGTATTGAATGTATTCATGCCGTTCTACTCACTTTGAGACTAAATGTAGTTCTTTATAATACTCGTAAAACTTAAAAGATACCTACCGATTTCTAGAGGCATGGAGCAGATAGTAGGTAGGCTAACTGTATCAATTTCTTCTAGATTTGTGGTAAATAAAGGTGATCAAATTATTATATAGTGAAGAGACTATACTTTTATTTTTTTCATATGGCTTAAGCATTGTGTAGCAAACATAATATCTTGCATTGCATTTGCAATCATATATCTGTTAGAATATTAAGTCTGATATTCATTTTTTTTAACTCGATCCAACTTGGAAAACTATATCCATAGATTGATCGAAAACAATAACTATATTTTTGCAAACACCTAACGCAAGGTTGGTAATTTAATAAATTACCAACCTGCTGCCTTAAAATAAAATCAGAGTAAGGTTTAAAATCTTTATTTAACTATTTACGTTGAATTATAATCTCTACTAATTACGTTACGGTACTTAAGTGTTCTTCTTAATTTAATGTAATTTTCCCACCAACATCCGAGATAGTAATAATTTCACTCTTCTCAGCTGTCATTGACTCCTACTCCTAAACTAGTTACACTATTAAACGTGCGTGTGCGTAAGTTTATTACCTAATCAATCAGGACATGGGAAAAATATCAATGTGGGAAAAAATCACAGTGAACTGTGAATGACCGGTGATTTATAGGTATAGGGTTACTCACGCGCTATTTTTAGACAATGCATAAAGACCCTATTTGGCCTATTAACCAGTAAATCTAGTAATTATTTTATTATATATAGCTCCCATTCCCTACATAATAATTTAAAAAATACTAGATTTACTGTCAAATGGCGTCTCATGGCGTACCTAGGTTAGGGTGGCAAGGTAGGTATACCTTGCCACCCTAACCTACGTACGGACAAATCAATAGATAAATCACAGTTCACTGACTTCACTGTGATTTGGTCCTATCTATAATTAATTTATTTGTTTAAAACTTAATGCACATGCTGTACAAAGGCGGACTTAATGCCATGGGACATTCTCTCCCAGTCAACATTTAGGTGATGTAGAAATATTATGCGGTAGGTGCAAAATAAAATATTAAATTTCACATAGTAGAATTCTAGAAGTATACATACACAATATGTATATACACATACATACATAAATAATTAATGATTTAATATAATAATAATTTAATAGAAATACATTATTCAGTCAGTAAATCTGCAAAATCATTCAGTGATTCATTCATTCAGTCGGTGGCCGGCAGCCGCAAGAGACAAACGTGTTTATGAGTTTGTATGTGTTTTTCTTTTATGTATTGCGCATAATGATATTCTGTCTAGTTAAAAATAAACACGCGTTCCCCCGTGACTGTGATTTGGCACTGATTTGAAATAAATAATTAGCATATACTATCTAAATATAATCTGTTTCGGGCCAACTGTTAAAGGTGTAATAAATAAAGTAACATTAACTTTGTAAACAACATTATATTTATGTTTTAGCCTTACAAAATGAAGTGGCAAATTATTTTCTTTGCGTTTTTGAGTATTTTGAACTCTTACGCTGAATGCAAGTGGAAGTCCTATGACAAGCGAGGTGCAAACTGGCGGGAAACCGCTAATGAAGTGACCCATAGACCACAAGAGATTCCAGACCCACCTGACCACAAAAAGCTGATTCCGATGGCCAGATATGTGTTACACAATGCAGGTAACTTGCAAATTCTTAAAATAACTTAACAATCATTCAACAAATTCAATTCATAACAAAATCAGGTCGAGTTTGAACCATAGTATAAAGGTACGATAGTCCAAACTCGACCTGCTATTGTTACGAAAAGTGCAATAATAACAATAAAATTTAAACGTACTATTTTGGAATAACAGTGTGTGCATTAGATAATGTTAACGAACCAGGTGAATTAATAAAGGTAATAGTTTTATTAAGAAATATTGCAACAGAGTGTGATTAATTAGCTTACGTTACGTGCTAAGAACTACATTTTCATTGTAAATATTAAAAATTAGAATATATTAACTGCCCTTAATTTTATTACTTTCCAAGTATAGAAAACTTAAACTAATTAGTTATTATTACTTACAAGTATTTGTCGAGAGGCTAACGGAGAAAACTAAATCATTTATAAAACGAATTCTTATTATTTATCGAATTGAAAGCGTAACAGCAGACCAACACATTTGCAACTATAACATATCATAATTAATTAGAGAACGAAACTATATACGATATATATATGGTATATTGTAACGATATATCGATAACGGTACCTATACGATATATCCATCGACAACTATATTTAAATCACCTCGATATTCCCTGTAAAAAATAATAAGTAAAATGCCATTTCTAAGTATTTATCTGTTTGGTTATTTAATGTTAATACAGTAGGTACTAACTACCATATAGGTTTTCGATCAAAAACCTATAAATAAATTTAAAATAATAGGTTAATTTCGGTACTTAAAAGTTTTCGCGAAAATCGAAACTTGCCCATATCTGTTTAGCGTGTTGACTCAGGACCTTGATTTTTATACACCTAATAGGGACCATAGACCTCAGTAGCTGGTATAAATTTCAACTTGCTGGGTCTACCCGTTGCTGAGAAAATCGGTGGTGACACACGGACAGACGTACAGACAGACAGACGAGAAAGAGATCTTATAAGGGTTCCTTTTTTACCTTTTGAGGTACGGAACCCTAAAAAAGGTGCATTTCGATTCTTAACGCCACAATATACATATAAGAACCGAAATGCACAATCAGCGGAGAAGCGTGGACCAACATAGGCGTGGACGAAGTCACATCATTTTCTTGCACGGCTCATCAAACATGCTTGACACGGCTCATGATAGTAAAAATAAAACGCGATGGCAGAATATTAGAAAGCATATAGCTATACAAGCCGCTCGCTCATTGGCGTAGAGTAAATAGAGGTCGAGGTCGTCCTTACTCTGGACTGTCGCTAGAGCTTCGAGGAGCATCTTGAGCTGATAATACCCCTCGGTAATAGTTCTCGGGGTGGCGGGCTCGCTACAGAGGCTGCTGTCTAATCTAGGGGATCCGCGTGAGGAATATATGATTACGATCCATGGCCTTCTACGGATAGGCTATATGGGCTAAGCGCCTATCGGCTTTCGCCCGCTGCCAAACTCAGCTCCAAAACCACAAGTTCTCAGATACCTACTGGTCACTGTGATTTAAGTCGGTTCTAGTCCAACATGTCACGGCAAAGTGGCTACTCACGGAATGCTTCTCGACAAAAAATTACGGTTTTTTATTTTGTGGAATTCTTCCAGCCAAGATTAAAGCAAAATATAAACTTCACGCCGTTCATGAATTAATTCAATTGTATTTTAAATATTCGCTTTGGACGCATGATTTCCATATTTGAAAATGCAATTAATCCCATTGAAGTTTCTGATGAGATGAATAAGGTGACAGATAGATAAGATTTTTTACAGCGTCAGGCAAGATTTGCGTATGAGGGTCACCTGACGTCAGGTTTGGGTTTAACACATTAGGTTACAAGTCGGATTTTGTGTTTTTTTAAAGAAAAGCATATCACTTCGTAAAATTCTTTACTAATTATTTGAAGTCGTCTATTGTCTTTTGTACGTTATATTGAATGAATAATACATTATACATAATTAAAACCCACACGATTTTTTTTTTACAGACTGGGCCTCGGTAGCGACAATATCAGTTTTACCAGCCATAGAGGGTTTCCCATTTTCGAACGTTAAGTCTGTCGTGGACGGGTCTCTTGCCAACTCCACAGGTGTACCTTATTTCTATATGTCTCCTATGGATTTTACTGCCAAAGATTTGTCGGTAAGTGTAGTATTTTGTATCAAATAAAAAATTAGGTACTTATATAATAATGTCGAATGTCTCTGCGTACCCCAGTTGACAAAAGTTTAGGTACCTATCTATTTATATCGACCGATATTTACATATGTTAATTTTTTACATAACAAATGGAAAACAGTACCAACATAAATAATATATTATTATGTTCCAAAATACTTTCCTTGATGTAAACATTAAATGTAAATGTTTTATTACCCTGATATATCATGAATGGCTGACTATCTATCTTTTATAAACATAAACCTAGTAAATAACTAATTACCTATACCTAACCGCTTATCACAAAGATTTAAAAATTATAATAATAAACAAGTAGGAACGTGTTTATATGTGTGGAATTTCCTGATGCAATCTTACAGGTATGAGTCATTACTTAGGGGCTCTGTCTTTCCCTAATAAATAACTTGTTTAATGTATTTCTTCAACAATGTACTATGCTCGTCATCAACAGAAAAACAACCGTGCCACCGTGCTGGTATCGCTTGAAGAAACGAGGTATTGTGAGAACCAAAAAATTGACCCTGAAGACCCTCGATGCACGCGCTTGATGTTGTCCGGAAAAATGAAAAAGGTATCTTTTTTATATCAATATCGCTCAAGTACTTCATTGGTTACAGTACTTATAAATAAAGCGGAAATACTTATCGAATAGTAATTCTCTCTCTAGGGTGCTATTTGATACATTCTGCTCGTTTGCAAAATGTCATTGTTATTTTTTTTTTACATGAGTCTGTTTTAAAACCTCATTGGCCGTGAACCGCGAAACCATCATATCAGCCGTGGGAGAGCCATTCTTAGGCTTTTAATAACGATATCTTATAATTTACACGTTGTAATATTGAAGACACGCCTTAAGTAACATAAACATACTTCTAAATTTTTGTTTATTATAACTCTAAATGTAAAGTTCTGTAACACGTCTCAAGTAAGTAAAGATAATAAGTGTATCAATATTAAAATAAACATCAAACTGTTTATATTAAGAGATAATAACTGGTGTAAGTCAAATATGTCTAACATTGGCAGAGGTCGGGATATTTCTTATACTCTTTTAAGGTTTTTAGAAGAAAACTTTATTTTCTTTCAAAAAAATATATAAAGTTATTATCAAGATTGGTTAATCTTGTAGTGTCATTAGAACTATGTTATAAGTGTCAACATGTTTTAATTAAGTTCCCAAACGAAAAGTGTGGATGATTTGAAAGTCGTATCGGTCCGGAAATACCGCAGACGATAACTTGTTCCACAGATTGGTTGTGCGAGACAAAAGTGTCTAAAAGTGATGGGGATGTCAATTTTTCCGTGGGGAACGATGGCGGAAAGTTGCGCCCGGTACTAGTCCGAACAACTTCTCAGAGCAATCTCCATGAAAAATACGATTGACTCTATCGTCTAGAGAATGCAGAGTGAAGCTACATCTCGACGTAATATACTCGTATATTGAATATTGGTTCTCTACGGCCGCAACCGCCGCGCTGTTGCCCGCACCATTCTGGGCTATCACAATTTGTTTTTCTTGTGGCCTTCTTTGCTGTTTACCAATTTTTCTCGACACGTTTAAAAATACGATATCAATAATGACATTTAATATATTATGTGTTTATGTGGCGAAGCGCACCACAGGTTTGATAATTCGGCCGAAGCTTGACACTCGGCTCATTGTTTACATTAGAACTTGCCATGTTTGATATCTTCGAGCATGTCTCGCTGTTGTTAAGTGGCTTCAATCGATCTGTACTAACTATTTTCTCCGTATCCTGTTGCATAATTTTATAAAAAAAAAAACCGTTTTGCTGATAATTTTGTACGGCCCCGTGTAGGATTGGGTTTAAATTTTTGTGACCTTATCAACACGAACAAATACATGAGTGGAGTCTTTAAGATCGGGATGGACGAATATTTTTCCTTGATAGTTCGTCTTTTTGGACACTGCTACTTAATTTGATATTTTATTACGCAATTCTTGCAAAAACAGATTGTTGTCAGAGGTCTCTCGCTTTATAGGCTCGAAGAAATCCCCAGGCAACCTTAAAGGTTCTCCAAACATAGACGACACACAATCTGTGTGTCGTCTATCATACTAGCTCTTAATCCCAGAAGAACAGATGGTAATTCTGATACCCAATGTTCCGTGTTGCCTTTTCACATGAGTGCGGTTTTAAGGGAGCGATGCCATCTTTCAACATGGCCATTTGACAAGCTGTGGTTCTAATCTTAGTAATACCCATTCTTTTCGTTAGTTGAAAAAAACAAATTAGACAAAAGTTAGATCCTTGATCGGTTGTCAGGTATAAAGGGGTTCCAAATCTAGCAATCCATCCAGGGTAAATAATATCCGCTATAGTTTGGGAGGTTATATCCTTTACAGGAATGGCTTCAGGCCACCCGGTGCTCCTATCTACCATAGTTACAAAGTACCTATAACCGTTGCTATAAGTTAAAGGGCCGACAATATATATATGAAAGTGTTCAAATCAATCGCTATGTACAAAATGTCCATGAGGTGACACAGTATGCCTATGTATTTTAGATTTTTGGCAACTTATACACGCTTTAGTCCACTGTGTAATGTCTTTGCTCATTCCGTTCCACATATAACGATCTTGCATCATTCTTCTAGTTGCACGCGTCCCAGTGTGGCTAATGTCATGGACCGCGTTGATAGCTGATACACGAAATTCCTTAGGCAAATATGGTCGTGTCCTTTTAGTCGATACCTTGCAATATATAGGTAACTCGCAATAAGCATTAATAACTTTTTAAATTGTAATGTGTTCGATTCCAAAAGATCCTTTAACTTTGTATCTTTACTCTGTATTTCGGCTAAATTTTTGTAGTCTATAGGTGATGCGTCTATCGTTGCTATCCATGAAAAATAGTCCGCAACTACATTTTCTTCCCCAGAAACATATTTAATATCAGTACAAAACTGCATAATAAAATCTAGGTGTCGTATTCTCCTTGGTGTATCGTTTTTACCGATGGTATTCTTCTGAAGCGAGTACACGAGCGGTTTATGATTGGTGTACACGGTACACGATCGTCCTTCAACGAGAGGTCTGAAATGCTCGATGGCTAGATAGATTGCCAAATTTCTCTGTCATAAACTTGGTTGAGAGGTTGAGTCTTGGTTGAGAAAAATCCCAGGGGTTTCCAAACCTCCCCCTCTTTTTGTTGCAGTACGGCCCCGGCTCAGGTATTAGAACAGTCAGTCATGAGGGCTATCGGTGCATCTGCTGACGTCAATAACAATGTAATTGCGCTTTTCAGGCTATGTTAACATTGTTCAAATGGAATCAGACTTATCTTTTTTCTTCGCGTTGTGTAATAAAACATTAATTTTTGCTTGAATACTGGCTGCTTTCGGTATATGACGCCTGTAAAAGTTTATCATCCCGAGAAATCAACGCAACTCATTTATTGTATTAGGCATCGGAAATTCGGGTATGCTTTTGACCTGTTCGTCTAACGGCCTAAGACCTTTCGATACACGAAATCCCAGAAAATTTAGCTACGTTTTTCCAAACACACTTGGCCATGTTTATTATAATATCATATCCATCTAGTCGTTTCAATACTTCAATAATTCAATACATGCTCTCTATGTTTACTTTTTGATGATGATGCAATAATGACGTCATCGATATATTTGAATATGTAGTTTAAACCTCGCACTACTTCGTCGTTAAAACGTTGGAATGTGGCTGCAGTATTCTTAAATCCAAAACCTAATCTCAAAAACTCAAATAAACCAAAATCGCAAGCTATAGCAGTCTTTGGGGTTTTTTTTTAAATAGGTATATTGTGGTATGCTCTCTGCATATCTTTTCGGGAGAATATGCTCTTCCCGCGTAACGAGTAGGTACAGTCTTGAATACGCAATATTGGGTAACGATCGGGTTTCGTAATCTGCCTATAATCGCCGCACGGTCGAATTTCAACGACATGCAGAGGACCCGGTCATTTGCTTTTGGATGGCCTAAATATTCCCATTTCCAGCATGCGTTATCTTTGACTTTGTTGTATTTATCAGGTGGTAATGATCGTGGACAAGTATGCACAGCTGGTTCCTAAAGCTCGATGTAGTGTACCTTAAAATGACATGGAGTAGTTTTAAAATTCATTGGTTTTGAATTGATTTTGATTCATTGGTTGAAATTTTGCCAAAATATCACTATAATTACTTTTGTAGTCGATTGTCCTTATTGTAGGCTCTTCTTGCATAACCACAGACGTAATAGTTGGTAGACTAGTCAGTGAATTTATGAGTTTTCTGTTTTTAACGCCACTAATAACGTGTAATGAGACAAAAAGTCAGCTCCGAGTATAGGTTGCGTGACCTCTACCCCCATTTAGTTTAGTTTGCCGTTTGAGTACACCCTATTTAGTTTGCCGGATTTGTTTGTATATTCCAGGCGCACTTGTCTATACATTTCCTCGTTCTATGCTAAAATCTATGATGATAAGAGCAAAGCAAATTAGGGCTGCTTAGTGAACGCCGTGTCATATTACGTCCTCACGATGCGCGACTGTACTTCTGCTACTTGCAATGGTTGCGTGGCAATAGCAATAGGCGACAAATGCTCTAAATTCTTTACTTCAGTGACCGCCAACACTCCTCGCACCGTAGAAGGTAGGTGACCCTGCTATATAATGCGTTGAGTGTCATCGGGTATTTTATCGCGAACCAAGTCCCTCATTCGACGCAGGAGTTAAGATGGCTTCTGGTCCCCTAGTTAAATTTCCTCTAATAGCTTTAGAAATTGTCAAGCGTATCAAACTTCTTTACTTCGGGCGGCTTGAGAAGAATGTCACTGACTTGTTGCACTACGTCTTTTCCTAATTTCTTCACAACTAAGTTATATCTGAGCTCATCGCTGAGCTTTTGTGGTCCCAGTATGGCTTCAAACTGCACATACCAAAGGCGTGGTTGGTCACACCAAAACTCAGGAATTCTAGAAGGCACTGTAAATACCGGTACCTCTTCTTCGCCCGACGCCAATATTGATGATGGTTGCTGAACTGTTGTTATATTGCGAAAAAAAAAAAAAAACTTTAAATCGAAGGTGTAGCTGTACTAGATATCGTGGCCACTGTGCTGCTTTATATGTATAGTCTGTATTTGGTGACGAGTATTGTAATAAAACTGCCAATATAAGATGACACGTATGTTTTACATAATATTCAATACAATAATGAAGTGCCGTAGGCACAGTTCCCAAAAGGATAGACGATAGACCGATTAGTCTTCATTTTATTCGTTTGAAGGAATACCTAATGACGTGTTTTTTTAATCCCATCGAAGATCATACGTCTAAGAGATTTAATACATATATATTGTTTCTATATTTTATCGTATTATTTACATTTTACATTTCAAAATTTACTTAGTTTTTAGGTTAGGTTTATTTCTCCCAACCATATTATACAGTCAACCGTTCGGCAAGCCTCTCGGTAAACCATAAATTCTTTTGCATGTTTACATAAATTTGCTATACAAAAACCAAAAACTGACATCCATCATCAACAGCTTTTAATAGTCCACTGTTGGACATAGACCTCTCCTTAGAAAGGAGGTTTTGGCCTACTATACCACACTGGCCAGACGGCTTGGTGTACGTGTGTGTGATGGCTTTGCAGTGCTGTTGTCCTGCGTAGTTTGCTCCCTTAGTCGGCCCTTACGACACCCACGGGATGAATTGGTGTGGTGAAACTCCGTATTCTTAATCCACACAGACTGAAGGACAGATACTGACATTACTACACTACTAATTGAGAATGTTAAGAGGTCGATAAAGTCAAAACAATAAGAGCATGTATCGTAGTTCATGACTCAGACGTACTTGCTCACCGTTTAACGATCTCTGTATATAATACAATGATCTGTTTTATGCCAGATGAAGAATGGCACGCCGGAGTACACGTTTGCAAAGGCCGCCTTGTTCGAGAGACATCCGGCTATGGCTGACTTCCCTCCGGGTATGTATTGATTGTCAATAACTCTATATGCATGTACTTATATAGGATTTATGTTGACTTCTATGTATGGAACGTGTTTTATATTTTGCAATTTAAATTTCACCTATTCTCTGACTTTTATGAATACGTAAGCGAGCGGTTTGAATATTACCTACCTATGTTTTCGGGGCGGCTGTGCTTCTAAAGTCGGTTAGCGCAAATGCTAAATAAAATTGTAATTGGTTGAATTTTGTACATTAATGAAAAGACAATTATCTTTTGGGTTGGCTAATACGTATCAGAGTTGATGTATACTTCGTCAGCGCCGTAACTAGAGGCACCCCTTTAATTTCTGCTCCTCCCAGGGTCTGGGTCTGTGTTTTATTGTATACCTACTTACGTACCGACATTTGTGTAAAGATGATTCTATCTAGGTTTGAAATGTTAGAGTGAAAAGTTGGTTACCTAAATACATTTTAAAATATTAGAACAATATATGTAACTAGCTTCTGATTGTGGCTTCCCTAGCGTAAAACTAATTTTTAACTAGCGATATCTTTTTCTAGATGAAAGGTACTCTTTGTCCTTTGTTAGTAATAATGGACGCTAAAAAGAATTTAATACATATTTATTAGTAATTTATTCATAAGTAGCAAAGCATTCATGAAGGTCAGACTTTGCGCCATTAGAATAATTTTGTAATGTATGTAACCACAACATTTTGTAAGGTACTACTGTGTAGTATTTTTTTATATTATTATTATTGCAGGAACCCGCTATCGCTGGGTGTTACTGCCTTCTAGCACCTCCAATATCAATTTGGAGCCTTTTTTCTGACTAAATATCGTTCTTACATTCCTTATTGTTATTGTTTCTTTTAGTCTTCCTTTTATCCTGTATGGGTAGGATTCCTTCTATTCTATTACTTATTTTTCTTGGGATTTTTTATTTTCATACAATTTGATACATATTTACTATGCTTAATTAAATATTTCTTACGACTAGGTAACAGATTTAAACTACTTCTAAATATTTACTACACTGAACAATCACTATACTAAATATCTACACACTATCACTATACTTTAGTTCTATCTTTTGAATATGATAGCAACAATAATACTACATTATTTTGTATCATAATCTTAACCTACTTTATTTCTTATATTGACTAACTTAATTATATTTGTACAGTATTATGAATATGCTACTATAACTACTTATAATTCTATTTAAGTTCTGAACTGTAACTCGTATGTCCATTCTTTGTTCCACTCCGTATATTTGCCTGTGAAATGTTGGGCAATCCACTATCAGATGAGGGATGGTTTCCCTGACATCCGGGTCACAAATGCATGATGGGTTCTCCTTGCACTTGAATCGTGTCAAGTATTCGGAGAACCCATCATGCCCCGTTAGTAACTGGGTCGTTGTGTCGACGACCGCTATCCCACGTACAACACCATATGCTGCCAGTGCGCAGGAAAAAAATAGCCTGGTGACGGAGGCGGTCTCGCCCTCGTTGTACCTCCTATTCCACTCGCCGAGTGAGGCCTGTCGGAGACCCCGCTTCACGAACGGAACAGGGCACCAACCGTAGTACAGTGCTTTCTTCAGTCCCAGAGCCGCCTCCTTGGCGAGTTGGTCAGCTCGCTCATTACCCACCAACCCTGCGTGGGCCTTGACCCAGAATAAGGATATCTCCATACCCCGGGCCATGCCTTTTTGAATGGCTGCTCTGGCCTCTACTGCCAGGGGATGGAGGGTATGACTGTTAATTACCGTCAGGAGTGCTGCTCTGCTATCACTAAAGATACTGAACGTGGTTTCGCTTCGCCTGAGGACCTTACTGGCCGCTTTGCACAGGGCCAGAAGCTGAGCCTTAGAGGTAGACGGTGCTCCTCGTCTTCCAGACATTTGAACTCTAAGGCCCGGTACTCCGAGGGGTGTGGCGCCTCTATCGCCGGAGTCATTCGTTTACTGAGTAGTATTGGACCCTATTAACAACAAGCTTATTTTCTTCTTATGCTTACGACCTATCCATAATTTTATCATACATACATCTACTCACGCTCATATCTCCGAAGGGATAAGCAGAGCCAATTATAAGTTTGGTCCCTCTCACGTTATTGGAGTAACTTCCACAGTCCCGCCCACTCTCGTAAAAGGGAAGGTAGATAATAATAAGTTAACATATCTCACACACGGCAGTCTCATCCCAAACTTGTCAGAGCCTGTACTATGGTAACCAGTCTGCTGCTAAACATATCTACATATATATTTCTAAATACATACAAATCACAGATAAATTACACTCAAACAGAACAAATGATCGTCCCCATCACACAATATTTGTCCTGGGTGGGAATCGAACCCATTACCTATGTATGCGGGTATGTTGAACAAAGGGAAGGCAATTTATAGGAACGGGATATTATTTAAACGGATTGGGGAATATTAAAGAAAGTTCGAGCAGGTCTGAGTCGTATACACCTGTAATTCGAATTAGCTATTTCTGGAAAGTTCGAGAATATACATATATGTAAATATCATAAATGTAACATTTTTCAGATCACGATTGGTTCGTCGCCAAGTTGAAAATAGCCCAAATCGCGATGGTCGACTGGTTTGGCGGTGCTAAATACATACCTGTCAAAAACTATTTGGCATACAACTACACGGGCATGGAAATGCTCCAGTATCACAACCAACACATCCAGAGAGCTACAATTCCTTGAAATTTGGTGATAGTTATCATCTGGTGTAGGTCGTTTAGGGTTGCTATTTGCAAAAAAATGACGTTAAATTAATCGACGGTAGATTAAAACTTTTTACAATAATAAAAAACTTTGTAATAGCTTATATATATATTTTTCAATTGTTTTCAATAATTTGTTATTTATGTTCAAAAAATTATTAGAATATTTGTGATCATTTTTCATTGTGTCGGGATTTATTTATGTATAGATTTAGGTGATTCTATTAATAAATTATAGGTAATATACGATAATGAATTTTACACTATTCGTGAGTGAGATAACTTTTATAGTTAATACTTAGGTAATTATCTTTTTTGTATATTATGATGTGTTACATGAATACCTAATATTGCCTAAACGGTATACGGTACAGTACTGACGAACAACTTGAAAAGGCTAATACACCCATAGAGTGAACAAGATCCCCAATCTTGCAATATAGGCAACGAGAGAAATGAATAATAGATAGTTCCCTCTATCTCTTTCACTAGAGAGAGGTAGAAGGAACTTGAGCTCTGCGGTTGGCGGGGGAAATTTATAATTATTATTATTATATAAATTATTATTATTCTAGGATCAAAACCATGCCCACTTCACGATAGCTATTCGCAGCTAAGCTAAACAGTGTGGGAAGAGGGATTTTAACCCTAATATTTTATAACACCTTTATGAAACCTGTGATAAGTCAAACAATAATTGATATTCTATCTATTAAAAATAAAACGCCAATTGTACTTTTTAAATAAAAATTCAAGAATAACAATCAATAATTTTATTATCAGTATTTGTTTATTTACACCTTTTTATACATATCATAATACATTGGAATGCTTTTATAATGTATTAGCTATAAAAATCATACAGATGGTAAATAAATACAACTTGGTTAGCTATAAAGTTATTGTCAATTTAATTTATTAACATTTTATTGTGTAATAACAGGTGGTGTCATCTTACACCATTTCCTTTATTTGACCATTAATTTTGATTATCTAGAAATCTTGGAAGTGGATGTAAAGACTACTAGGAATATTAAGTAACAAAGAAAAAACTAAGTCATACTTCTTATAGGTACCTGAGTAACGACGTAACGTGATCACACTTAGGTATTTCTCAATAAGTAGTTTTTTTTTGCAAAACGATCGTTAGTTTTCCTTAAATATTGTGTATCTTTAATACAGATAACATTTTCCGTACCGAATTTATTATCGATGTAGTTAATAGCCATATTGTTAGAACTACGGCAATGTCAGGTACAAGAAAAAATCTCGTCACATCACAGACGGATTTTTAGGCCCTAATCTTCCGTAAAGTTATTCTTGGGTATAAGCACATCAACAGCCTATAATAGTCCAATGCTGGTCATAGGCTGAATTGGGTATACGTGGGGCATACTGAAGAAAGTCTCTGGACCTGGCCACTTACAATAAAAGAATGAAAAAACAATTATGGAATTCGAAAATGGAACTCTTTGGGAACATGTTACTTTTTAATTTGAGAGACTGTCATATGTTTCTTCATTGAGACGTCCTTTCGCAGATTGTGTGTCGCTATCAAAATGAATTTAACTCGGGAGCATTTGAATTTAACTCGTGAACGTTGCCAGCCAACTGCTTTGTACAGTGGTTTCAGTTTCAGGAAAACAATAAATGTTTCGTTAGTCTTATTTATCATAATCCAGAATCTTTCAGTATGCTCTAAGTATACCTATATACAATTTGTATGTTTAAATTGATCTAATACGGTCTCGGTATTGCAGAAGGTAAACCAGCAGATGTTGATTAGGACTTTAATGAAGTTCAAAACAAAGACACGTAAGTTCCTATAGGTATATTATCTCACTTTGCCGTCAGAGTTTACCTAAAGTATACAATTTTAATATTTTAGTAAGTAAACCTTTCCAACCTTGAAATATTTAAGTTTGGAAAAGGAATTACGTTACTGTTTGCCTATATTGTGAAATAGAACTCTGGCGACCTCACTCGCTCGTTAAAATTGATAAAAGAATTCTTTGTTATGACAGTGTTAAAATGTCATCTGTTATTAATAAAGTCCTGTCAAAAGATTTATAATGATTTTTATCAAAAATAAATTATAACTACTATGAAAGATCAAAGCTTACAAAATATATTTATCAAAGATCTAGGCCCGTATTTTAAAAGACGTCTGAAGTGTCGGTTGAACTCTGATTGCCTGAAACTAGTTTTAAGTTCAGATCAAATCTTAAGTATCGATCTTATTATAGAACGCGTTTTGAGTTTTACTCAGGTGAAACTAGTTTCAAGTATTGATTTGAACTTACAATCTGTTCTCAATTACGTTTCCGCACGATTATTCCGCATTACGCAGCTAATTATTTAAAAAATATTTTTCTTTTACAAACATAATTTCTGTGAATTTGTATATAATATACTATTGGCTAGTGTAGCAATGTTAACATATTAATAAGCTTGTTGTTCGTTCAAAATTAAATATAATAAATATTAAAATAAAAATGACTAGCTGTATGAATAGGCTATAACGGAACGTTCAAGTTATTTATCAACACTTGTCATGTTGAAATGTCAAACGATGTTTTTATTTGATATTTCTGAAATTTATATTACTATACTTTTAAAATAAACCAAAAGATTGTGGTAACTTAAACTGGTATTGAGTGTGTAAAATGTGAATTTTGGTGAATTTCATATCAATTAAGGTACATTAAAGTGAAATTGATTACAGTATGACAAGTAATTCTTTCGTAAATAAAGGAAAGTAAATCTTTCGTAATTATTCAAAAACAAATCATCGTAAAACACATTCATTTCCCCTAAATGCCTTAGAAATCACCGCTTGAGACTAGTTTCAGCTTGTCTCACGTAAACAAAGATCACAGCTGTCAAAATCTATACCTGAGTAATGATTTCGACATAAACATCGTTCTAAAATAAGCTATCACTCACTTGAGTATGGATCGGTGAATCTCGTTTTAAGTGACGTTCAATAATAAAATCTCTACTTAAAATTAGTTTTGAGACTAGATTCACGACTGAGACACCTTTTAAAATACGGACCCTAGTTCCATAATAGAGCAAGGTATTTTTTGTAGAGCAATAGTAGGTGATCTGTGTAGGGATTACAGTGCAGTGTGAAATGGATTTGAGGGGCCCTAGCACATGCACAAAATTATGGAGACCTATGAAAGACTGCGAGCGTTAGCTAATGGTAACCACATGGTGTACAGCTCGAGTAAATTGCACAACGTCATCTAAATTTAATCGAAAGTGAACAGTTTTTAACAGGTTGAATTCATATAGATACAACCACTTCGCCGATTCCGAGGTTCGAGTGATACGAGTTAGAGAAAATATCAAAGAGGTCAGTCAAGCTTGGTTGGTCAATTAAATTGCCGCAGTCAAGAAGGTTTGACTGAACCATCAACAATTTTATTAGGTATGTTGTGAAAATAAATATTTTTAATAAATTTTGAGATCAATGAGTCTGCTGTTGCTAAATATTTAAAAGCAGTTTGTTATTAAAGATACTGTTTTTATACATATTTAGCAACAGAAGACATCAATAGATTCTGTGATATGTGAACAATGGAATTGAATCAGAGCACTTTTGATAAGTTTTCAGTTGACGTTACAGTTTTAACACAGAGTTAGTTAGTCACCGTTCTTACACAACCATTTTTTTTAATCTAAAATATACTTTTATTACAATAACTGGACTTTTCCGTGGCAATGAACGCAAGATGCTACGGGGCGAATTGTGTTGCCGCTGTTGCTGTAAGCGTGGTGGACTAACGCATTCACAGGGGCTTCGTTTACTTGCCTCACTTGTAAAGGCATAGCCATAATCTGTAACATATAAAGTATACCGTGAATATAGTATTACCGTGAAAGAGCCATGCTCCGGCTCCATATATAATACTATTTTTTTATATTTTAAAATGTATTTTTTTTGTAATATATTTAAAAATCTAATCAATATGCACATATAATGTAATAAAGATAATAATATTTATTGTACCAATACAAATACAACTTTTTCAACATAGAACTAGTATAAGTTAAACATAAACCTAAGATAGCCTCACCATCATAAGTGTGTGTGGACCGGACCGTATATACACTGTGGCGGTATAGATATCACAAAAAATGAAATAACAGATAACACGGTTCAATATACGTCGGTTAAAATAAAAAAATAAAAAATTAGTACGAAAATACAGAAATGCAAATTTAGAACAAACTAAATACAATAAAATAATTTCCGAATTAGAACACCATTGATAACATGAGTCGGTGAACTGTACCTACACGGCAGCGTCGCAATGTCGGCGACATCAAAACGACGCCGCCGCCGCCGCGAGCCGGCGAACTTTACATTCTTATTACCTACCTACCAATCACTTCACTTGCTTTTAAAAATCTATTTATAAAGAATGCGATTTTATTCACGTGTTTATTTCGTGAATGCTCGACTAGCTTCCGACCCAGCAGTACGCGTCACTCCTTGAAAAAGTAGTTACCTTGGTTGTCTCGTAATCTTTGTACCGCCCTTACAAAAATTCGGCAGTCTGTAGGACATACACGATTGACTCCATACGTGTCCGTAAAGCAAAAGATGCGTTTTGATAGAGTTTTCCATAAATTAACATCATAGCAGGCAGGCATATTCCGCGGCTGTGAAGGTCACTCACGGCATTATGGATGTTGATATCGATAACCCAATAAAATTAAAAGACTGATAATGCACTCAGTTTCACACTACACTACACACAGAACCTAATAGTGACTTTTCAAAATAAAATTAGCAGGACTCCTTACATTACGAAGTCTTGCGCACACGATAACATTAATTGTTCACACCATTGCCGTGTATTATGACGAAAGCAATAAGACTAAACAATTATTACCACAAGAAAACTTCTCTAAACAAATATGTATCTCATAAACAACAACAATATTATTATTACGGTTATTTGTCGTGAGCGCATCTACAAGGATACGGAATAGCATAAGCTCGCCGGTGGCCAAGGGCCGACTGACTGTCCTTACTGGATGAACTAATTAAAAACGCGTGTTGCATCGTGATGACGTAATAATCAACATATTTCGTTCGATTCGGGTGTAGTAAAAGCGGCAACGTGTGATTACCGCGTATACCTACAGCTGATCGCCGCCTGAGGTCAATGTATTATGAATGCATGTACACATGATGTTGCAATTTACGAAACACAAAAATGAGTCCTGTGGCTAAACTACTGGATATATTTTGTTCATATTTTGCAAATCGCCTAGAAATTAAGGGCAGAATATGTGGCTTAAGTATTTGGGATAGGAAATGAAACTCTCTGTATAACCGACCGGAGTGATACCACGGCCTCATAGAAAACCAGTGTTAAGATTGGTTAACACTCGTCTTCAATGAGGCCGTGGTATTCGTTAGGTACTTGGTCAAAAGCAACGAAAGAATTGACTCGTTGCTTTTCACCGAGTAAGTAAGGCTATTTGAGCCCAAACAATCTCCCTCTGATGCTGCGGGGTAGAGACTCGAAGGACGGCTACGTACCTACTTGCGATTAAGTTTCAGGTGTCAATCAATTATCACTTACCATCAGAAGCCGAAGTGCGAGATTATTTCACTTCTACTCGATAGTCACGGTGTCTGCGTTCGGTTCGACCTTGTGATTGGCACTCTCCACCAATCACAGCGCCGAACGCGGTCAACGTCACGATCGATAGAAGTGAAATAATCTCGCACTTGGCTCTCAGGTCACCCGTCTACTTGTTTGCCCCTATACTATGAAAAAAAAAATACTGCCATGAATGGTAGCTTTCAGGCAATAGATTATACACGACTCATGGTTACAATCGCGATTATTGAACCCTGATGGTAAAGGCGACTAGCCTCTGTCGCACTGGCAGAACCACAGCAGAGATGTATGGGATTGATGGAAACTAGTGTTGTGCCGGATCGTTAACAAAGGATATCCGCGGATACGGATCCGAATACGGATATTTGGTGTCAAGATCCGCGGATACGGATCTTAAGTTTCTTACCCAATCGGAGCCCGTGACCTTGATAGTTGTCGCCACTTGACGCTTTGCCGTTGATATTTAAATATTTCATTATTTTAATAAGCTAATACAAAGATGTTTGATTGCTCTCATTATAAAGATGGCTCTTTCAGTACCTACGACCTGCCTAGTTGATTTAGTGTAGTACGATAAATGATTGCAATAATAATATAATATAATAATAATGGTGCCAAATATTTGTTTTAAGAAATAAAAAGTAATCTGAACAGAATTCAATAGTTTTTCATAGCTACCTAATAACCATTATTCAGGGTTATTTTAAATTTACTGAAAACCTCTGAAGTGCATATTAGTAACATTATAAACAACAACTTTTCTTCAACTAACACCGAAAACGAAAGAAAAAAAATTGTTTCTCCATACAAACTAACAACATTTGATTGGTCATTTGAATGGAGAACCAATTTTTTTTCATTTTGACGTTGGCCAGAAAAAAAGTTGCTGTTTATAGTGTTACAAACACATACCTAAGAGTTTTACAGTGAATACAAAATCACCTATATAGAATTTCATCTATGTAGTATGTATTGAAAGATCCGCCAAAAAAGTCACGGATACGGATACGGTTACGGAATCTCTCTTCTCCCTTGGATATCCGCGGATACGGATACGGATACGGATATCCGGCACATCACTAATGGAAACCAAGTTATTAAAAGTACAGTGTACTACCTTACAAATGCTACTGTTAACAAGCTAGTCATTAGTCGACTTTAAAAAATAGAAGAATACTTACGTTTTCAGCATTCTTTTCCCCGTCAGTAACAGAAGGTAACGTATTTAAATGGCTTATATCTTGTTTCGCTACCGAACTGCTTATGTTTTCTGACAGCTTTAAGTTCACAGATGATAAGTCCAAAATGTTGGTTGAATGCGGTATTGTCGCGTTGAAATTGAGATTCCCAATTGGACGGTTGAACATTTTATTTGTTCCCGTGTATTCTGAAATAGTGATGTTTTCAAGCCATTTCTCGTGAAGACTGTACAAGTTTTTGTATGTACATAACATCATATCTCTGGCGCGGCACTTTTCGTCCAATAATTGCTTTATTGCTTGTTGTAAATTTTCAGTCTTTTCTGTTAATAACTTTTTGCATTGTGCTAACTCTTCTACCATTAAACTGGAAATGAATTGAAGGATCTAATTTAAGAAAACTAACGAATTTATTATAAAGTCAGTATATACCTACAAAAATTTAATTTAATTATTATCATGTCATGATGATAAAATTTAAGTTTACGTAAAAAGTTTGTTTGCTATTGTAATTTTTGACTTAATGCCATATTAAAACTGAAATAACTAGTTTTTAGTCCGTGTTTCGTCTAGTATGAATAAAATACATCTAAATTTAAACCACCTAAAAGTGATGAAAAAGGCGTTATGCTCTGCGTCACAGAGCCACTGTAATAAATACCAATAAATTTTATCTTAAAAGTAATAAAAAAGTAAAAATTCGTAAAAGTTTCGTGTCAGCGAAGGTTATTTCATACAATAAATAAATTTAGCGTGTACTAATATATGTTTTTAATTAAATTCAAAAGCAGGTCATTAAAATAAAATAGCTAGCACAAAAGAACAGGGCGTTTTCAATAAAAATTACAGTAGAGAAAGCAGTCAAAACCACACCTGTTAATAATGTTGTTTTATGCAATAAAAAGCATTCTTAAATCAGTTTAAAAAAAAACAGTAGGTTTTATCTGTCCTGAGTACGTGTATTAAGTGGCTCTGCTAGGGAGTATGCTCCACAGAACAGCCACAATCGATGGTCATTATTTTGTTACCTAGTGTACGTACAGCGATACATCATTTTAAGTAAGTACATCATTACATACACCTACCTACCACACCTAAGTACATCATTTTAAGAAATAAACGATCGGTATTTGTTATGGTGGCTCTGCGGCAGAGCACGACACGAAAAAGGCAATGTCTTTATAAAAGACAACTCCCGCATTAGGAATAAGTATATGCTGTGTCGCGGGGGACTTTACAAACATACATGAAACGGACACAAAGAACACCCAGACTCAGAACAACAATTTGTGGATCGCACGAAGTGTAGTCCCATGTGGGGATCGGACCCACAGCACTTGGCGTAGTAGTAAGCGGCTCGACGACCGCTTAAATCACTACGCCATCCGTGCAGTTTTGTCTAGTTCTTTTTGTTAGATTTAAAACAAATGACATACGAAACATCTTTTATGGTTTAACGTTATGAAATGAGTAATAAATAACTGAATTTACCTGCTAGCTAGAAACTTGCTTCTCCATACTTCACATTGTCCCGCTAGCCATTCAGTTTGTTCCTAAGAAGAAATATAATAAGGTAACACTGATTAGGTATTTTCTATAATCTTTTGTTAGTAAACATATTGTGTGAAAAGATAAAATTTGCAGTTTAATGTTGCAAAAAAGAAACCAGTCACACACACTTGATCAAACAGTGGCAGTAAACCTTCCTTAAAGATAATTGTATGTTCAAAATTGGATTTTGAAGAACACAATTAACTGTCATCGTTTATTTAGTCAACCCATCTGGCCAGCATGGTATAGTAAATAGTAACCTCCTTTCTAAAGGCTGTGGATGATGTTAATGTTTATTTAGTGGGGTATTTTCCAATTGTAATTTTTTAAGGTCTCAATTTATGTTATATTTATTTTGTCATGTTGTATGAGTAGAATTATTTAGTATTGTATAGTACACAGAAATTTATTATATTACTTACAATAAGAGCAACACATTTAAAACTTAAACAACAATATGTTATATATCTACCTGCCATCTCAATCAAATTGCACCTAATGTGGTCACGAAAAGTTAGGACTCGAGATCAAAATTCTATAGTAACCACTTAGAGAAAATAATTCACAGACCTGATGTGTAGATAAATGTTGTGCAGAACTAAGTAAAGCATTTGCCAAATGCTTCTTATCTTCGTTTAGAGACTGAACCTGTATCTCAAGATCTTCACCCATTGATGCCACCAACATTGTTTTCAATTCTTTATTAACCTGCAGATAACATAATTAAATAATGTAATTATTATTGTGATAGATAAAATGCTGAGTGAAATGATATTTTTGTTATAGGTATGTAACAATAAGTAACCAGTAATAAGACTGAGATTATGTCTTAAAAATGGCTATTATATTCCAATATTTATTGTTTAGGTATACAACAGCACCATTGGTATTACGAGTAGTATTTATAATATCTGTTAACAATGACCATTCAAGTTTTTTTGGATTTAATTTTTAAAAGATTCCCTAGTGGTGAATATTAGGTCAAATTTGAAAAATAATAATGAAATAGAAATGATGTGAACTATAATTAATCTGTGGTAGTTAAATATGTTCCACAGACACCCAAATGATTGTTGAACAGTGGTGTGTGACACTCAACTTGACAGTGAACCCATCGAAAACAGATGATCATGTTCACAAACAAATTCAGGAAATCTTAAACTTCCTAAACTATTTCAAACACAACTGACTCTTAGCAAAGAGGCCAAATACCTAGGAGTAAACTCCTGTGGAATAGGTACCTTGAAGAGAAACTAAACAAAGCCTGCATTGTCTTCTGCCAATGCAAATGGTTAGTCGGCAAAAGCTGGGGACTATCACCAAAGATTACAGATTACAATTAAAGAGAACAGAGTTAAGCACCGTCATCAATAGATCCACGGTCACTGGCTGTATGCGCACAACGCTAACTGCCGCACTAGAGGTGGCTCTTGGTCTGCGACCATTGAATTGTTCATATAGCAAGAAGCAGCCATGGCGATCATTAATTAGACTCAGACACCTGGCCTGTGGCACGTGGCGCAAAGGCGAGGGATCGCACTCCAAATTATAGGATCAATTGGTGGAATATGAGCCACTGTTAGCAGCCCCATTCGACAGGACTCCAAAACACCATATCTTTATAAGAAGATATCACATTCTGACACAAGAAAACGACCAAGATCAATCCAGCATAAACGGCCGAATTTATAAGCACGGTTCCAAGACACGGTCAGGAAGCTTTAGTTTTCTCACAAGACCTAAACATGAACATATCACTAGCGTTAGGCCAACAAAGTTCGATATTCAAGACAATAACTTACGACGCCACAGCGGCCATGTCAAAGGGTATTAAGGACTACAACATCCGTAAACTGTCAGACAGCATGGCCGTCCTAAATGCAGTGGAGGGCAACACAATGCCCTCTGGTATTGTCTTCGAATGCCATTAAGCATTGGAGCAGCTTGCCACAACAAATGGGGTGCTCCCCCAATGGATTAAAGGGCATAGTAATTCACACGGAAATGACGCTGCAGATGAGTTGGCAAGGAGGGGCTCGGCAACTCCAGTCGCCGGCCCAACCACACTCCTGCCACTGCCTTTTAACCAACATCGATCCTGGGTTAGACAGCATACTCGTGAAGCGCACTACCGAAGGTGGAAAAACTCACCAGGCTGCAGACAGACCAAACTGGCGCCGACTGAAGTCTCACCACGACTTACTTGCAGACTGATCGGTCTTAGCAGACTAGATATCTGAATAGTTGCAGGAACTATAACAGGACCCCTAACCGACAACTATTCATCATTAATGCAAAAGACAGTCCTCTTTGCAGAGGATGCCTGAAAGCAGAAGAAACAGTAACGCCGCCCACGTAATCCTGGAATGCGAGGGAGTGGCCACACAACGGGCAAGTACAATCCTGGTACAAAATCGCTCCTAGAAGCCTGTGAACACCCCAGGGGGCTGCGGAAATCAGAGCCCACAACCAATACCAATACCACTACCATGTCCTAGTCACCATTTCTTATGCTCAAACTTGGAAGAATGTAAGCATCTTCCCTCATCTAGAGTAAAAAATGTATCTTCAAAAGTAAAAACAAAACCTTAACAAAAATTAAGAAAAGAATTGCAATTTGAATTGAAAGTATCTTTTAATATAAAAAATATACTTTCTAGTCACCATAACTATTGATCTGACACACATTTAGAGACTTCTTTATAAATCATGGTTCAGTAACCTTTAATAGCTAGTGATATTTAAAATACTATATGTACATAGATAGTTTACTCATTCAGAGCTTAAAGGGTAAAAGATTACAGTTTTGTATAATTTTGAGAACAGATATTAATAAATACTTGAAACCGACTATATGACCCCTGTCCTAGTAACTAATGTATGATTAAAGCAATATAACTCAGGTAATTTAAAATGCATTATACAATAACAATATTACCATACTTTCCCTTCAACCTATTTTTATTTATATAAGACTCTGTAATATAGTCTTTACACATTAGTCTTTTAAAAGTCACTTATAATGCAAGTAACTTAATAATTTTTAAAATATCCATTTATGTATGCACAGTAAAACATTAATGTTAATTCCATATTTGTTTTAATGAATTGCAGAATAGTATTTGCCTACTTAAGTATTCTCAAGGCTAACCATTTACTGTTTATGTGAGATAACTAACAATTCATAACTTACTTGAACTTGTTGCTTCAACTGTTCTCTTAGAGATTCATTCTCTACAGTTAACTTATCTATTTTCGATTGCATTTCATCATTCTCTGGACTTGATTTGTCAGTTACTCCACAAGTTTTATCACTTGTAGAGTTTAACTTTGGACGAGGTTTAAATTTACTCAAATTTGTATCCATTTGTGACATTTGAGTTATTAAAGTGTTAATGTCCATATTATTTCTTGATTTTTTTGAGCCTCTTTGAACTGCTGTTGGAGTGATAGGTTTTACAGCAGCTGCATAAGGCTCATATGGTACAAATTTTGGTGTCTTCATATTCATTGATTTTCTGTTCTCTGATCTTATTATATTAGTAGGGTAAATTTGAACTAAACGAGCAGGAAGAAGACTATCTTTTCTATGTATATTTACTTTCAAATCCACCCCTTCAGATGTACTTTCGTCTGATTCCATTCCATCGCCGGCTGTTCTTGTTTTGTTCATTATTTCTAAAACAAAAATGTAATGACGTGACTATATTTATGTAGACATAGATGCAATCAGCTGCTTAAAAATGTACACGAATCAAAATAGAAATAGGTTGACACTGAAACACATACTCGGATGATAAGGATAACGGTTATCCATGGTTATGAGATAAGGAAACTGGAAGGATTACAAACTACAGTCTACACAGATGTTTATCATAAATTTTGTATTAATACCGAAGTCGTTTAATTCCTTTCCTTTTACTTGTGCTGTTTCAATTTTCCTATGGTCAAGTGTCAATCAAACTGTCAACAGCGCACTTTCCTTAATGTCACTTGTCAAACTACATACCTACTTCTAGACGGTTTCAAGCGCATGGTTGCCATAGAATTTACCGATAGAGAATATACGCTTGTAAATCACATATATCAAATTTTATCCTTTTTTTAATTAATATTAATTTATTTTATTATTTATTTATATATGACACACAATACAAATATAAATGAAAAATACATGCTACTTGTATGTATTTTTGAATAAGAAAATTAGGTGCCCAATAAAATTATGGCAAAGGAGACTCTGTTCCTCTAGTCTCTGGTCTACGAGTATATCTCTCTAGTAGTCTAGGATAAAACGTATAAATTAATACTTTCATACAGGGATTTTCAAACTATTTTGAACAAGAGACCCCTTTTCTAAAATGAACTGATACCTCAGACCCCCATAGCCAAACTACTGCACGTTTATCGACTTGTTGAGTTAAAAAAAATCAATAATACTTCCTACTAAAATATTAGGCATTCTTATAGCAAGTTGGTGAGATCTCGTCTACCCCTAAAACCTGTTTTCGTTTATGTCGACCCCTGGGAAACCGATTTCGATCCCAAGGGGTCGATATCAACCACTTTGGGAATCCCTTTTTTTACCCCTTGGACCGTCACCCCGCCGGCGTTTGCGGTGGGGTGGTGTGACGCGAGCTTGGCGTCCGAACGTTTCCCTGAGCGGTAGTACTGGAAGAGCGGTAAGATGGTCGTGTTAAGGAAGCCGAGACGGCCTGCCGATTCGGTAGCGGCCTACAGGCCCATCGTGTTGCTGGACGAGGCGGGTAAATTATTTGAGAGGGTAGTCAGAGTGACGACGTCAACGAGAGTGCGAGTGTGAGTTTGGTTTTAAATCGAATCAAATTGATTATTAAAAAAAATATGTTTATTTACCAATACGGACTGCACGGATGGCGTAGTGGTTTAACCGGTCACCTCGCCGCTTTCAATGCGATGGGTGTTGTGTGATCCACAAATTGTTGTTCTAAGTCTGGGTGTCCTTTGTGTCCGTTTAATGTATGTTTGTAAAGTCCCCCGCGACACAGGATTTATTCCTAGTGCGGGAGATGTGTTAAAAAATACAGTTTTTAACTTATCAATATAATTTTTATAACTTATAGTCCAGTCATTTAAGCTTAAATTAGGTAAGAATCTCGGAATTCGAGATACCCAGCTGTAAGTCTGTAAATACTTGTATATTGACACCCTAAAAGTTGTCTCAAAACCTACATATGGTAGGGTGTAAGCAACTATTAAATTTCAAGGTCAAAAGTCACAAAAATCGGTTTATTGCGCTTTTTTTGGAAATATCTCATTTCCTATGGGTTTTTGCTATTTGTATTCATTATCAATATTGTAGAATACAAAATTCTCTACAAATTTTGTTTAAAAAATTTTTTATACGGTGAACCGTTTTCGAGATAGAGGGCGGAGAGCGCGCGGTCACAGCATCACTTCAGGTCAACCGGTGCCTCCGGTCGAAAAAGCGCCATATATAGTTGATGAACTATCGATAAATCAATGATTATAAATAAAAATTGTTCGGCCCAGAGATTATTAGAGAGTGGAACTCAAACCTTATTGGCAGTCTATAATGCTCCGAAATCTGTGAAAAGTCTCGATCATCTTCGTTATATGCATTACGTCAAGTCATAGGGTGGTTTTAGAGGAAACACCACATACCTTGCTCCTGCGTCTGCGGAAATCGGAATGGATTTTCCTCCCCGTCACCAACGAATTTCAACCTTTACTTCAGTTCTATATCATCATCATCATCTCAGCCGAAAGACGTCCACAGCTGGACATAGTCCTCCCTCAAGGTTCGCCACAACAACCGGTCCTGTGCTGTTCTATATACACGTCGCTTAATGTTCAGTTTTAGCCATGCTCGATTTACACATATTGATAATTTCATTAAGTATTCACAGAGAAATAACGCCTCTGATGTCTAAGAAGCCATCAAGAAAACAGAAACGACTTATAGAAGTATTTAGTGAAAAGTAATAAATACTATTCGGGTTTAATATTGCTAATACGCTACTGCACGATACATAAATTTTGAATTTAATTTCTAGCCGAGACTTCCCATTTGTTTTATTTAAACGTTACCCAAAGTAAAACATCTGTTGTGCTTGAATTGTGTCTCTCTACTGTTAATAAGTTTCTGCGTCACGGTATTGCAAATGTTGGATTGTTTAAATATTGATTTTCTTATCTCCACGCTTCGAATTTAATGATATGTTATTTGGACGGCAAAAATGCTCCCATTGAAAGGTTCCGACGATTTTAAAGTGACACAAGCTTTTTTTTAACTAATATGCCGCTGCCCTAGACGCTCACCCTTATGTGTACGGCTCATGTATGTTTTAGGTACTTAACTGGGTGTAAGAAATTCCTCGGCCCAATTACAGAAGCTGGCACAGGATGCATAAAATCTTAGTTAGGTACTTTGCGTCTTAGCCAGTAGCTCATACATTTTATTAAATCTGCATTCTATCTTTGAGGTTTGGGGGCATAGGACCGTAGCGCATTTAGCCTACACGTCACGAAATATATACATATAATGGACTGCTAGGTAAATTATCTATTTTTCGTAGACTTAAGAGTATATTTAATTGAACTTATTTTCCTTAACATGTTCGTAAACCAGTAATATGACAACAGTACTGGATGTTTTAGGTCTAGTTACTACTTATGGTCAAGGACATATAGTCTGTGAGGGCCAGCGTGAATTACCTTACAAAAGACAAAAAAATAAGAACTCAATTATTGTTAAAATCATTTATTGAAATAAATTAAATATGTCTATATACACTTCACCATACTTAACTAAGGTTTAAGTGTAGCATCCAATTCTCCATTAGCTAACAGTTCTTTGATAATATCTAATCCCCCAATTAATTCTCCTTTGACATACAGCTGAGGGTAGGTAGGCCAGTCTGAGTATACTTTTAGACCTTGGCGTACCTCTTCATCACCCAATATATCAAAAGTGTCGTACTCCACTCTAAAAAATAAAAACTAATTAGTTCCCTAATATTCACAAGGCACAGAAAAATCTATTAAGAACTTGGATTTTGATTGTTATGAAATATGTAGTATGATGTTTGTATATTCTAAATGAGGTTTGGGACTGCATCGGTTTTCACCAATACTATGCTCCAATTAGAACTCAAACAGGCTGTATTGTACAATATACTTATTCAAATATCTCACACCACGTAAAGTAAAAGAAAAAGCCTGCGCCATTTTTTGCATTTATAATATTACTATTATATAATTAATTATAAATATATAAATATTTAATTATAATAGGATCACAGTTTGTTGAGCAAGAGACATGGTATGGCATTATCATTATAAAAACAATGGCAATTAGATAAGTCTGACTTGTTTTGTCAATTTTATTCAAATTTCTCGTTCTTGAAAATGAAATAAACTAATTTCATTTACGGGCACATAACAGCACGTTTATGGGTACTTATTGTTGCTATAGTTCTTCACGTCATATTTTCAGAAAATAGTACATTAAAATCTAACTTTTCAAAACATTATCGTCATTTAATAATATTAATTAAAATACTCCATTGTCTGTTTTCTTACGAAACCCCGTCTCGGAATAGGCTCTATCAATAAAAATATTCAATATCTAGAATGTTAACACAGTTTTTTTGATAGTGTTAAAATAATGTTACGATATTTACCCTGTGCCATTCATGATTTGAATTAAAGTCTTGCTAAATCCGCATCTGGGCTGCTCACGGTTACCTTTCATGAATATCATAACATTATGTCTATTAATTAATGCTTTCAGTCTGTCTTCTAGTTTTTGGGGCGCGGGCGCGATGTCCCCTGATGCTGCCTTATTTGAACTGTGAGACTTTACTTTGGAAGATATCTGTGCTGCATCGGCGCCATCCACCCTATCTACTTGTATACCATTCCTGAATAATATTACAGTAGGAACTGAATCAATCTGAAAACCAACAGTATTTTTTAATTAAATCAATAACTTCTCTCAATTTCATTTTGCCGTTTTATTGGTAATTTCTGGTAAAATAAATTTGATGTTGTTTGGAAAAAATCGTTCGAACAAACGCAAATAATTTCTTAAGACAAATTTATTTCATGGTCGACCTTTTTGTTTATGCGTTTTTGAATGTCGAATATTATCCACTTTACGATAATGAAGTGACGAAATAGTTCAAATAAAGTCTACAGTGTTTCGTTAAACCAGAAGTCCCGACTAGTACTACTAGACCGACAGGTAGACCAGTCCGTGACCGTTGTTCATACAGGTATGCCAAGATCAGAGCGACCGGGTACTGCAGAGTTATTCTCTTAGAAAACAGTCTTGTGTACAGCGCTTTCAAAATAACTTAATTTAAAAATCGACGCTGTGACAGCTACATCGACGCTATATCGAATTTCAAATAAACTTAGTATGATGTTCGTAGTGACGGTTTCGTGACCGGGTCAGGAACTGGAGCCCGTATACTGTCAGACACATGCTGTCTGACAGTATACGAGCTCCAGTTTCTGACCCAGTCTTGGCCCTGGACCCGGCCACGGCCGTCCTAAAGGCACTGGAGGTCAACACAATGACCTATGGTATTGACTTCGAATGCCATTAAGCATTGGAGCAGCTTGCCACAACAAATGGGGTGCTCCTCCAATGGAATAAAGGGCATAGTAATTCACACGGGAATGACGCTGCAGATGAGTTGGCAAGGAGGGGCTCGGCAACCCCGGCCGCCGGCCCAACCACACTCCTGCCACTGCCTTTTAACCAACTTCGATCCTGGGTTAGACAGCTTACTCGTGAAGCGCCTAACCGAAGGTGGCAAAACTCACCGGCTGCAGACAATCTAAACTGGTGCTGTCTGAAGTCTCACCATGACTTACTTGCAGACTGATCGGTCTTAGCAGACTGGATATCCAAATAGTTGGAGGAACCATAACAGGACACCTAACCCTGAACCGACAACTATTCATCATTAATGCGACGGACAGTTCTCTTTGCAGAGGATGCCTGAAAGCAGAAGAAACGGCCGCCCACGTAATCCTGCAATATGAGGGAGTGGCCACACAACGGGCAAGTACCATACCTGATAAAAAATCGCTCCTAGAAGTCTGTGAACGCCGCAGGAGGGTTATGCGCTTCTGGAAGGAGCTTGGTTGGCTCACCTAGCCAACCTCATCGAGACGCATAAAGGACCACTCTCGAGTCTAAATACGGAAATCTGAGTCCACAACCAATACTTTCAACTCTTTATAATTAGTTTATTCTTCATGAGTAAAAATGGTCAGATATACATTACCTGTCCCAAATATACACCTGCCACACAGCTTTGCAACACCCAAAGGTTTGACTGGAAGAAAATGCCTGAGGCATTAAGTCCGCCTTATGCAATATGTTTGCAGGAAGACTCAATAAATAAATAATGTCTTCTGCTGATGGAGGCCTACAAGGAAAACAGCGTACTATGAAACCCTTAGGACAAACACTATTACAAAAAAACATTTTAGACACTTCGTCTGACATGGTCGAGGTACAAATCAAAACTGCGGATAGATCCGGTTGGTCGTTACGATCACAGTGACATGAAGTTCCCGTACACACTAGAAAATCGTTACTGTATCAGTTACAGTTACAGCTCGCTAATAAGTACCCGGCTTGATAAATACAAATGTCCATGGTATACCACACGGTGCAGTGCGGTGCCGCGTCGCAAGCTCACAGGTAAAAGACGAAGGCGGAGGGTGTATGTGCCGGAGCGGCACGCTGATACTCTGACGTCGAAGACCGCAGATTTCGTGAAATGTAGATGCTTGCTCGCATTGTATTTTTTTTCCATAATTTTATAATAGATCTTTACCTATGAAATTGCCGTTTTGTATGCAATAAGTGAAAGTACTTATTTTTTCAAACTTTTTTATTTCTGTTATTCCAAGTAATCACTCATGCAATCGACGCATCTTTCCCAACGCATTGGCAGTTTATTATGCTTTTATTTCAATCATAAGTTGTAAAATGAATAGTAACGAGGACGATAATATAGATATGGACTATCTCATCATCTCCCAAACAGCAGTGCACTGTGGTGCCGCACCTGCCGTGTGGCACCACAGTTCGAATTCATTACGGTGCGGCGCCACACCGCACCGTCGACGCAACGTGTAGCTTCGCTCTTAGATTGAATTAAAGAACAATGATGGGTGGTGGAATGAAATATTTGGCATCAAATTGCATCGTCTTGTAGTAAAAAAAAATATACAAAAAATATTTTCTTTTTTAGAATCTAATTGTAAAACAATTTTTGTTTGGGAAATGCTAGGAAAAAAGATAGTAGCATTTGATTTTTTAGTTACGAACTTACGTAATCAAATAACTTTATAATATTTTTCTTTCTTTTTCTGGGGCTTTACTGACTTACACGATAGTTTGTGAAAACGTAGATATTTACTAGAATTAGTTTCTTATGAATGACATTTTAAGACACTCAAATTATACTCAACTATGAATTCGCCATTGTTCTTTAATCAGCTAATGCACCAATTTTTCATACTGCATTGCACAGTTATACATACATAATTCAATATAGCAAAACTGGTAATGCAATGAAAATAATAAATGATTTATATTATGTAGGGTACTGTATTACAATGATTTTTTTTTGAATGCCTATTTCTTAACTATCCTACTACTCATATTATATTATAATATTAGACAGTAAAAATGAACAGTATCACCCTATATTGTGTATTTGGAAAGGTCTATCTATGTCCAGCACTAGACTGCATTAGGCTGATGATAATGATGATATTAAACTTTGTATATTCACATTTTTAGTTCTTCGTAATTTTATTACAAATTTGATTTATTTTATTTTCTACATAATCATATTTGTGATATATTTTTAAACAGTATACCACCCAGTATACTTTTTAAAATCTAGTACATAGAGTAAATGGTTTCATTCTATTACCTTATATTGCAACGAGATTTCAGATAGTTTTTCAGCATCACAAACAGCGGCTTTGGTCCCACTTGCCTGTACTTCTGGAAGCTTTATTAATTCTTTAAGAACTTCAGTTACTTGCTTACATTGCTCTGCCCAGTCAGCAGCAAAGTGTACTACTGTAAGTACAGGTGTGCTGGAAGTTATAAAGGTATTAATTTATGAAATTATAAGTCAAATATATAGGTTTTTTAAAGACTGATAGTGGAATATTCACATCACCATGAAAATTTATACTAAATATTATTACTCCCTTACAATAATATAAGAAAAAGTTCTATTTGCTAAGTCTTAATGGCATATTATTAAAATACATCAGGTAACTGAATAAATTTTCATAGTATGTAAAAAGATTGTCATTAATTATAAAACTAAGAAGTTTCGAGTTCTTATACTAGATACATATACTGAAAAAAAACTTAAAAAAAATATACTTAATGTGTGTTTAGGTAACAAGGTAAGTTTAAATAAGAATGTAAGAAATATTTTCCTACTCAAAATCTTCGAGACTCACTAGAAATAGAGAAATAGATAATTTAAAGACAGGAAGTTATTGTTATTACATGATAAAAGAAAAGCTATAAATATTTATAATTCACTTACCGAACAAAATTTTCAAAGTTCGCGATAGTTTCCAAATTCAGGAGCGACATGACTGTGTTTAATAAAATTAAGGTTATGAAGTTATGTCTTTAAACGATATTTTCCTATATATTATTTATACACAGTTCCAACAACAAAGTTCACGTTATATTAATTTGTTTTATAGGTTGAGGATATTATATAAATTCTAAAATAATCTAGAAGACCGCTGCCCCAGAACAGTAACTTAATAGGGATGTCCGGATGTCTGACTGACGTCGTACTCGCATTATATTTTGTTCTTTTTTTTGACGTCTCATTGGTTGGTAGAGTTTTTTTAATCCTTTGTCGATGAAATTTTACTTAAAAAGACTTCATGATACTTTGCTAGGATAAAAAAAAAAAACCATTACTATTGATTCTACCTATCGGATTATTGATAATTAGAGCGGATTCACCAGATCCTTTTAAGAGGTTATAGGGGAGGTCCATTTGACCCCATACTGTATCATCCAAAAGTTGATAGTTTTCATAATAATTAAATTTGTATGTTTTCCTTAGAAAACCCAGTTCTATTCCTTTAAAAATTCATGAAAAAACATATGCATAAAGAAAATACAGATTTTTAATAAAACTGACTATATATATATATATGTATGTTTTTTTTCAAAAACGGCTAGTATATTTTATCTGATTTGTTTTTAAGACAGCTACACACATCTAGCTATCCAAAAAGGTAAATAAAACTGCCCTTAGTTACGTACTTAAAATATTAATTGAATAATACGACAACCAGACAGTAAAAGCTTAGAATGAGACGATGAATTTAATTTAGGAATATAAAATAAAAGAAATATCTAGTGAAGCTTTATTTCAATTAATTTACAAAACATTTTTAAAATGGCTTTCACTATAACGTATACAGAGACGCATATGTTTAAGTAACTCGATTTTGACTACTCGAGTAATCCAGTTCGTTTTCATTTCTTCCGCTGCACTTATCATGCGATGTCTTAACTCGTGTTTAGATTGCACAGGTGACGGAGATACATCATAAAACAGGCTCTTTATGTGATCCTAGACGTAATAGTCTAGACTTCCAGCTGACCACGGAACAGGTCCTGCTCTGCCGATTCATCGGTCAGGAAACTATATCATTTTAAGCATTCACGTAAATTAATTCTGTATTGTGCGGGGCAGCTATCTTGCTGGTAAATCATACGTAAACGTGTAGGTAAAGGTACATCACTAAGAAGACCAAAAACTTCATTTCACAAAAAGCTTTCATGGGCATCGCCATTTAATTTATCAGCTAGAAAAGAAGGGCCAATCAAATTATCGTCGATAATTTCCATCCAAACATTTATTAATAAACGTTTTGACGAACCCTGTAGCCTTTTCTACTTTGAGTTACGGTCAGCTTTTAATTCCCAAAAGTGAATATTGTGATAGTTTGAAATCCCGTCTCAATCAAACTTTGACTCATCTGTCCACAAAATTTTTTTGAAGTAAGTGTTGTCCTCTCTCTCCTCTTTTTGTTGCGTTGTACCCAGAGGTCGTGAAGCGACATTAGTCGAGATCCGTCTAAGAATTTCTTCTTCTTCCTCTGAACGGTACATTTGAGGTCAGCCAGTGTGGCTTTGTTGTTTCTGAAGACTATCGTCTGATAGTCTTCAGAAAGTCAGAACCAGAATATGCTATACCAATTATATATTATACAGGTCAAAAATATGTTGATGGAGAAGAGATAATTTAGTAGGCTTAAAAACTTCTGACAGCCCATCCCTAAAACCAACTTTGACAGCTTTCAATTTTCAACTTATAGTGATTGAATTTGGGGTTATGTTTGACGAATTAGGTATGCTGCTAAAAAAGTCGGTAAAATAAATATTATAATCGTTTTTGCCCTTCTATTACTAAAGAAAAACGTATTTTTTCAATAATGGCTACTGTATCAAGTGCGCCGGCGCCTGGGATGCACCAGATTGATTTATCCAAGCTTAGTATACAACAGTTGCTTCAACTCAAAACTCAATTGGATCAAGTAAGTTGCCGAAAATACAACTAAATTAACAATAGTAACTCTATATATCTAAAGTAGAGCATAATGTATGAACTTCTGTTTACAGGAAATAAATGTATTCCAAGATTCCTTGCAGACACTAAAGATAGCTCAAGGCAAGTTTATGGAATCTGGGGAATGTGTTGAGAAGATGACACCAGAAGCAAAGGGTAAAACTATATTAGTACCATTAACAGGATCCATGTATGTACCTGGCACAATATCAGACACGGACAATGTACTCATTGATATTGGAACTGGATATTATGCACAAAAAGTTAGTAATTATATTCTTATATCATTATTATTGCAAATAATCTTCACTATCATTAGAAAAGGATTGTTCATAAATGTGATTGTTGTCTATCTATATGTATGAGCTTTAGTGTTCACCGGTATATAAATTGTAAGTCTTTTATCTAAAAGACAGCTTGTTTCAATGGGCCTTCTGGTCTAGTGGTTAGTGAGGCTGTACAAATCATTGTGAGATGAGCATGATAATTTGTTCTGTGTCTGAGTGTAATTTATATAGGTATAACATGTATGTATTTAGAAATATTTAAGTATGTTTATCAGCTGTCTTTTTACCATAACACAGGCTCTGCCTAGTTTTGGATCAAGCTGCCGTGTGTGAGATGTGTGATGCTATTATTATTTATTTAACTTAACATTCCGTTGATATGAAAAATTTGAAGATTTGATGAAAATGAGCTTGAAAATACTTTTTAAATTATTGGATAGTAGCCTGACTGAACATATTATTTAATTCTGTCATGGGGGGATAAAGCTGAACTAAGTAGTTATTAGATTATTAAAGTACCATTTACTTCTGCCTGTAAAAAAATAAAAACTGGACACTAGAGATGTCCACCGCTGGCTGCCTCCACTTCTAGTGTGTATCTGTAGAGAGCCTATTGTATGTGGATACACAGGACTTATGCTAAGCCTATGTTATTTCAATTTTAATGCTTATTCTTACAAATGTCTTTTAAAATTTAAAGTATAATTTCTGTCACTCTTCAGGATGCTGCTGGTGCTAAAGATTACTTCAAGAGGAAAGTAGCATTTGTAACAGAGCAAATAGAAAAGATCAAAATGCTGGGTATGGAGAAGTCTAAAGTTCATAAAGCCATCTGTATGATGCTTGAGATGAAAGTACAAGCACAGAGGCAATCTGCCAAACCCTCAACATCATAGGATTAAATGAGTACTAAGTTATAATTTGCTTTATATTTAGCCGTGATGGATTTTATTGCGTTTGTTATATAAACATAATTGCTTTAGTATATACATTTGTGTAACCACAGGGTAGAACTGAACACATAAGATTTATACTGATGTCCTTTTTTTAATAAACATAGGATTATAATAAATAAAGCATTTGATACACTATATTCATACACAATAATTGTACTAGAATATTCTAATCTTTTTAACAACGGCTATAAATAGATATATCAATGAACAAAGCAGATCTACAAACATAGTGAATAATTGAATTTTTAAGAAAATTCTAATATACATTTAATAATTAGTTGGTTTTTAAAATAATATTTTTATTTAAAGCAACCTTGTCTTCTTGACGATCACAACTTTGTTACTCTCTCTATGATGTATGTATCTATGGTCTAGCTTAATAAATTAATACCAGTCTATTCTCTATGCATTTATTTTAATTAAAAAACCAACCAACATATCTATAGCTTTCGTGCCCTATAGATGTTTGACTTCTAGCAAATTATTAAGAATGTGTTGTTAGAAATGCAATGCAATACAATGGACTGCCTCGGTGGTGCAGTGGTAGCATATGCAACTGCTGCTGTGAGAAGCCTCCTGGGGCGTTCATAGGCTTCTAGGTGCGATTTTGTACCAGGTATGGTACTTGCCCATTGCGAGGCCACTCCCTCGCGTTCCAGGATTACGTGGGCGGCCGTTTCTTCTGCTTTCAGGCATCTTCTACAAAGAGCTTTGTCCGTCGCATTAATGATGAAGAGTTGTCGGCAGGGCTAGGTGTCCTCTTATGGTTCCTGAAATTATTCGGATATCTAGTCTGCTAAGACCGATCAGTTTGCAAGTAAGTCGTGGTGAGACTTCTTTCAGCACCAGTTTGGACTGTCTGCAGCCGGGTGAGTTTTCCAAGTTCTCCAAGTTCCAAGTTCGGTTGTGCGCTTCACGAGTACGCTCTCTAACCCAGGACCGAAGTTATTTAAAAGGCAGTGGCAGGAGTGTGAATTACTATGCCCTTTAATCCATTAGAGTAGCACCCGATTTCTTGTGGCAAGACAATACCAGAGGTCATTGTGTTGCCCCTCCACTGCCTTTAGGACGGCCATGCTGTCGGACAGTATATGGATGTTGTAGTCCTTAATACCCTTTAACATGGCCATTAGTGTGTCCCGAATTTTTTTATTCTTATTTTAGCTACTTAAGACCTCTCAAAAGTTGCGCTGTTAGACGTAGATTAGCGTAAAAATAATTCAAAAAATATTTAAAAATATCCTTAGGGCTCTACCAGCATTTTTATTCACTGAAAATTCGCAAAAACAACCTTGTAGTCAATGTCGTATATTCTATGTTTTATTTATCAATCCTGTTTTGTCTTGTAATTTTATCAATAAGAAAAGCCTCGGCTATGATTTGCAAGTATCGACTGGGGACAGTAACTGGGGAAGATTTGCCCATAGCCCATCACCTTCTAGAGTTGGTAGCACAAAAGAGAAGACTGAGGAAACGGTGGCAACTATCACAATGCCCACAAGCGAAAAAGCTGTTGAATCATGCCATCAGGAAACTCAAGAATGCAACCACTCGAGATCGTAATTTGGCCTTTCAATTGCATCTGAGCGGTCTGGATGCCTCCGCATCATCAGACTACTCGCTGTGGAAAGCTACTAAGAAAATTAGAAGACCTACTAATGTCTCCCCAGCCTTGCGTGCACAGGACGGGAGATGGGCTCGTACTGATGCCGAAAAAGCAAACACTTTCTCTGTCCACCTACAATCCGTTTTCAAACCCCATCCAAATGAAGGTACACCCGAACATGAAAGAGAGGTATCTAACTACTTGGCGGAGGAAGACTCAAGCGCAGAAATAGTTGACGACATGCCCAATTTCAATAAAAATGAAGTGGTACGGGCTATAAAAAAGATTGACTCAAAGAAGGCCCCCGGTTTCGACCTCATCACTAGTAGGCTGCTGGCCGAACTGCCAGACTCTGGAATGACTATGCTCACGTCCATTTATAACAGCATGACAAGACTCAGATTTTTCCCTCCACAGTGGAAAGTAGCCAAAATAATAATGATCCCTAAGCCCGACAAGGCTCTGGAAGATCCTAAATCCTACAGACCTATCAGTCTACTACCGATTCCTTCGAAAGTTTACGAGTCGCTCCTATTAACTCGCATGTTACCATTAATTAAAACAAAACATCTGGTTCCAGACCATCAGTTTGGATTTCGTCATAAGTATGCTACTATCGAACAAATTCACAGACTTACAGTCGAAATACATAAAGCGTATGAAGCCAAAAAATACTGTACAGCCGTCTTTTTGGACATCTCGCAGGCCTTCGATCGGGTCTGGCACCAGGGTTTGCTTTACAAAATTAAAAAATCCATGCCCCATCACCTGTTTTGTATGATCAAAGCTTTCATAACTAATCGTCACTTTATGGTTCAGTGTGGAAACGAGATGACAAGCCTTTGCCCCATCCTAGCGGGGGTTCCACAGGGAAGTGTAATTGGTCCGATCCTCTACCTGCTCTACACCTCGGATTTACCCACCAGTGAAAAAATTACAACAGGTACTTTTGCTGACGACACAGCCATTTTGGCCACCCATAGTCAGCCAGAAATCGCAGCCAAACTACTACAAGAAGGTTTGAATAACATAGCCGAATGGCTAAAAAGGTGGCGGATCAAAGCTAATGAAAGCAAGTCGGTCAACGTTACTTTCACCCTGCGAAGAGAGCACTGTCCACCAGTGACGTTGAATGACGTAGAAGTCCCTCGGGCAGATCACGTGCGGTATCTTGGACTGTACCTCGATAAACGTCTTACCTGGAAGAAACACATTCTTACCAAGAGAAAACAGCTTGGTCTACAGCTGAGAAAACTTTACTGGCTCATTGGTTGTAAATCCCAGTTATCAAGGGAAAACAAACTTCTAGTATATAAAGCCATCCTCAAACCTGTGTGGACGTACGGCATACAACTATGGGGAACAGCCTCACACTCCAACATAGAGATCTTACAACGTTTTCAAAACAAAATGCTGCGCATAGTTACTGGTGCCCCATGGTTTGTGACTAACGAACAACTGCACAACGATCTGAAGATGCCTACAATCAGGGAGGAAATAACTAGACACACTAAGGCATACAGGGACAGAATATCAAACCACCCAAATATATTGGCCCAACCGCTTATGGACAACAGTTTGAAAATCCGTAGGCTAAAGCTCAGAATCCCCCAGGATGTGCTGTGATAAGAGCACATTATAACTAGAACAGGGTACGGCATTGGCCGCATCCCTGCACACGACTTCTAATTTATGCCCAATCTATCGCTTAATGTCCTGATAAAGAGACAGATTGCTGTAGTAAAGATGAACAAAAAAAAAAAAAAAAATTTATCAATCCTGTTTTGTCTTGTAATTTTATCAATAAGAAAAGCCTCGGCTATGATTTGCAAGTATCGACAGGTTGTTTTAGCGATCAATCGGTTTTCGATCAAATTTTAGCAATCAAATTCGATCAAGCGATCAAAATTCCTACAAAATTCATGTTTTGACTTGATTTTCGTACGTGCGCTACTTCTACAACAAGACAGTTCGTCTCATTTCTATTTAGATTTTACTCTTGTAAGGAGTTGTTCTATTCTTCTTTGAAAGAAAAACGTAATTTGCGTTACTTAATCATAAAAATGTGTTCAAGGCGAAGTGAGACTACTTGTACTATATTGGGACCTTATAAAGAACTTGACGATCGCCAATTACCTGTTATAAAAGACGTTATTAAGTGCATTTTATTTACTAAAAGTGAATTAAAACTACAGAAAAATGGAAAAGATCCATCGAACACAGAAGTCTTTTCAATAGTTTCTGGAAAACTTAACACAATTTGGACCAAAGCTTCAATTCCCATCGTTTCTAACGTACGGGTTACTCAACTGCTAACCGCATATTTTAACAAATATTTATCACTAATAAGACATCCTAAAAGTAAGAGAAACGATAGCTATGACAACAAAGTTAAGTGCTTTTTGGAATCGTCAAATAAGCTTTTTGCCATCGCTGCTTGTAAGTGCACTTCGTTTGAAAATTGTTCCTGCACTAAACCCAAGAAAGTTCCCATTTCTGAAAGAGATTTTTTACTGGACCAAAGAAATGATAGGAAAATGGCAATAAGCGGCGTAGACGCAAAAGAAAATGCAAGGCTTTTAAAGAAACATCAAAGACAAGAAAATTTGAAGAGGACAGAGCAAGCATGTTTTCCGAGTACTTCACAAACCGATACTGTACCGGTACGCGTGTTGCCGCCTCGTTCACAGTCGCTTTCAATAGAACCTTCTACTAAAAGTGACTTAAAGGAGTCTCCATCTAATTCATTTAGTCGGAACACTCTGACGCTGCCAACAGTAGCTAAGGTATGTGATCGATACGGACCATCAACGCGTTCGGCAGCTGCAGTCGCTTCAACAGTCTTAGTTGACGTAGGAATGGTATCTTCCGAAGATCTAAACCTTGTGATTGATAAAAATAAGATTCACAGAGCTGTTTCAAAGTCACGTACCCAGGCCAGCAAAGACATCGATAAAATTATTATAAAGAGTATCTACTTCGATGGGCGAAAAGATAAAACTCTCAAGATCAATAAAATAGACAGCCGGTACCACCGAAAAGAAGTCTTAGAAGAACACATTTCAGTTCTTACAGAGCCGGGATCTATTTACTTGGGACATACGACGCCGAGTCGAGGTACTGCGAAAGGGATTGTCACTTCTATTATAGAATTGTTAGAAAATCAAGGATGGAACTTAGAAGAAGTAAGTTGTGTGGGTTGCGATGGCACTCCTACAAATACAGGTTGGAAAGGAGGTGTCATTAAATACCTGGAAGACTATTTGAAGAGACCGTTACAATGGTGTGTTTGTATGCTTCACACAAATGAATTACCGCTTCGCCATTTGTTTATGTCTCTAGATGGTAGCATATCTGGGCCGAAAGAATACTCAGGACCTATTGGAAAACAGCTAAATGTTTGTGAAAGTAAACCACTAGTGTCTTTTTGTGCAGTGGCTGGCAATTTGCTCGAATTACCTGATGACATTGTGAAGGAACTAAGTACGGATCAAAAGTATCTGTATGAAATGTGTCATGCTGTGACGACTGGTTCTTGTTCCCCTGAGTTAGCGAGCCGCCAACCTGGAAAAATGGCGCATTCAAGATGGCTAACTACTGCCAATCGCATACTCAGACTTTATGTAAGTACTGTTTTGCCATCAAATAATTTAAAGCTGCTTGTCAATTATGTGGTCAAAGTTTATGCTCCAGTTTGGTTCCTCATTAAGAAAAACTCATCATTCAAAGATGGAGCCAATCATATTTTTCAAATGGTTACATACTCCCGATTTTTGCCTGATAAGCAAAGATCTATTGTGAATTCAGTGATAGAGAGAAACGCTTTTTTTGCTCACCCTGAAAACTTACTTGTTACCATGCTATTCGACGACAGAGAGCATATTCGAGAGCTTGCAGCTCGCAAAATATTAAAGGCAAGAGAAGCAGAAATAAGCAATACTCGCAGGGTATTTAAAGTACCAAAACTTAACTTCGATGCGCGATATTACATCGATTTGATATTTTGGCAAGAGTGTGAGATATCCGCTCCACCGATTTTGCGACAAATGTCCGACGACGAACTGAGAATTAAGGCTAAAGAACAAAGCTTCGATGTTATTGATTTCCCCTGTCATACACAATCAGTGGAAAGATGTGTAAAGCTAGTGACGGAGGCTTCTCTAAGTGTCACGGACGCTACAGCTCGGGATGGTTTAATCAGAAACAGATTAAAATCTCGCGCGGAAATGCCTAATTTTGGCCACAAGAACCAATTTCGTATTTGAAATAAGCACTAATTATAAGTATTTAAACTTTACTGAACATTACCTTATGTCTTTGTAGTACCTATAAATTTGATTAAAACCTTTAAAACATTATTTTTGTATCATTTATAGTTTATGTTCGAAACCTCTAAAAATGGCAAATTTGAAAAACTTCTAGGATCGGTAGAGGCCTAAAGATGACAAATATTTAATTAAATTTTGTTATATTTGTAATCTATTCACAAAAACACAACTTTTGATACCTCTTGCGTAGCCGTCGCTTTAAAAAAAAATAATCCCATACATTGACGGGACACCCTAATGGCCATTGTGGTGGCGTAAGTTATTGCCACACATTCGCATTGGAATATGGAACTGTGTTGGCCTAACGCTAGTGATATGTTCATGTTTAGGTCTTGTGAGAAAACTCCGGCTCAAGTTCCTGACCCAGTCTTAGAACCGTCCGTGTAAATCGTTTATGCCAGATTGATCTCGGTCATTTTCTTGTGCCAGAATGTGATATTTCCTTGTGAAGATATGGTGTTTTGGGATCCTGTCGCTTGAGGCTGCTAACAGATGCTCATATTACACCAATTGATCCCATAATTCGGAGTGCGATCCCTCGCCTTTCGAGTTGGGGTGTTTTCAATGTATTTACAAAAAAAGTAGGTATATAAGTATTCTTTAAGTCAATCTAGTTTTCCTAGTACAAGTTCTGCTTAGTTTGAAACTACATGGCGTTGTGCGACGGATGTAAAAAAAACACACTTTGAAAAAATATGTTTTAATTCACACTTGTATTTTGGGGACACTTTCAACTCAGTGAATTATCGTGCAACATATCGACGACACGATATCAGGTGTCACACTTAGCAGAGCGATCAGTAATAACTTGTACACTGAGTGTGTAAAAGTGCAAGTAAAACTGAATATCTTTAACAAAGTTAATACACTCATGAAATTTTAATTATTTAACATTTCGTTCAGACCTATGATGTCTATTAAATGGACAAGGGGAAGGAGAAAACACAAAAGAAATGTGACACCAAATGATTTATTTCTTTTAATAGGCCAAAATGATAGCATTGATGATATCTACAATAATAATGACTTATAATAAACTATCCTATAATGTATCTACAGTATGTCTTATAGTTACAAAACAATATTAACTAAATAAGGCAACGACTATTCCTTAGGTTTGTAAACAATTACTATCAGTAAGTGTTTATAAAATGAATTTTTTATTCAAATATCGCCTTAATATGAACACGTAAAAAGGTGTTTCAATACAAGATAAAACTTTAATTTTTTTTGTAATAGATTTACATGGATTTTAGTTGTTAATTACAAATTATACAAATATACTATCAAACAGTAGTTAATGAAAAGGCGCATTATGCAGCAGAGGATGGCGCAAAGGTGTTCATTACGCCGTTAATTTTGTCGAAAGTTTTACAACAATCAAGGTGACCTATCGTCTAATACAGTGACTGACGGTTGCATGATATTGATTGCCCAAAAGTGGATAATTCTATTTTTACCATCATGCAACTATCAGTTATGACTTTTTGAATTGAGTGACGCTTGCGTGACTGTGTAATAGACTCCATAAATTTAAACTTTATTTTTTCACAGATATTTTAGTTTAATATGTTTTTAACAGTTATTTTTGTTCTTGGATATATTATTTTAAATTAATGTTATTTTAATATATGTAAGTAACTTTTACGTGTATACGCTTTCGAGTAAAAACATTAGTTTTACCTATTATAGTTAAGATACAAGACGTATTTTTTATTTACACTTTATTACATTATCATTCAATTTCATTACAATAATTATAGTATATGGAGTAGAATTAGTTATGAACAGCAACCATAAACTTCGTCGCCTTGGGCGAACATTGAAGTTCAACACCATAACCCTTATATTAAATCTTTTGTAAGAAACATTATATCGATAAGCTTACACGAACAGATCATTCGCCTGCTCGGCGAAGTCCTTGTCTCAAATGGTGTAGTATTCTGGTGCGAAATCGTTTGCAAGGTTACTGAGGAAATGGAAGTCGGAGGAGGAGTTGGAGTTTTCACCAGCTGTGCCAGGAGTCGCATGAGTCGCTTCATAGAACTGCTGAAATGACCCGTAACTTTCACTGCATTCAGGACCACTAGCGTTGTATGCGTCACTAGCAGCGGCAGTTTGTGCGGCACTCGGAGCATATCCCGTTTGCTGTGTATAAGCATTACCGTCATAATAGTTCTTTGCATATTCGGCACCATGAGCATTTTTCTGCCCATCACCAGCATAGTAGTTATGTCCATGGTCATGCTGTGCACCTTCGTGGTAGTGGTATCCATAGTGGCTATTAGGATATGCCATGTGTTCTCCGCTATATCCTTGCGCCTGATCATATCCAGGATGTCCGTATGTAACCTGATCCTTACCATATCCTGGATATCCGTAGTTTTGGTACATTTCATGCGGGTAAGCTTGCCTGGACCCTATGCCGTTAGTTGGTCTCGTAGACGGTGATCCATCTTGTCTAGTATGTTGTTGATTCCGTGAGTAACCGTGTTGTTCAACAGTTTGTATGCCGGGCCCGTAGTTCTCGTAGTTTCGGCTTCCTTGAGGATACTGAGCCAGCTTTCCGAGGAATTGTTTGGAATCCATTCGGAAGTCAGGATGGGGAACAAATTGCCCTGGAGGCGCGTTACCCCTTATAACGTAAGGTGGCATTGTATTAGGGACAGCCTGGGGGTGTGGAGGTCCAGACGCAACGTTCGGCGGTGAAGGCCGGGGATAATGACTCAGTGGACTTGGGTGCATACTCGATGGAGTTCCCGGTGTCGACGATGGCGTCAAATTGACTGATGAAAATTTTCCGCCATCTGGTAAACCCGACACTGGTCCTAACCCATCCTTTGAGGACGATGGTGATACTTTACATGCGCCATCTAGAGACGGCGAACGTTTCCTTGATTCTTGTTTGATTCTCTTTGAAAGGTTTCTTGGCGCTGTACTCATGGAAGTAGTCGCAGGATGACCGTCGTGTGAGTCGTCCTCTGCTAATTTATCAAGGGATGAAGAGGAAGCTACGCTAGAAGCTCCATCGCTGGCGAAGCTATTGTTATTCGTTGCGCTCGGGGTATTGTTATTTCGAGTGCGCGAGACTAACTCTGGCAGATCTTCTGCAGGCGAACAAAGGGCACCAGGTGGTAGTTCACAGCCCTGGCAACTTTTTTTGCCTGATAGTGGACCATCATCGTCCAAGAATTTGTCAAGTCCCGTCTTGGAGCTCTTTCCACCTTCAGATGTAGTCGAATCCTTATCGTCGCCATCCTCAGTTTTGCTCAGTGTTTGTCTCTTGTGCTTCATGCGCCTATTTTGGAACCATACTTTTACCTGCAAAATAAAAATTTTGCTCGTTAATTTTTAAAACTCGCTATAATATTTTTATTTAGAAGAAACAAAACGGCTAAGAAAATGCCTATTACTTTTTAGATATTTTTTTTGTTTTTTTTTTACGTACGAGAAAAAACTAGGACCCCTTAAATGTGTAGAAATTTTTTATTCATTAATTCAATATATCAGAATGTAAAGTTTTATGTTAATACGCGTTTAGAAATGGTTAATATGGTTAGTCAAGATTTATGAAGCCAAATTAATTAAATACTGAGTGAGTAATAATAATCATAACCTCGCACATCTCACATACGACCGTTTCATCCCAAACTAGGCAGAGGTACCTGTACCATGGTCACCAGACTGCTGATAAGCATACTTAAGTATATATTTCTAAATACATGCATATTGGGGAGAAATTACACCTAGACACAAAACAAATGATCGTGCTCATCACACAAATATTTTTCCTGGGTGGGATTGGAACCTACGGCCTCTGGTTTAGCATTCAGGATCACTAACCACGAGAGGAACAGGCCCGTCATAGTATATTACGTAAAGTACCTTATTTCGAATCACTAGAAATAGCTCGAGCTGGGGAATATTAAATTTATATTATAAAATAATTAGACGTTAAATCATTTAAATGTTTGACTTTCCTTAACATTCTCTAGGCATGTTTATGTATGCACCTTTATGTGAGAAAGAATATTTCGTTGCATAACTCAGCTAGCTGGAAATCAATCACTAAAATCATTTATTTATAATATTACATACATATATAAATATATAGTATATATTTATTATTATATATTTGTAACAATAACATAATTGTATTTATCACATTTAAATGTGTTTTACCAATTTCCAACGTTATCTGATTTCTATTTTTTGTTGTTTACATGTCTGCGTTCATCCTATCCAGTGTTCTGATGTTTGGAACAATAAACATGTCACCAAGGTAATCACATCCTTAATCTAAAGATTTTAGATCATAAATAATACCATATCGTCATCATCATTTTGGTTGTAGATCTAGGTATAGATAGGTTATTACAAAAGTACATTGTTGGCGTTAATAAGTCTTTACCTGTCTTTCAGTTAGATCAAGAGATGCAGCGATTTCAATTCTTCTTGGTCGACAAAGGTATTTATTGAAGTGGAATTCTTTTTCTAATTCCAACAGTTGTGTGTTCGTGTATGCCGTGCGTAGTCTTCGAGGCAGTCCGTTTTCTGAAATAAAAATAAATGTATAATAAGTTATGAATTGCTCATCCGTGCTGTATAACTCTTAATAATAATAATGTTGTAATTGACGACCGGATGGCGTAGTGGTTTGTGTAACGGACTGCTATTCCAAAGGTCGCGGGTTCGATGTCCGCTCGAGTCAAACATTTGTTTTGCATGAACATTTAATGTTTGATTTGGTCTGGGTGTGTCTATGTATAATATGTATGTATTTACAAGTACATAAATGTATCAGTTGTCTAGAACCCATAGTACAAGCTCTGATTAGTTTGGGACTAGATAGCGTTGTGTGAATGTGGCAGAAAAAAATATGGAAAAATACTTTATTTACGCAAAGATAAACATATTTGAATACACAGTTGATGAGAATTTAAAATATTGTATTTGAGATGTGGTACTCTGCCCCTTAAACTAGGTGAATTACCTGTATCTTCAGAGACAGTGTTCAACCTTACAGATTCAACTTACTATATATTAGTTCTCTTGGAGTTGTGTCCCTTTTTTTTTTTTTTTTTTTCCGTGCGGAAATCCCCTCGGATACCACCTGTCGGTGGCATGTCGGACTCGAACCGACTAAAACCGCACGCCTTCGCCGGGTACTAATAGCCGGGGAACCAGGTATACCCTAGAAAGGAAGGCCCTGGTGCCCCGACATACCTCGGGTCATCTACAGACGAGTAGACGACCCCCCCGCCCCATGTTCCCTGTGCTCCCTGGAAGCGAGCGCGCTTCGCAACTGCGCTCGCCGCCACCCCGGCCTGCTTCTGCTAGGGTGACAGATGGCCTCACCTGTCACCCCCAGGCCTGCGCTTATGGAGGACGGAGGTCGTTCTGCGACCTCCGGCGCCTGAGTCGCCTGCGCTGCCTGGCCCGTGCCCGGGCCTGGCGGGCCGGGAGAGTTCTAAACCTCTCCCGGTCCCGCTCCGCCGTCTCCTTCGCGAGCATAACTTGCTCGCAGAAGGAGACGGCAGAGTTCCACGCACTCTCGCTCCGCACGATAGCCGCAATCAGGCTATCGAGCGAGAGAACTCCCACTCCGATGGCCGCCACGAGGTCTCGCCTCTGCTCAACCCACGCCGGGCACTCTGCCAGCGTGTGGAGAGCCGTGTCCACGGTCTGGCCATCGCAGTGGTGGCACTCAGGCGTTGGCTCCTTGCGGATCAGACACAGGTGATCTCCGAAACATCCCTTCCCAGTGATCACCTGCGTCAATCGGTATGAGAGGGTCCCGTGACGCCTCTCGAGCCAATCCTCCATAACGGGTCTTACCGCCGCAATGACTACGTGCCCAGCGCTCGGTTGCCCGAGTCGTTCCCTCCACTCCCCTATGATGACCTGGCGGAGTTGGGATTTCCGGTCATCGATTTCTCGAATCTCGGGGCATCGACCCAACTCCTGCGCCTCCTTGCGCCACTGATACAGTGCCGCAAGGGCTCTCGCCTCCAGGTCCCACGGTGGAGTTCCGGCCAGGAGACTCGCTGCCTCAAAGGAGATCGTGCGGTACCCCCTTATGATCCTGATGGCCAGCATTCGCTGCGGTCGTCGCAGTATCGCGACGTTGCTGGCCTTCAGGGCCCCCGCCCATACCGGGCACCCGTAAAGGGCCATGGACCGCATAACCCCCGAGTAGATCGGGTCCCTTCATGTTGGGCAGCAGCCGCGCCAACGCACGCGCTGCCCCAACCAACTTGGGGACCAGACCTCGGAAATGATATCCGAAGTCCCATCGGCCATCGAGTACGAGCCCCAGATACCTGATCGAGGGCTCGATGCCGATGCGAGTGCCTCCTTACCGTGAGGCTAGATCCCTCAGGCGGCTTCCTCCGAAGCCCGTGGAAGAACAGGGCCTCGGACTTGTGCAGAGCCACCTCGAGACCCAGCCGCCGGATACGCTCAACGACTTGGGCAACCCCGGCCGTGGCCCTCAGGGTTGCCTCGTGGTGCGTCTTGCCGCGCGCCGTCACGAGTGTGTCGTCCGCGTAGCACACGACGGCGACACCATCCAAGAAGGCACCACGAAGCACCCAGTCGTAGCCGATGTTCCACAAGAGTGGCCCTAACACCGACTCCTGCGGAACACCGCACGACATTTCACGCCTACCGAGACCGGTCCTACTGGGGTAGACGACGGCTCTCTCCGAAAAATATGCCCCGACTATGCGGCGGAGGTAGAGAGGCACTTCGTGATACACGAGCGCCTCCCTGATGCAGCTCCAGGGCATAGTGTTGAACGCGTTGGCGATGTCCAAGGACACCGCCAACACCACTTCGCCCCGGGAGACTGCTTCCTCCGCTAGAGCCTTCACGCGCATGATCGCATCCACGGTGGAGCGCCCCTGACGGAAACCGTACTGGTTGTCCGCCAGATCCGGCCCAACCATCACGAGATGCTTGACGAGGCGCCTTGCAATCACTCTTTCAAAGAGCTTGCACACCTCGTCAAGCAACACTATGGGCCGGTAGGCGGACGGTGAGTCCGGCGGGCGCCCCTCCTTTCGGATGAGGACCAGTTTCCCCGTCCTCCACAATTTCGGAAACTGGCCCCGTGGAGTTGTGTCCCTAGATACATAATATGCGGTTGGATGTTTTTACTTTGAAAGTGGTGTGTGTGTGTTTTTGTGACTAGGAATGTGTTCGTTTGTGCGCGTGTGTGTGTGTGTGTGTGTGTGTGTGTGTGTGTGTGTGTGTGTGTGTGTGTGTGTGTGTGTGTGTGTATGAGCGTGTGTGTGTGTGTGTGCGCGTTGGTTTGTGTGTGTGTATGTGTAGACGCAGAAGACTACGAGTGTGATAGAAAACATAATATTGTAAATTTAATGTGAGGCTATTTCCTGTTTTGGGCACGCCGTCATTGCGGCGGTAAGACCCGTTATGGAGGATTGGCTCGAGAGGCGTCACGGGACCCTCTCATACCGATTGACGCAGGTGATCACTGGGAAGGGAGGTTTCGGAGATCACCTGTGTCTGATCCGCAAGGAGCCAACGCCTGAGTGCCACCACTGCGATGGCCAGACCGTGGACACGGCTCTCCACACGCTGGCAGAGTGCCCGGCGTGGGTTGAGCAGAGGCGAGACCTCGTGGCGGCCATCGGAGTGGGAGTTCTCTCGCTCGATAGCCTGATTGCGGCTATCGTGCGGAGCGAGAGTGCGTGGAACTTTGCCGTCTCCTTCTGCGAGCAAGTTATGCTCGCGAAGGAGACGGCGGAGCGGGACCGGGAGAGGTTTAGAACTCTCCCGGCCCGCCAGGCCCGGGCACGGGCCAGGCAGCGCAGGCGACTCAGGCGCCGGAGGTCGCAGAACGACCTCCGTCCTCCATAAGCGCAGGCCTGGGGGTGACAGGTGAGGCCATCTGTCACCCTAGCAGAAGCAGGCCGGGGTGGCGGCGAGCGCGTTGCGAAGCGCGCTCGCTTCCAGGGAGCACAGGGAACATGGGGTTCCCACACGGGGCGGGGGTCGTCTACTCGTCTGTAGATGACCCGAGGTATGTCGGGGCACCAGGGCCTTCCTTTCTAGGGTATACCTGGTTCCCCGGCTATTAGTACCCGGCGAAGGCGTGCGGTTTTAGTCGGTTCGAGTCCGACATGCCACCGACAGGTGGTATCCGAGGGGAATTCCGCACGGAGGAAAAAAAAAAAAAAAAAAGGCTATTTCCTGTTTGAAGTACATTAGTAACAACTTCGTGCTGGAAAAGTCTTGTTTCAGGAGCATTCTGAAACTTTTTGTTTAACTGTGTACCTATTTGCACCTAGTATTTTTAATTCCTTGTGTGTAAATATATGTAATGTATGTGTAATGTAATGTGTAATGTGTAAATATGAGAGCCCAATACATAAAAATTGTGTTTTGCGAAAGCGGTTCTGTGTCGGACACTTAGTGGTAAATTCCGAAAAAAAAACGCTTCTCAGGATTAGGGCGGGGAGACCACTATATTGCCTTAGAATTGATTGGAGCACAAACAGCTGGCGAACACTTAGCACTTTACAATCGGTGTACAGTGGAGATGTAGGATATCTCAACAGCTTTCTTGACATTATCTTGAGAATAGCTCTTTGTGCTCTTTCCAATCCAAGGATTAGTGTCTTATGGGCGCCACCCCAAACCGTAATGCAATATCCTATAACAGATTGACATAAGTTATAATATTTTCAGGGTTTCCCAGTTAGCCGAGTCTCGAAGGGACCTGAAACTACCAATAAGACCCAAGGTTCTGTTTATGAGTGCGTTGATTTGTTTGTCCCATTTTAGGCAATCATCTAGTAGAACCCCTAGGTACCTCGCAGAGTCGGTTCTTTGTTAGCGGTGTGCAAGAGCATGGGTCTATTGTACCTGCACATGAGTGTGCTGTAATTAAGGTAAATGTGTCAGGTGGCTTTGTAGTGTGTTGTTGGTTGAAAAGTATGTAGATAGTCTTTGTTGAACTCGGAGTCAGTAGATTGTGATTCAAGCATGTCATCACATGATTAATTGACTCCGCGTTAATTTTAATATCCCTCCAGTTAGATCCATAAACGACAATTGCAGTGTCAGCGCAAGCATATATTTTGCATCTCATGAGAGTTAGCTTGCAAAGGTCGTTTATGTAAATCTGGAAAAGGGTTGGCCTAGCACGCTGCCCTGTGGAATACCGTATAGCGTATATTGCTCATCGCTGTGATATTTCTCTAGCTTAACACACTGAGTTCGGTTCATGAGTAGGCCCAGAACAGATCCAGTGTCAACCCCGCGTTCTAGCTGACAAGCTAGCTAAGCTTGGGAACAGAAACTGTATCAAAAGCTTTTGTTAAATCAAAATATAAGAAGACATTTTATCTGTCTGTTCAAACTTCTTGCAACAAATTCCGTTAAATCGAGAACTGCACCTTTAGTTGAGACTCAAGACCGAAATCCGTATTGATTGTTCGCTATAACGCGATTTTTGTTGAGAAAACATCTTAACTGCTTGTGCCGGATTTTCACCAGTATTTTAGAAATTGCGGACAGGACAAATATAGGTATATAGTTACTGATACAGTTCCTGTCCCCCTTCTCAAAGATGGACAATCGATTTTGCATTTGGGAATACTCCTCTTTGAAAACAAACGTTAAAAGCATATGTGATTGGAGGTCCTAAAGTTTCCCAACATTGTTTTAGTATAGTGGACGGTATTCCATCCCACCCAATGGAACTGTAGAATTTGAGATTCTACCTCAGCCTCATCAATGGAGAGAAAGCTCATTGAGTTTGCAGGAATAGAATTGGTATTTCTTAAAGAGGAGGATTGGTTTGAACGGTTTGTGGCTATGATTTTAGAAGCTATGGTTTCACCTATGTGCAAAACCTTAATAACATTCCAAATGTCTTTCGGATTCTTTTTTGCTTATTTTTAATGTTCTTAGTAGGGAGTTACAATATTTACGAGATCTTTTTTGTGTTAGAGGGGGCAGACGAGCAGACGGGTCACCTGATGGAAAGTGACCATCGCCGCCCATAAACGTCTGCAACTCAGGAGTCACAAACGCGTTGCGGGCCCTTTAGGAAGGAGTACGCTCTTATCTTGAAGGTGTGAAGAGCATCATCATCATCTGATGTACGTAATTTTACGAACGAGATTTTCGGGGGGCTTTTTAGTTTTGGCGTGCATACTATCGCGATTTTTGATGCATTTTAATAGTCCAGGAGTAATCCAGGTTTCATAGTACGTTGTCTTTTTTGGGATATTTACTAAGGTTGTGTGATTTGATATGATGGATGAAATTGTTGTTATTATTTTATTGATGGCCTCGTCAGCATCTACAATGGTATACACTTGCCTGAAATCAGTTCTTCTATTTCTTTCTGAGCACCCTGATTTAATCTGTATATATGACGCAAGGGTTCCCGTGATGTGTCAATACTCTCGATGCTTAATATTAACGACTTGTGATTGGTCATGGCAGACTCTAAAATTACGGTGGTGTAAGGAAAATTTAATTTTAGAAATGTATGATCTAAGCAATTCCCCTTTCCTGTGGGTATGAGATGGGTGTAAGATAAAGATCTGCTCGACTGCTACAATTGCGAATTTGTGATCAATTTCGCATACTAGACAGATCGTGTTTTTAAAATTTGATTCTCGAGTAGAACACTGTTGACTCGTCTTTACAAAGATAATAACAGATTCATTTTAATTTGAAAAATTATTGATATAAAAGGATCGGTATCCGTCCAATATAGGCATGTTAGAAACTTTACTCTGCCAACACTCGGTTAAAACAATAACATCAAAATTTATTTTTGTTACACGCTCCGTATGTTCGAATGCAATATGTTTATGTTGTTTTCAAATGGGCAACATGAAATAGCATTACTTGTATTACTGACTGTCGAATTCATAATTGATCACATTTACACCTGCGAATTGTGTTTAAGGTTATCGCTAAACAATGAACTTAAGAAATATGTTATAGATTTGGAGTTTTTATATATTTTATTCAGCTCTATATATATATATATATATATATATATATATATATATAGTAAGTAGTCTATATTTTATTTAAATGGTATCTATACTAATATTATAAAGCTGAAGAGTTTGTTTGTTTGTTTGTTTGAACGCGCTAATCTCAGGAACTACTGGTCCGATTTGAAAAATTCTTTCAGAGTTAGATAGCCCATTTATCGAGGAAGGCTATAGGCTATATATCATCACGCTAAGACCAATAGCAGCGGAGCACCAATGAAGAATGTTTCAAAAACGGAGAAAATTTATTACTATTGAGAGACGCACACGAAGTTGCGCGGGTCAGCTAGTCTAGTATATTTCTAAATAATATATATACATGTGGACTTTAAAGTTAAGTAATCACAGTGTAGAATAGTTAGTGCTGGTTGTACGACACATGTCTTTATGGTATGGCTTTCTTCCATTAGTAGTGAATACTTTGACCCGTGTCCTATAAAATATGAAAGGCATGTTTCAAATTAATATTATAGAATGCTATTCCTGGAAGCTTTCGAATAACGTGGTGGTAAGGCGGGCTTGCGGGTACGTTTTCCTTTAATGTAATAACTTGATCGCATGTCAGAGCACCGCCCTTGACGCCATTGTGTCGAAACGGTGTTCTTTTTATTTTACCACAAAATACGAATTGGAATTCGAAATTCAAATTACAAAAGGGCGGCGAATAATGGGGCGATCGCGTTCGCATGATGGTTCGACCGCAGGGCCAGCTTCGTGCGATGTCATCTGTGCATCGCTTGTAGCTCTTACGTCATTACAATAAGGGCCAGTATGTCCTGTTTGTTACACTGATAAGGTGGGGTTAGCGTTTGATTGACGTGTTCGTCAGTCCTCACCAATGCTATTGGACAAGGGCAGTTGTCAATCAAACGTAATGCGGCCCTCAGTTATGCATGGCTGTACAGAGGTAAATATTACGTTTAATTTAAACAAACATGAACCCCTATATATTCAACCATTGTGTCTGGTATTTAAATAAACCTATTTGAATTCTTTGGAATAATTTATTGTTCAAGTTGTGGCTCCTAAACTTTGGTGCAAGTGAAATTAATTTACATAACGTGCACAAGTTGTCATAAGTGTTTGAATAGCATTAGATACCTACTAAATTAACTGTTTATTGAACCCGAAACTCGATAGCCCTTGGTCACTCAGTAAGTAGTATTATCAAATATTCGTTAAATTCAGAGAGGGTCAGATGGTAGGCATTGTCTGAATTAATATAGAGAAATTAGCTTTTCAGCATTTAGTTTTTGTACCTTATTACGTTACTAGCTGTTGCCCGCGGCTCTGCCCGTGTGTATGTCGGTTATCGCGGTAAAAGTAGCCTATGTTACTGGCTGAGAATGCAGCTTTCCACTGATGAAATAATTTTTTACAATCGGTTGAGTGGTTTAGGCGTGAAGGCGTAACAAACAAACTTACTTTCTTATTTATAATATGAGTATGGAAGTATGGATTACCATCTTAATATCTTGAATTGCAAGTATGAATTAATATCTTCTAATTTTTTATCATTTTATATCATAATCCAAGGCTGTAAATCGCCATGCTACTCATCTTATATTAAATACTGATACTAGGAACGCTAGATTGTCGTTTTTAAGGTTCCGTAAGAACACTTATAGTTTGCCATCTCCGTTGGTCCGTCCGTCTGCGGCCTGGCTTAGAGACTGTTAGTACAAGAAAGCTGTAATTTTGTTTAGGCATATACATATGTATATTAATCACGCCAACCAAGTGGTAAACTAATAACTTGAAAAAAAGCTATTACACCTCTCGTACCAACACGTGAAGTGGGAATGATTTTTTTATTTCCTGGCTATCCCACAGTGTGGAGTATCATGGCACTATTTTTCGATTCAGTGATACGTTTGCAAAATATTGAACTTTAAACTGCTAATGCTTGTAAGAATAGAACGCCCCACCCCCTCTAAAAGCTTCTAATAGTCGCCGAAGATAATGTTAGTTTTTAAGGGGTTACTAAATAGATGTCACAGTTTAGTTATTTAACGTCTAGTTAGCGCGTGGCCCGACACTTTACCGGTTTTTTGGTAGGTATTTATATAGTGTTAAGGGATGTCCTGATAAGGTGAGATGAATTTATATCATATGTGTTTGTTAAATTATAAACCGAGGAATTAGTGTTTAGCTTAGATCTCGATAGGGGACGTTGTTCTCTTCGCGTGAATCGCGTTATAGTTTTACTTAAACTAGTACTATATAATGCTGAATGCATTATTTTAAGATGGGTAGTAAATATGATATTTTACAATAATTATTGTAAAATATCGTATTATTATCTGATTTTCTCTATATACAACCACAAAATCTTGTTTGACAAGTTGCGGTTATATTACACTCGATTTGGTTCCTCCTGCAAGTGGCAATTTCGTAGTTCCCAATTAAATACCCGGCAATTTTTGGTAATTATACATAAATATAGCTATATGTTCTTATATATTATTGAAGCAATACATTAATATATAGAAACATGCAAAGTATGTATGTACCTATAAGATGTACGTTGTTTCAGCTTTGTAGTGTTAAGGAAATTCCTGATGTGTATGTAATGTAGGTATAATAATATGTGGTATTTGGTATCAGGTATTTGTGGTATTAGGTGGTATTTAGGGAATTGTTTTCCGAGCGAGGTGATACGACAAACTGTATCTTTATCACTTTGAGCGTTCAAACCTGTGTATTCATGGGGTTAAACTGGATTAGACTAAGCCGATTCCAATCTGAAACTTCCTTGAAGAGGCCTACCTATTACTTTTTAATAGCAATTTAACATGCAGAGGTCTAACTAACTTTTTTAAATGTTGGACAGTTATTAGTATAGACAATAGCGGCATTCATTTTATAATTTATAATTACTTAAACAATATCATAAAAAATGATACTACACTTATTGTTGGTGTCTAATACCTATTTTCTATGGATAGTTTAATTTATGTGGAATGCACCTATCTTTGGAACACTTTGACAGTAATTACCTATCACCAATCGAAACTTCTGATCAACGACAAACTTGTTTATATTCAAGAAAATGCTCTGATTATTCTTAATCATATATGAAACCATAACCACAATATAACCAATTGTAGTTTAGATATAAGTTAATTTATGTGCACGCATGTCTGAGGACGAATGTGCAAAAGATGCAAGTTGGTAAGTTTTTGCGGGTCACAGCATAATAGGCGCTGCGCGATTATGCGGGCTCGAGAGCTTCGTATAATGTTCACATTATCGCTACCTACACACTTCCAAACCACTGAACAACCATTTTTGATGGTCTTCCCCTTGTATCCTGTTATCGGTCGATTTCCATGAATATTTTCGACAATTCCATTGTGACATTTAAGTGAATATAATTTGTTCCGATCCTCGTGTTTAAATCCCAACGTACGTCTATGGTATAACTTTCACTAATCTCTGATGTTTGAATTAATATGTGGGTACTTTATTATATATTAAAGGTTCACGAAAATGAACTCCCTATGTTTCAAACTACTAATCAATTGTAACTGCGACTATGCATTTGTATTAAATTAGGCATGTTAAATTAAAATTAGAGATCAAATTGTTTTGTGATAACTGATAATTGCTCTAAAATACCTATTTCATATATTTATATTACGACTTGTTACATATATAACGCATTAAGTCTTACAGCATATCCTTGACTTCATAAATCAGGACTAGTCAAGATACTCATTGAAAATGTTTGGTAAATAAGCGGGTCACATCACACACATTACATCAACAGCTTTCAATAGTCCACTGCTGGACATAGGCCTCTCCTGGTTTGGCCTACTATACCACGCTGGCTACCACTGGGTCGGTATAGGGTTTATTTCAAGTTTTCCTTCTCTTTGCAGTGCTGTTGTCCTGCGTAGCTTGCTCCCTTAGTCGGGTCCTACGACACCCTTGGGATGAATAGGGGTGGTGAAACTCTGTATTCTAAATCAGTCACCACACATGCTTTTTGAGTAGAACATGCAGGTATTCCACTTAAATTGCCCAAGCAGATTTTCATTTTAAAAGATCCTTAGTTATTACACATAATAAGAGTCTTATTAAGAAGATGTAGAGATGTTTTATTGTGGCTCGGCTTGGCCACATCCCAGGTAATAAAGATTTATGATTTAAAAGCCTAACTTAACAGCATTTTGAAATCGATGGAACTGTTTTTTTTATGTGGATGGTATATGTATGATTTGACTATTTATGATTTTTTTGCGAGACAGCAAATAAATAGCAATTATTTTTTTCTTTGCTTTAAAAAGACAACTCCCGCATTAGGAATACATCCTGTGTCGCGGGGGACTTTACAAACATACGTAACGGACACAAAGAACACCCAGACTCCGAACAACAATTTCTGGATCACACAAAGTGTCGTCCCATGTGGGGATCGGACAACCAACACTCAGCGTAGCAGTAAGCTGCGAGGTGACCACTTAAACCACTACGACATCCGTGCAGTCAATTAATTGTTGGGGTTATCATCGACATTGACCGCAGAAAGAGATAAACTTATTAATATCATACAAGAATAGTTTTGAACTTACTGGAGTTAATAAAATTGAAAATGACTCCAGACATTGTTAGCAAGGTGTTCGATAAATCACTATACAGGTGTAGCTACATGATAAGTCCACTTTATTTTCATCTTCCCCCGGCCGTATCCCGTGGAGCAATCAAATACTTTGGTATTAAATTATGAGTGTATGTAAATATAATATTTCTTTATTGCGATCCCCTGTCTTGTCTACAGGGTGTAACAAATGATTGCCAAGTAGGTTGTTTAACCCTCCCGTGTTTCGCGGACAGGGTATGAGCCGAAGATTTACTGCGGATTAGGGGGTCACTACATCGGTCAAGTCAAGAGTCCGCTTGTCGGAACTTAATTTTGTACTTAATATCAACGTACGGGACACGGTTCCCATACCACGCATAATTCTGTTAAAAACAAAGACACTGTGTGGTTGAATAAAATATGGTAAAGACGTCCGATGTGTAATTATTTAGGTAGAAGAATTAATAATGTTATAGCGGAAATAGGGAGGTTTTGTATGTTATTTGCTGTAAATGACTGCTTTTAAGGTTAGTACCTTTTTCATCAGTTTTATTTGAAATATTATCCAATTATTATAAATAATTATTAAATTTAATGTTTAATTAAGTCCTTTTTAAGGCATTTAAGCGTATAATGAAATCATCTTAAATTTGAAATCGAATAACTAATATTTAATATTTACCTATTAATTCTCTTATCCCGCCTAAGTTTTTCTAATAAGTTGCATGTATTTACTAGAATTGATATCGAATTGTGTGGGATTGGAAATAGTAATTCACTATACCTACTAGAGTGTAACGATGTCTATACCTTCATACTACATAAGTTTGTAGTAATTTAACGTTATCGATGTTATGAAAACAAATGACGTTAAACGTTATGATTTACTACTAATTTGAAGCAGATGCTTTTTTGTTAAAATAGCTAATAAATAACATCCAGTTCAAATATTCAGTTTGCATTGTAGCATTGGTAATTCTACTGTTAAACATAGAAGACGTATACTTAAATGTAACCTAACAAGCAGTTGTAAACAATTTTCGTAGTAGTCCAGAGCGTCCCTCGGGTAACTTTAAATAATTAATCAAGAGTCGGTAAAGGATTAATGCGGTGGCCAGTTGGCGGTTGGATGCCATTAGAGATCGCTCGATGCCTTACGAGGGCCGGAGCTGCAGACTAAATGCTGTGGTCACATTATTTGTGTCAGCGTGAGGAATAGAGGGTGTTCAAACACCACTGCGTAATTGGTTTTCTCAACATAAGTAACGTATTAATAAAAGGTTAGTTTAAAGGTTAGTCAATGTAATTCTATTTATAAAAAAAAATTATAAATGAAAGTTACGATCTTAATGAAGTTCGATTCTTCGAGATTGTGATCTTGAGCGAGCCCCTGTCTGAATAAAAATGTCAAAGTGACATCATGTTCTTCAGTCTTAGAATATTAATTGCTGAGAGTACACAGGCGACGGTTTTCAGAAGTTTCGTCATAAGAACTGCAGTGACAAAAAAATAGTAAGAACAAATGGCACATTAGGCTTCTTTGAAATGATTTAAGTAATTTTATAGACGCAGCCCTGTTTTTCCAATAAGTACTCCTAATATATACAAATATTTTTCATGTATTCGATTGCTGAATAAGTTACCTAGATGTAAATAATTTGTATGCCATAGACAAGTGATTGCTACTATTTATATATTTAATATAAAAATAAAACTTGGTAAATAATGTTAGCTTGGCTCAGTCACGTTACACACACTGAAATGATAAAGTGCCAAACATTTATTTTCAATGTTGGCGTTGCAACGGAAAAGTTAGTGAGCGAGGGGTTCCCACCAAGAATTATTACGTTATGAGGTGTGAAAGGCATAAATGTAAAAATTCAATATTTCAAAAGAGAAAAGCTAAATTTTTCGATGTTTTTTGCATGCAATAATGTCGTTGGCGTGAGAGAGTTTAAGTGATTTAGTTAATATCTTGCTTACTTGCAACATTTAACTTCATCAAGGAGAAACAATGTATGCTAGTTTAGCCATATCGTAGTTTCTACTTATATGTTTGCTATTTGAAAGACGCATGTGGCACATAAACAATATCTGAATTATTTCAGTGCTGTGCTGCTTTAAAAAAAATAGGTGAATTACTTTCATAGTCACTAAAATCCCATGACGCCGTATTAAGTTCATATGTTATATTAATATCATGGTAAGAAACACAGCTTCGCTTTATTTTAATAAATAGTACATTTACTTTTGTACTTATACATGTTTCACACAAGTTTGGTTAATCTGTACCTTCTTATAACCTACAAAAGATCGCTACTTAGATACCCACCCTATTTACCACGTGTTATTCTTATCGAAACTGATATTGAAACTGACATTTATTTAAATAAATCAATCATACAGTGAACACTTATTCAACAAAATAGAGTTAAATAGAGATGTGCTAAAATTTCAGTGTACATTGTATTGAATATTTGAATGTTAATGTTCCAAGTCTTTGAGAAGTAAAGTTTGTACTAATATTTTCAATACATCGTGTGCACATTGGCGATACCTTTGTTGGTACTGGTTACTATTTTGAAAATAAGCATTACTCTTGAGCACATACATAAGTACAACGAAAACCATATAACTTATTATTTTTTGGATAATTTAGGAATAATTACCAAAGTGACATTTTTCGTAATCGTAAATAACATTAGTAATCGACTAGATACGCCATACTCTAGTAATCTAGTAGTTAATCTGCTACTTAGGAAATTATACTACCTACTCATAAGCACCATGTAACAACAGTGTTACTAGTTATAAAAACTCAAGTAAAATATTCTACTCAACAGCAGAAATTAAAAATAAAGCTTGGAGGATTTAGTCGCTGTCTTTTATCTGAACAGAAAGCTGTATCTTGCAGCTGTATTAGTTAAAAGTGTTACTTTGCCTAGATACCTAACTAAATCTGTGCACATTGATTTTTAATTGCAGCTATCTCAATAAAATGAATATTGAAATCAATGTTTAATCTTTTTAAACTAATTGAAAATTACCCCAACGATGATAAATAGTAAATAAATTGCCAACAAAATAATGGTTTCTAACCAAACCCTTACCTTTTTTAATGAAATCCAAAAATGGCTTTGGCAATTGACAAATGTCAAAATAAATATGAAACGATAGACTTGCTTATGAATTTGTACTTGAGTTTGTCAGTGTTGCAACAATCGATCATGCTGTCGCGGATTGGTATTTTTCCGATTAGCCGGCTGTATTGGGCCCTGTTTGACGTTGTCGCATCAATTATAAGCGTGGATTACAACGAGACAGATCTAAGACGGTTCAATTTCGTTTCGGTGCGGGGCGAGTGGGGAACCGAAGGGTGATATCAGGAAGTGACTTGAGATTGCCTTATCAGGGCTTGATGAAGGCCTGATGTTCCCCATTATGCACGGATGGGAAGTACCCTATGTGTTATTGAACTTCTTGGGGTTACATTTGTTTTTTAAAAGCTCACTGTGGCACTTTTTATTTGGTTATCGCTTTAGAATGAGATTAGATTGAAGGTATGGTAAGATTAATCAGTAAGATATATAAATCTAGATGTGAATAGTTTTTTTTATTTGTGTTGATATTTTGATGGCTTAGCAGGTAGCTTCTCAAATTAGTTACATTCGCAGAAAGGTGGTCAATATGTCAATATTTATATAAAAAAGGCTAAAAGGCTGGCAACGCGCTTGTGACTCCTGAGTTGCAGGCGTTCATGGGCGGCGGTAATCGCTTTAAACCATAAAAAGATAAAAATGTATTGAACTATTTCTAATGTCAAATTAAAGAAAGTGGGCTAAAATATTATTTCTTTTTGAACATATTTGTACCGAGTTGCCAAAGTGTATTTTAATACCTAGGTACTTGTCTGAATTACAATGCATGCAATGGATTGGCTAACAAGCCAGCCTGGCCAGTATTGCCTTATCCGAATGTAACAAGGGTGAACCTCTATAGCTAGTAAAGTAGTCATAAATAGCGCCTACTATACCCGTGTAGGTAATTCAAAAACAATCAGGTAGGCTACCCTTTTAACAAACTTTGTATTCACATTAACTTTGTTTAGAACAGAACAAGTGGCGGATTGCGCCGGGTCCCAAATCCATTTGGCTGATACAGAAGGTTATTAAAAGTTGTCACACAGACAGGCGGCGCAAGTTTTGGAGTACTTTGACAGCCCGTCCCGGGGGAAACGGGGTTCGATTCCGTCAACTAGGAAATTTCATTAATTCCGTTATTAAGAAGTTCGGTTTTCCTAATCGTTTAGTTACGATTTGTCATTATTTCGTCCTATGTACTTTGTTTATTTTTACATAATATTTTGTTTCATAAGAACTGATTTAATATGATGCGCATGGTGTTTCACATATAAATAGTCTTCAAAATATTATTGCAAAATTTATAGCATTTGTTATTAATATGAGTAAAAAATATAAGTATACGTCAACTCTCCTTATAAAATAAAAATTTAGGTATTTAAGGTGTTTTGTAATTTTTATAAACAGTAGTTGATAGATGCCATGTTTCCTTGCACTTTATAAACACATTTGAAAATGGAAAATGAAGTATTTGCATAAATCCATATCAAAACCATTTATACAAAAGCAAAAAGCAGGCCCTTTAGGCTTTATACTAGACTTGCAACGAATAGTATATTCGGCAGTATACCGAATACCGAATATTCGGCGAGGCCCCTGACCGAATAGCCGAATATTAGGCAAAAGTATTCGGCTGGATTTTAGCGCCAAAAACTTGTACAGACGTGAATTAAATTATGGACCTGTTTTATGTACCAATGACTACTTAATAAATGATTATAAAAGAAATAAGAACCTTACCCTTCTAAATTTTGATTACCACAATAATTCAAATACATAAAATCCTCTATTTTTCCAATTCAGAAGATGATTATGTACCTGTGTTATGCACCAATGACTACTTAAATGATTATAACAGAAATGAAAATATGAATATATATGTAATC